AACCGAAACTTTCCACCTGGGCTATGCGGATGGATGATGGATGGATGGATGGATGATGGGACGAACCCCGTATTCCAGAACTTTTTTAGATGATGGGGGTTGTACACAAACCGTTTGCTGCATCCTTTTCTTTTTCTTTTGGGCAATATCATTTTCTCGTGCATGTGCATCTTAGAATAGCATGGTGTAGCTTTTTTTTTTTACTTGGATTTTATTTTTATTTTATTTTGATTCTGATTTTTTTTTCTCGCCGAGCCGCAAAAGTCTTGGTACAGATATATTCCGCTATGATTGGCTGACCTTCAAGGTCGGGGAAGCGAAAAAGGTATAGATTAGATGAGGGGGCCTGAGGCTTAGGAGATGGGAGGGGAATGGGGGGGGGGGGGGGGGGAGGGGTTAAGGGCAAGGGGGGGGAGGGAAAGGAGCATGGATGGAAATGCAGATCATGCAGCCACAACCTCGATGACCGTCGACCCGGGATACTAACTTACCAGGTAGTAAGCAAACAACAACAAAAATCCCACCGCCCTTTCTCTCGGTATCTGTATGCAATTAACCCTATGGATGGGGGGAAACTGGCGGTCTCGCGCCTGTCTGTGGTCGCAGGATTCTTGTGTGGTTCAGCTCGCGATGACTGGCTGCAGTAGTGTGTACGTTTAAGCGTTTGGCGAATACGGAGGGGGGAAAGTGTAAGCACAGGCAAGAGAGACGAGACTCGGGAAGCATGACAGGTGTGCCCCGAATTTTGGCTTCCAAGCATTCCAAAGGAGTCATGGGCGGCAGGGCTGAGTAGAACTTTAGGTTTGGTGGATAAAAAAAGTGGACCATCGTCATTTGGGGGGATACGATTTTCTCCGACCTGGATGCGGTCGCACTGCTAACTTAGTCTGGTAATCTCTTCTTTCCATATCTGAGGTTCAGCTTTCATAGGAAAGAATCAATCAACAGACAGCCTTCCAGGTAGTAGTAGTGCCTTAGGGACAGAACCGGTTGTGTACTAAAGGCCCGCAATGTTGTGCTGCAATTGGCCCATTCGCGTAGACGGTCCCCGCTATTCAGCTCGCTGGGAACTCCGGAGTATAGACAATATCCTGGTTTGTCGTCAACATATAGTAAACTAAGACTCGTTGTTACTACGCATTTGGGGCCGTCTCTCTCTCCCATACTATACTGATGATATCTTTAGACCCTCTCTCGTTGCTTCGGTCCAATCGATCCAGATCAGCGTACAGTACAGCCTTTGGCTCATCCCGAACACGGGTCAAACGGTGTGTCTCGGTGCGGGACAAGCCCGCTTGCTGATGGGTGAGAAAAGCCACATGGTGTGATCTTGATATGATTAGGCTTAACGCTCCTTTCCACGTTTTTTCCCTTCATGGCTCACCAATTTCCGAGGGGGCCAAAAATCTTCTTGACGCTCACATCCACACCCTCACACGCACACACACACCTTCTAGTGGGTTTCAGAGTCTTCTCTTGCCTGCGGTGATCACTGCATGTACGACCTCCAATATCCCCGAACTGATAAGCAATGCGGTTCCGAGCCCGCGACTATATTCTTATCGTGTAAGACGTCTGACCTCCCCTCCTTCTTGTCCTTTCTGCATCTCTTCTCTTCTCCGTCATCCTATTTGTGTTCCTTACTCGATGATATCGAAAAACGATCCGCCACTAAGCCTGATCCAGTCTGACGGACTGTTGCTATGTTTATATTTCTCCCTTTAAGCGCTGCGCCAAGCAGAATATTCCCTGCTCACCACGTTGCACGCGACCGCAAGGCACAGGAAGTTTTTTTACTGGAACTGCGTGTTCGACGCTCCTGTCAGCACTACTCTATTAGACACACCTTTCGGGATACTGAGAAGGGTAAGGAAAGAGTAGTGAAGAGAAGGCAGAATGTGCAATATCCATTCAGATTATCCCCGAGTACTACTAACCTGCATCATCATCATCATCATGAAGTATGGCTTAGCCCTCCAAAGCATAGGAAACAGTTAAGTTACCCCACCACTGGAGTCGGCGACCCACCGTTTTATTTGGGGGCCGCGCCGCCGGTACATGATACGCAGGTTCCGCGGACAGGACAGTTTCAGCTGCGGTGTACCTCCTCCACATGTAGTGTCTGTTTACCCGCCCGCCCGCCCGCCATGCGATGCTCCTCCTGTGTACAGTACAACTCGTCAACTCCGTCATGGGGCTGCATTTCTCCATATTGAAATATCACCCATTCCAGATGATCGCTAATCATGTCGTGTCACTTCACGCAGTTCCAGGTGGTCTCCTATTCTCTTCTTTTACTGCCCCCATCTTTACGAGCTTCTATTCTCGTGGTTGCTGTCATTGATGTTGAGGTAATACAGAACGCCTCAAGATAGTAGACAGGACAATCCATAGTTCCTCTGCAGTTGTTGTCTAGTCTACAGTATCTTTGTGATCAACCACAAAAGATTTTCGAACACAAGCTCAACCACCACCACCATCCCAGCCATGTCTCACTTTTTTCTCTCCTACATTTCCCTTTCTACATACACCTCTCCCCTTGTCCCTCCACCTCTCCCTTCTTCCCAACAACACAACCCCTCAATTTCCCTTCTTCCTGCAAGTTATTTATTTATATCTAAGACAAAGACCACAACAAGCATCACCTGCCTCTTCCCAGGCAAAATCAAGCTCAAGCCCCAGCTTATACTGCATCTTGTACCGTAACCGACCAACCAACCAACCCTCCAAACAAGCGACAGAAATGACGACAACAACAAAACATACGCAAGCAACGCTCATGTTTCTGTGTGCCTGAGTCACAAAACCCCAGGTCACGGTCACAGGATCACAGATGACTCAACAAAAGGAACAAACCTGCATGACCGACCACCCCATCTCGACGGAGTAGTCCACTTGCTCTTATTCAATCCATTTCAAAGTTATGTAGCTAGCCGTGCACTCACTCTTTCACTTACTCAACTCCTCCCTGAGTCAACTTTAGTGCAACGCAACGCAACGCAACGCAACGCAACACGGCTAGCTAGCGTGCACGATAGCTGGGTCATTGTGTTTGTGGGTGGTAGGTAGGTAGGTTTCCAAAGCACTGCCACAATTCCTTTTTTGTTGTTCGCCCCCCTTTTCTCCCAGTCCTCTTTTTACCTAGATCAGGAGTGTATACTACATATACAAAATTGCTGAACGTCAGTTGCGCGACCCAGAGGACCGTGGGTGCGGGTGCGGGTGAGGGTGAGGGTGAGGGGTTTTTTTCTCTCTACAGGGACTCGATTTCTCTCTGCGCCCGACGGGTTACGTGGACTCGACTACTAGCCAGGTACTCCGTAGTTACCGTATGTAGTATGGAAGGTACTAATGCCCTCGGGAACTCCCGAATCCTCCAAATCTACTTCAGAACTTCAGAAGATTCCTTAGGGTACGGTCGGTGCGGTTGTGTCTTGGAGAGACGGGGGGCAGGGGGAGGGGGAGGGTAATGGGGAAAGCCTGGGGCACCGACCTACCCACGGGCGTCGCGCCCGGGACCTATGCATGCATCCATGAATCTCCATGTTCCTGGATTCTAGGGCGGGCAGCAGCAGCAGCTGCTCTGGCTGTGTGTCTGGGCTCCACGAGGCACTGCGGCATCTAGACTACACGCTGGGCGCTTTCCTTTGCGGATAACCCCCTAGACTAGCATGCCCGGGTGGTTGCAGGGTGGATTCCCTCCTTTCTGAATGCCAAGGTGTAGTAGTCTAGTCTACCGCTAGACTAATTACTTGCAAAGGGAACTGAACTTATCGCTAGACGCCTAGCCGGCGCTCCACGCGAAGGCGGCTGTGTCGCTTGTTAGTCTACTTGATCCAGGTGGGACTGACGTAGTTTGCGTGCATTCCTTGGTTTGCGAACTAGCATAAGGCTCTGGAGAGGGAGAAGGGGGATCGCTTAGGAAGCAACTAGCTCCTTCGGACACAAGGCAGAGTACATACAAGGATTCAAGATGGTGCGTGGGTGGTCTTTCCGATAGATAAAAAAGGATCAAAATCTCAATAAAACCTATGTATGTACTGTACTGTACTGTACTTCTTTCCTATGAACCCTGCTGTCTGCACAGCCCTTTGACATCAGACTGTCGTTGATCGTCAATATAGGATCGCATCCCATACCGTTGGAAGACCTGGTCAACTACTGGCGTTGCCATCACTCTCGCTAAGTTAGACCCTAAGTCTCTAGGCTTGCGGTCGTGTCGTAACGTGGGAAAGTTGCTTTACGCCCACTTCGGTTAAGAGGCAAAAACAAGGTGAAGAGAAGATGATTCCGTCCAACGCCGGGCTCGTGCTTTTGTATGCCAAATAGCAAAAGAGAAGAAAAAGAGTAGATAAGATAACAGCGCAATGCCCCTGGAAGTCGCTCTCGCTCAATAAGAGATACCAGACCTCAAATGTTCAAAAAGAGGAAAGCCGGGGTTGCTTGTCCATGGTGAAGATGGTGGTGGAGAAGGGAAAGGCTTTCAGGTATAGCTCGATGCTGGGACAGCAAGGGGCAGATATCTACCTGCACAGCTCCTGAATGCGAGTGCACGATGCATCGCACCTCACCTTGTTCAAAGAATGAGTAATCTTGACTGTCGCATGTCCATGTCAGGGGTTACAATGGCAAGATCCGCGAAGGATCTTGGAGAAAGCGTCTACGGTATGCGGCTATTTCCGCAGCCACGGTGCTAAAGTCTTTCACCTTGTCGCGTCGCATGTCGTTGATTATTTGCTTCAGTCCGGCAATGTATTCATCTTTCTCTTCGGCGGTTTTGCCCTCGCGGAGAGAGCCCATTTGGACCAAGATTTTGTCATCTGTCGAGGTTAACAAGCCTATGTGTCAGCATCCGCACAATGCAAATCCGACCAACAAATCGAGTCACGATAGGGGATCAAGGGACTGAGAAAACAACAGAAGAGAGATGCGGTGCGAAGGAAAGGGGTCATGGGAAGATTGACACAAATAACCAGAGCCAGAGATGGCAAAGTCAATGTTCAGATCATCAAGGGATATGTCTGCGAATAATGGCTTGAATCTGTCGACGCACCGCTAAGAGACATGTCTCGGAAGTGTTGAAATTCGCAAGATCGATCGTTGCAGACACCCCCCGCGGCCTCAAATGGACACAGGTATTTCATGGGGTCAATGTTGTGGCTATATGTCAGAGAACGATAGCCGTTTGCAACATTATCAACGTAGCTTGGGTGGTAGCGGTAAGCCTTGAAATGCTTTAGTGGACTATCGTATTGCGTGAATGTGGTAAGGCTGTCATAGGGATCCCGCTCATTCTACTACTCATTAGCATCAGATTACCGGCCGCGACTGAGGAGCCTCGCACATCCAAAGGGCTGATTCGAGCAAAACTTCGTGGTTGGTGAACAGCCAAGCCCTGGTCATTTTCAGTTAGCGGCTCGCTGGCCTTGGTAACCTCGTTGGATGGAAATTCAGAGTCGTCGGTAGGCTCAACAGGAGCAAGAGAAGCAGGACTAAAAGGGGGTGAGTAAGCGGAACCGGCTGGGCTTGCAGTCAATTCTGGCTCGGGAGGCTCATAAGCGTCCGATACAGACGATTCACGAGATCCTCGGTCCTGTACTTCAGGTGCTGATCCCTCCATATGTTCATCAGACGTAACATTGACCTGGGATTCAGCATTAGTGAGTTGCGATTGCTTTAGCGAGGAGCCATCCAAATCCGACCCGGCCGGGGTTTCCTGCTCAGTCTCTTGAGTTGGGTCGTTCTGAGCGTGGGTTTCTGCAGTGGCTGGCGCAGAGCTTCTGGCTACTGATTCTTCCGACGCGACCGACGCGGAATCGTCGCTTTCGCTTTCGCTTTCGCTGGATTCGTCCATCGACGAGCTCATCGAATCAGACGATGAAGTAGCCATTTGCTCTTCGTCAGCATCGTCCATGACACTATCTTTCTCATGTTCCGCATTAGATACCGCGGCGTCCGAAGCAGATACATAGTCAGTAGCGGGTAAAGCTTCGTTATGCACGGGCATTTGGGCATTTGTTGCCTCGGGAACCTGATTTGTGATAGGCCGAGGAGGCAATTCATGGGTAGTTGCTAAGCACGGTTCAATCAGCGCCAAATCCTCGATTTCGCAAGAATGGCATAAATACAAGTAGGACTTACCGATAAGATCTGCATCTGCTGGTTCTTCAGTCTGCACTTGGCGGAGGGCTAACTCTATGTCATCAAGTGTCACGTCCTGCAACTCCTGGCCAAGAGCTTCCAATTCATGTAAAAGCTGCCGGCGACCTTCTTTCCCCTTGGTGATTTGAGATAATAGCGAATTCTGCTCCTGATTCACCTCGGCCAGCCTTGCCTCGGACTTGTTTATTTCGTGATCCAGGGCAGGGATACCAGACTCGATTTCCTGCTTCCGCAAGAGTTTGGCTCGCATCTCTTCTAGTTTGAGAGCATCTTTAGGGAGTGAAGATACTTGTTCCATCAGCTGGGAAGTAGCCTCGTCCAGCTTGGGCACCTGATTCACACTGGTGTTCTCATTGATGGCGACATCGGCCGTCACTGAATCAACAGGCGGCGTTGGCAGGTCCACAGCACGAGGGGACTGCGTGCGACTAGCTGCTAGCTTCGCCTTTTTCCGTTCCTCAAGCTCGGCAATCCGACGGTGCATCGCCTTGATTTCCAAGTCCTTACGGCGAAGATGCTCCTGATGCTCTTGATCGTAATTCCGTCCATTGGGAGTCACTGACGTAGAGAACCCCTGACTGAGTGATGTTGCTGGCCGCTGAGGTAACGAATCTGTGGTCATCGGAGTGCGCCGGAGAAGTCTCTCAACATCCTGCGACACGTTTCCTGGCAGTGTATCAACGTCCATGCTATCATTCTCGTCATCTCCATAAAACTCATCGTCGCTAATATCGATGATAAGCCTCGCAGGTTCAGCAACGACGTGGTTTGACCCATTACCGAATGACTTTTTGAGCATGGGAACGGGTTCGTCAAAGTCAGAAGCTCGCGGTCTCTTGCGCTGATTTGTGCGTGTTTGGCTACCTGTATCGGCAACATGCTGAACAGGCGCAGCATTCAACTCTTCCGTTATGACCGGTTCCTGACTTTCGGTCATGAAAAGCCCTGGAATACGGGATTGAGGTGAAAATTCTGGGTCCGGCGGGCGCTCAGGCAAAGGGTGCTGAATTGGAGTCAAGTTCGTGGCCTGTGAGGTATCTGTATTGTTGGTGTGCTCTTCGTTTGGCTCAGATGGCGTTGAATCTGGCTGCGATTTCTGCAAAGTCCTCATTAACCCTTGTTTCTTGAGTTGTTCGATTCTTTGTCTGGCGAGTTCGGTTTGTGCTTTATTCTTCTCCTTCACGCGCGCTTCCTTCTCTAGCGTCGGAGCATCGCGTGAGGGAAGTGTCGTCGTTTTGCCGGCATCAGTCAAATTCGAGCTCGGAGAAGGTATGGTTTCTTTTGCAGCTGCGGTCTGCGACGGCGTGGATGTGGGGGTCTTTGCCGCTTTCGCCGCAAGCATGCGGGCAATGACTTCCTTCCGCTCCATTGGTTTGCCCGTTACATCCTGCTGTGTGGATGGCGGAGGAGAGACAACAACATTCATGGGGTCTTGCTGCGCAGCAGCCTTCGGAGAAGTCGCAACCTTGGCAACTGGTTGATCTAGACCGTGCCCTGCAGTACGACCACTTGGAGAGGAGGTAGAAGCGGGTGAGTTCGACTCGACATCAGGTTGCGGAGTAGGAATTTTGATGCCAACGTCCTCGTAAAGTTGACGAAGAACAAGAGGGTCAATGCCTTCTCTCACCAATTCATTGTAGCGAATATTGTGAGGAGCTAAACTCAGAAGTGCCCCTTGGGCCTGAACGCGCAACTGAGCCGTGGGCTTCATGTCGTACCATAGTCGGACAGGATTATTCTCAATCACATCATTGTTCGCTGGCTCGTATGTGCGGTCGCTGAGTAAATTCGACATAGCAGCGCCATCGAGGCCAATATTGTTCGGACAAGGAGATTCAGCACGTATTGTAAGAGCTGGGTTATAAGCTGCCAGACTGTAAGCAAGATATATCGACGAGGTGAAGTGTAAGTGACATACGAGAGCCGCTGCTCCGAGATGACGAAAGATCTTCCATTGAGCTCTCGGTACTTGTTACGTTTAATCCTCCCTTCTTAGTATCTCTGGAAGATATGGGTACGGAAGAAGTTGACGTGTTTAAAATGTCGGCGCCAGGTAGGTTTCGAGAATCCCCGCGCATACTGCCGACTTTTCCATTTAGTTTTAGGTGTTCTTGCACATCTTTCGGTGGTCGTGACGATGCAGCAGCCGTTTCGGATCCCTTCGGTTGGAACGGTAGATCATCTCCATCAGTAAGCTCGCCTTCTTCGCGATCAAGGTCCATATTGGAGTTGGATGTGCTTGAAACTTGTGAATCCGCAGGGGTCGAGACCTCTTGAACAAGGCGGGACTGTGGTTCACTCGGTGTATAACCGGATTGGTGCATAAGAGGGGCGGAAGGCGCTGGGATAGAGGGGTATCTCAGAGGCGGCATCTGAATCGGAGGAAATGGCGGAGGTGGGAATGGGGAAGAGGTGAATGGGGCCATGAAGCCGAATAGCGGCGGCGGTATTTGTCCAGGCGCGCCCGGGCCTCCGAGCCCCGGCAGATGTGAGTTGGCCATATGACTATCTTGATTACCAGGAAGCGCAGCCCCTTCGGGGTGAGATGGCGGAACGGCAGTCTGGTTGTGAATATAGGGGAAATGATGATGAGGAAGTAAGGAAGGCATGGATGAGGAGGGAGTCGGGTTTGACGGAAGCCACTGAGGTGGTGTATAATTTGGTCCCGCGAAGGAGGGTGTCGGAGGGTAGTTTGACATGGTTAGAGGGCGAATGGACAGCAAAGCATGCAAAAGGTGACTGTAGATATCTGCTGTACCGAGTAAGTAAAAGAGCAGCTTTCAAAAGTCTACAGCGTAGATTTCGGTATCGCACATCGGAGGAGGGGGTGCGGGTGGGACTAAAGTAACTTATAATCACAGCCGAGTCATGAAAGGAGGAAAGAAAAGTCGCGTCGGGGAGAGAGCCAACAGCACACTTTGGCTATACATGAAGGTATCTATGCCATATGCGAAATAAGCACGTATCCTTACTTGATTAGTGCAGATAACGCGATTACTTCGGTGAAGGCGAGTGATGCCAAAGATGGAGAAGGGGAAGGGTGGAGGATGGGTAGATGAAAGACAGGTAAATTAGCGTAGCGTATGTGTAACGGAAGGGGAGGTTCCAAGAGAGTTGAGTTGAGTCTCGCTCCAGACCTTCAGTCCTCCCGAAAAAGATCCGGGGTCACGTGATGTGACGGATGCACAACCGATGCGGACTAGCAGCCGATCTGCACCCGCGGGAACGAGGAACGAGGGACATAAACAAACAGACGGAGAGAGGTGGAGCTGGTCACTCAGTCAGTGACGACGCTGGCTGGTGGTGACGCTCAAGTCTACCTAACTCACCAATCTACCAACCTACCTTACTACCTTACACACTCCACTCCTTGTTTCCCTCGATCTAATCTTACATTTCCCACTTCTCCCACTTCTCCCACTTCCACCGCTCAATTTCAAGGTTCCCACCTTGTCTCCCCTCTTCTGCTTTCCTTCTTTCAACTCGGCCTGCATGCTTTGCTAAGACGCTACTAGACAGCTCTTTCTTTGGGCTTTCCTCGTGTCCAGACTGTCTTATTGCTATTGTTATGATTACACGACCCTCTTGTTGAATAATGTTTCATTGTTGAATTACAGACGACATGCTTCCCTCTCAATCCAATGGCTCTCCCAAACGAGTCAACCCTTTCAGTCGCGCCACGCCATCACCTTCTTCCTCTCCCAGCCAGCAGGCAAGAGGGCTGCGCCCCAAGTCTGCTGTCGTTGCATCGCCCAGTAAATTCCAAGAGGCACGAGGGCATTTCCGAAACGCCTCGTCAGTCTCGCAAGCATCTACTTCTTTAGTTCCTCGACCGGGAATTCGCCAGAGATCAGGCTCGTTGAGGAATGATGCTGCATCTGGGACCTTTGCGCCGGAGTTCATAAAGACGGAAGAGCTCCGGCGCGGAGCCGATCAGATCCGGGGTCTGGAAGGCGACAATGACTTCTCTGGGAACAAATATGTCTGGCTACGTGACCCTGAGAAGGCATTCATACGTGGACTGGTGCTGGAGGAAGATGAAGGTGGTCGGCTACTCGTTCAGACCGACGATGGAGAGGTACTTTGCGTTGTGCGATGGACCCGAGACGCATTGGCTGACTTTCACAGCAACGAGAGGTCGAAGTCGACCAAGTGGACAAGGTCAACCCGGCGAAGTTCGACAAGGCTGATGATATGGCCGAATTGACGCATCTAAACGAGGCCTCGGTGGTTCACAACCTGCATACCCGATACCAAGCCGATCTCATATATGTTAGTAGCTGAATGCGATCCCGACCACCTTACCCGTTTGAGCTGACTTGTCGTTTGCTAGACATATTCGGGCCTGTTCCTTGTCACCATCAATCCTTACTGTCCTCTGCCAATTTACTCCAACGAATATGTCAAGATGTACAAGGGACGAAATCGGGATGAAAACCGCCCCCACATATTTGCTATGGCGGACGAGGCATTCCGCAATTTGGTAGAGGAAGGAGAGAACCAGAGCATCCTGGTCACGTAAGTTTAATTCCGACGTTTGTCATGGAAGCTGGATGGAGTTAAAGCTGACGACGATATCAAGTGGAGAGTCAGGCGCAGGTAAGACCGAAAACACCAAGAAGGTTATCCAGTATCTTGCAGCCGTTGCGACTACGGATACGCCCTACGCTCGGTCAGGAAACAAGCACTTGTCGACATTGTCACAGCAAATTCTTCGCGCGAATCCGATTCTCGAAGCATTCGGTAACGCGCAAACTGTTCGGAACAACAACTCCTCCCGTTTCGGCAAGTTCATCAGGATTGAGTTCTCTCGAGCTGGCCAGATATCAGGCGCGTCCATCAACTGGTACCTCCTTGAGAAGTCTCGTGTTGTGAAACCAAATGCAAACGAGAGAAATTACCACATCTTTTACCAGCTTTTGAAAGGTGCAGACCAGAAGTTAAAAGAGTCTTTGCTCTTGTCGGACTTGCAGATCCAAGATTTCGCGTACACCAGAGATGGTAACGAGACGATTGCAGGGGTCTCTGATGAGGAGGAGTGGAACCTGTTAGTCGAAGCGTTCCACGTGATGAACTTTTCAGATGAAGATCAGATGTGCATCTTGCGCACGATCGCTGCTGTTCTTCACCTGGGAAACGTAACAATTGTGAAGGCAAGCTTACGGGCCGATCAAGCTGCCCTGGCCCCCGATTCATTGAACAGTATAGAAAGAGCCTGTCATTTGCTTGGGATCGCACCAGAGCCTTTCGTCAAAGGGTTGCTACATCCGAGAGTTAAGGCGGGGCGTGAGTGGGTGGAGAAGGTCCAGACTCCGGAGCAGGTCCGGCTTGCTCTCGATGCCCTGGCCAAGGGTATTTACGAGCGTGGCTTTGGCAACCTTGTTGACCGCATCAACGGCCAACTCGACCGTAGCACAGTCACTGGTGATGATAGTTACTTCATTGGAGTTCTTGATATTGCTGGTTTCGAGATTTTCGAGAACAACAGTTTTGAGCAACTGTGTATCAATTACACCAATGAGAAACTTCAACAGTTCTTCAACCACCATATGTTCGTCCTAGAGCAGGAAGAATACGCAAGAGAGCAAATCGAGTGGCAGTTTATTGACTTCGGGAAAGACCTGCAGCCAACAATCGACTTGATTGAATTGACCAACCCCATCGGTATATTCTCTTGCTTGGATGAAGACTGCGTCATGCCAAAGGCCACTGACAAAACCTTCACCGAAAAGCTACACTCGCTTTGGGATCGCAAATCTGCCAAGTATCGTGCCTCCCGTCTTAGCCAGGGATTTGTGCTCACGCACTACGCGGCTGAGGTGGAATACGACACTGATGGCTGGCTCGAGAAGAACAAGGATCCGCTTAACGACAACATAACTCGTCTTCTCGCTCATTCGGACGAGCCGCATGTTGCGAATCTCTTCTCTGATTGTGGTGACCTTGACGACGATACTGATTACCCAAAGAGCCGTGTGAAGAAGGGACTTTTCCGCACCGTTGCCCAGCGGCACAAAGAGCAATTGGCCAAGTTAATGCAGCAACTGAACTCTACTCATCCCCATTTCGTTCGATGCATCATTCCCAACCACAAAAAGCGTCCTAAGATGCTGAATGCGCCTCTTGTCCTCGATCAATTGCGATGCAACGGTGTACTCGAGGGCATCAGAATTGCGCGCACAGGCTTCCCCAACAGACTAACATTTGCTGAGTTCCGTCAACGTTATGAGGTGCTGTGCCAGAAGATGCCGAAGGGCTACCTGGATGGCCAAAATGCCGCACACATGATGCTACAGAAGCTTGAGATGGACCCTACATGGTACCGAGTCGGTCGTACAAAAGTCTTCTTCCGGGCCGGTGTTTTGGCCGAATTGGAAGAGAAACGAGACCAGCTTATCCGTACCATCATGACCCGCTTTCAGTCTGTTGCTCGAGGCTTTGTGCAACGGCGAATCTTAAACAAACGTCTTTACCGAGCCGAAGCTACGCGAATCATCCAGCAGAATTTCCGAGTCTATCTGGATATGAAGGCTAATCCCTGGTGGAGATTGTTTTCAAGAATGAAGCCCCTCCTTGGTGAGACACGGACGGCCAGCGAAGTCAAGAAGCGAGATGAGAAGATCAAGGAGTTGGAGCTGAAGATGAACCAAGATCTGGCAAACCGGCACAAGCTCGAGGAGGAAAGGCGCCGGACAGAGATTGAAATCCAAAAAATCCAACAAACTCTGGAGAGCGAACGGGCTCTGGCTCTCGATAAGGAGGAGATCTTCAAGAGACTTCAACTCCGGGAAGTTGAACTAAGTGAGAAGCTGGCTGGTGCCATTGCCGATCAGGAGAGTCTCGAGGATCAACTGGATGATCTCATCGCAGCGAAGAAAAAGACAGACGACGAGCTTGAGCTGCGGATCACCCAACTTGAACAAGCGGGCGAGATAATCCAACGTTTCGAGAACGAGAAGCGAGAGATGCAGGCTCGACTTGAAGATATTGAGGGCGAGTTGGCCGAGGCGACAAGAACCTCTTCAGAGAAAGACGCCGAAGTCCAGGAAATTGGTCAGGAAATCAAGATGCTCCAGAGCCATCTCAGCCTTAAAGAACGCAAGCTTCAAGATCTGGAGGCGAAGCTGCTGAAGACAGATCAAGACCTGGAGGTCAAACATGCGAGGACCTCAAAGGAGTTGGATCAGTCCAAGAAACACATTAAGGAGCTCGTCGAGGAGAATCGCACTATCCGACAGCAGATATCCGAGCTGTCGTCAACATCAACGGGGTATGAAGAGATGCTTCGTCGGAAAGAGAGCGAGATGGCAGTGCTTCGTAACGATGCGAAGAAGCACGAGGATGAGAAGCGCCAGCTAGAATCCGAGAAGGCTACGCTTTCAACCCGCCATGATAATATGCAACGACGACTGCGCGAGCTTCAAGCTGAAAGTGACGCTATGCTGTCTGAAAGGATTCAACTTGAGCGTGAAGCCGCTGACGTCAAGAAGCTGTTAGAGGAGAAGATCTCTGAAGACGCCGAAGCTGGTGAGAGTCGAAAGCTCCTTGAACAGCAGATCCAGGAGCTTAAGGCACAACTTTTCAAGGCGCAGGCAGATCTGAGTCGGGAAAGGCAGTCCCGGGATGATGTCCAGATGCTCGCCGAGCACAACCTGGCAGAATTGAAGGATAAGTACACCGCACTCAATGAATCAAAGATCATCATTGAGAAAGAGATGTACATCCAGCAAGACACTCTGCGTCGCGCCACTGAGGCCCGCGTTGCTGCTGAAGAGTCGCGGAAGGAGCTGCAGACTGAGCTGATCCAGCTTAGGGACCGCTTCACCAAGGTCGAAACTGCTCGATTGGATGCGGAAGCTGACATTGAGCGCAACATTATGAAGCAGGCTACCGAACGTCTGCAGAGTGTCCAGAAAGACCTCGATACTCGGTCTCACCAATTAGAGGAGCTCGAGGCTGAAAGATCCCGACTTGCCGTCAGAGAACAAGAGCTGATGAACGCCATTGCTGAGTCTGACAACTTCCGCATTCGCCATGACCAAGCCAAGGAGCGTCTCGAACGAGAATTGGTAACCTTGAAGGGCAGACTCACAGCGTCAGAGAATGATAATCGTGCTCTCCTTACCAAGATCCAGCAAAAGAATCTTGACATAGCCAGGTCAACCTCAAGGGCAAGTGACAACCAACGGCTTCGTATCACCAACCTTCAAAAGGAGAAGGCTAAGTTGGAAGAAGACAATAAGAAGCTTACCCGTCAGCTTGGCGACCTCCATGTCTCAATCACATCGCTGGAGAAGCAGAAGGAGAAGCTTTCTCTCAGCTTGGAAGACTTGAACCACGAAGTCAACAGAGAGCATAAAGCCAGCCGTAACGCTGAGAAGGCCGCGTCTACAGCGGGAATTCAGCTCGCGGAAGCTAACAGAAACCTGGAGACGGAAAGACAACTCCGCACACAGGCACAGACCAACACACGTCAACTCCAGAACTCTCTTGATGGTGCAAATAAGGAGATCGAGGATTTGCATCGTCAGCTGATGCTGCTACACAAGGTCGTGGAACCCGAGGCGGATCCTTTCGATTCAACGTGGGAAAAGGTACAGCCTGACCTCTCCAAAAAGATCGACCTGGCTCATTTACTTGAAGCCACCAGAAGCAAGCTGCAGGTGACCGAGGAGAAATATAGTCGGGCCGAGAGCCAGTTGTCGGAAATGCGCCGTCGTCATGGCGATGAGATGAAGGAGCTCGATGCGCGATATGCCTCCTCGAAACGGGCATTACTCGAGGAGATCGACCAGAACCAGGTTGCGGGAAATCGTACACCAACCCATCTCCGAAAGAACTCCGACAACATTGCAAAGAAGTTTGGCACGCCCACGACTCCCAACCGGAAACTGAACTTCAACGAAATGGCAGACTCCGCTCGCTCCGATAGGACCGTGGACACCGTAGGCTATCAGAAGCGGATGGACATGGCGGCAGAAATCGAGGAGCTTCAAAACAAGCTCCAAATAAGCGAAATGCAGAACAAGCATCTCCAGAATCAGCTTGCGCAAGCATCCCCAGCCCGCGATATGTGGCAGGATGACTCTGTACGCCGAATGCAGTTGCTTGAGCGTGAAAATGGCCGTCTGCATGAGCAGCTTGATGATTCAGCAAGGAAGCTCTCGGCAATGGAGAAGAGTATCCATACGGGAGAGCTCTCGCTCCGCGACATCCAAGCCAAGTCCCACGAAGAACTCTACGATCTGATAAACTCGCAAGAGCAGTCGAGGAGAGCATTGCTTCAGGTACACAAGGAAACCATGGCAGAGTTCGGTGACTCCAAGGCTCAACTGGAGAAACTCAAGCGCGCCAAGGCCACATTGGAGGTAGAGCTACGTGACACCCGCTCTGAGTTCCAAGAGGTGCAAGATGCACGGGATCAGGATGCCATCAGCCGGAACCAACTTCTCGAAGAGTTCTCTGATCTTCAAATCCGGCTTGATGCGGAGACCTCAAAAACCGCTGATCTTGCATCGAGTCTGAGCCTCTACAAGTCCCGAGCGGATGAATATTTCAACAAGCTTGAGCAGGCAGAGATCACTGTCCTCAAGGCCACTCGGGCTGAGCAGTTTGCCAAAACCCAAGCCCAGGAGGCCGAGGATACTTGCGCTCAGATCATGGCCGAGCGGAAACAGATGGATGCTCTTGTCGAAGACCTGCAACGCCAAACACAATCTCTCGAAGCGCGAATGGAGGATCAGGCGGCAGAGCTACAAGCTGCCCTCCAGGCTAAGCAGCGTCTCCAAAACGAGCTTGAAGATTACAGAAACCAGCGTGCCATTGACATTGAGGACAAGGAAACCTCTATGGAGCAGACCAGACAGAAGTATCAGCGCGAATTCTCAACCCTCAACAACGAACTTGAAATGGAGCGTGAGAAGGTGCTGAATGTTCGCGGTGAAAATGCCCGCCTGCGCGAGGAGCTCGAAGATCTCCGCAGTAAGTGGGACAACGAGGTTCTGAACAGCTCAACCTGGGCAAAGGAGAAGGCCCGCATGGACATTATGCTCCAAGATGTGACGACCTCTCGTGATGAGGCGGTATCTGCGCACAACGAGGCTCAGGGCAAGGTCGTGTCCTTGCTATCACAAGTCCGGACCCTGCGTACTTCAGTTGATGACGTGACCGCAGAGCGCGACATGCTACTTACAGAGAAGAAAACTCTGGAAACGCGCTTGGCTGAAGCCGGTGCAAGACTTGAAGATCTCGTCAAGGGAGAGAGTCCCTCTATGCGCAATGCTGCAAGCATGGACCGTGAATTACTAGAGCTGAAGTCCAAACTTGCTCAACAAGAAGATGTTTCCGCTGCTGCTGTCGGCAAGATGCGGCGCGCGGAGGCTCTGGTGATGGAAATGCAAAAGGAAGTTACTGCTGAGAGAGAGAACAATGCCCAACTCTTCAAAGACAAAGCTGCGCTCGAGAAGCAACTAAAGGAATCACAGCTGCGTTGCGTCGACTTGGAAACTAAGAGCTACTCTTCTGGTAGCCAGGACGTACGCTTCCTGCACAAGAGAATCAAGGAGGTAAGTCTATCCCCTCCGCATACAAGGGGACGACCCTTTGGATCACTAACCAATCCCGATAAATAGCTGGAAACACACCTTGAGGAGCAGGAGTCTAAGCAAAGTTCTGAACAACGCTCGTTGCGTAACGTTGACCGAACAGTGAAGGATCTCCAATCCCAGATTGAGCGACGTGATAAGATGAATGCACAGCTGAACGATGACGTCACCAAGACACGCGCAAAGATCGACCGACTCCTGCGCGACATCGAGGAACTTCAACAAAGTGAATCCGAAGCACAGCTTCAGGCGCGTCGAGCGGAACGAGAACTGCGGGAAGAACGGGAGAAGCTACTCCGGGTGGAGCGAGAACTGGAGGGCTGGAGAGGCCTCCGGGTTGAACGGGGCAGCGCAATCGGACGGATCGGCGCATGGAGTGATGCGGGCAGCAGACGGGGCAGCAGCGTGTACAACTCCGGCGACATACCACAACGGATGCCCAGCAACACGAAAGGCTTCTTGTAAGACTATGACGACCTGGCAGAATGACTCTACTACACATCTGCCTACTAATTCGAGACTCGGGCGCTAAATCTTCATCCAGGGCCTGAGCGACAACTTACGAACATGACTTGATTGAAGCCCTGCATGGCTACGGAGTGTGATTGGATTTGCGGCGTATGGTTTTGGTCTTATATGGTATTTGATATGATGTGTCTGCGCACTTTATTGATCTTCATAGGAACCGCTATGCAGGTCCCTGATGCAATTTTTGATGACTTCTGATGGGAACATACCTATCGGCATGATTGTATACTTGAACGACTGCTTTTATAATCGTCCAGACAGACCACAGTAATTGTACATGGCCTTGGGGTCCCAATACAACTTAGAGAAGCTTGAGATGCCGCATATTGCTCAGACCTTTACGTATGTTCTTCGACATCTGCTACGTCTGCTCGCCCTACATGGTAAGCCCATGTATATATCTAGTGCGGGTACTCTACTACTTGGCCGCCACTGCCACTGGAACTTATTGACGTGGTTCTCGATTCTTAGTATATAGAAGCCTACTAAGATTATAATTTGTAGATTATTTGACTAGCTTAATTATACTTGGACCATACAGAAGGTCGGCTCTATGAGCTAGATATTAAGGTCAAGCCAACGTGGTGCTGCAAGCCGACGGAGCGCTCCTAGCCGCGCGGCTACGCTTGGCGCTCGCTTGGAGCGGGCGGCGGGCGAATCCACTCCAGCTTGGGACGTTAAGACTCCATGCCTCTCTACTTTGCACCTCAACCTCTCTGTCTCGAGCGCCCACCTCGAACGGGATCCGCCCGCGTCGCTTTTCAAGATGGTAAGTTTTCGATCAAGGAAATTATTTCCTGACTCGCTTTCGTGCGAGACATACCCCTCCGGCTGCATAGCCTTCCCCGCCGAAACAAACAAGCTCTTCGTTGCCCACCGAACCCACCTTTACCTGCTCCAATTCCCGCCACAAGTTGGGCTCTTGCTGCCTAGGAAAAAATAGCCACTACAATGCCCCCATTTCTGCCCCCTCCCCCTTTACAGCTATACGATGGAACTAACCCAATCCCCGTTCTGCGATATATAGGCGCGTAACAGCGAAAAAGCTCAGTCGATGCTCTTCCGGTTCCGGGCCCAACAGGCCGCGGACCTCGGAATCATCGACATTGGCCGCACCCGGCGGCCCAAGGCCATCACCTCGGTCGACTCGATTCCCATGTGCGAGAAATGGCGCGGCCAGGTGCTGAAGGAGATCTCGCGGAAGGTGTCGCGCATCCAGGAGCCCAGCCTGAGCGACTACCAGATCCGCGACCTGAACGACGAGATCAACAAGCTGATGCGGGAGAAGTGGACGTGGGAGATGCAGATCCGCAACCTGGGCGGGCCCAACTACATGCGGGGGTCCGGCCGCGTTTTCGACGACGACGGCCGCGAGATCCCCGGCGGCGGCAAAGGGTATCGGTACTTCGGGCGGGCGAGGGAGCTGCCCGGCGTGAAGGAGATGTTTGAGGCGGCGGCTCGGCGCGGTCGGCCTGCCGAGGAGGATGATGCGGATGCTGCTGGCGGTGGTGGGGTTAAAGGGAGGGGCGGCGACATTGCGACGAAGAAGGTCGATGCCAATTACTTCGGGTATGGGTTGGATGAGGAGGATGGCTCGCTGCTGGCGTATGAGAAGCAGAAGGAGAAGGAGGCTGTGGAGCGACTGCGCAAGAAGGGCCATGATGGTGATGATGGGTGGGAGCCGTTGCCGGGCGATGCTGGGGATGGGGTCGAGTGGAGGCTGCCCAGTCTGGAGGAGGTGCAGGAGGAGCTGGTCGACCGGAGGAGGAGACGGCTGCTGGATAAGATCTCCTGAGGCGATGGGATGGGGAATTCTGAATCTGTGTGCTCTGGAGTTTGTGGCTTATATTTCTGTTTATTTGTGATGTCATCTTGGGGTCTTCTCGGGGTGTTTCTCTTCTACTGTCATATTTGTTTCTATGGCGTTCTGGTTGCTTTTTTCACCCATATGTTGTGTTCTCTCGCCGCTTCTCACATATGTTTGCTTTGACATTTGTTATTTCATACGCGGTGCTGCCCCCCGCTGGCAGGTTTACGATGCATCCTAAGGGAGGCAAAAGCATATTGATGATACCAACATGATTCGTTCTTTTGTACAACACATGGTTGCGAGCTATGTTAGTTTATGTGCGAGATGTGGTTATTTACAGCTTGGGTTGCTTCCGTGAGAGCTTGTCAGCCTTCAGCGCCTGCGTCCGACTGATAATGGGCTCCCGCTCTCTACCTTCCAACAGCCGTTGCTCCTCGGCATGCAGGTCATCGAGGATGAACTTGCCCAGATCCCCAGCGCGCCATTTCTGGATGAAATGCAGGGCTGCGAGCTCCGTGTTGGGGATTCCGCCCTTGGCCAGAAGGCCTGTCTGGCGGGCGAAGTCATTCAAGAGTGGCATGATCTCATTTGTGGGAGATGACCATCGCTGATAGACTTGCGCATCGTTGAGGTTGATATGGTACAATAGATAGTCGGCCAGCGTGACGGGCGCGATGACCGAGTCCTTGACGCAGCCGCAAAGTGCCAATTTCAGCATGTTCTCCGCATCCGGCACATACGGCATGAAGACACCCGGCGTGTCCAAGACGTAGACATGAGAGCCATTCTCGCGTTCGATGATCTTCACGGGCGAGGCGATCTTGCGCGTGATACCCGGCTGGCCTCCAGTCCGTACGGCCTTGGCCTTTCCCACCCCCTGATTGCGCAGGTTATTGATCAACGTCGACTTGCCCACGTTGGGCATACCGACCACCATCACTCGAGTGCCGACGAGCCTTTCCGGAATCCCCGAGTCGTCACGCAGGTGTTTCAGGATGGTGCCGACGTCCATCCGAGACGATGAGCTGACGAAGAGCGAATCCCCGTTCTTGTTGAAAGTCCGAATGGTTTTCTCCGCCTGGAAATTTGACAAATTTCAATCAGTCATTTGGCACACACTCACATGTAGTAGTCTGAAAAGGGAGCAATCGAAGGCTATGCCACCAACCTGTTTTTGCGCCTTTGACCCAGATTCTGCACCCAGATCTCTCTTGGTATACACAACCAGTCGTCTCGTCTTCCCCAGCGCTTCCTCGAACATAGGGTTCATGGAGGTGACTGGTACCCGATAGTCCCGGCACTCGATGACATAGTCGATGGACGAGAGCATATTTTGCATCTTCCTCAAGCCAGCCCTATGGTGGCCCAGGAAGTACGACCGGGGGATCGACGCATAGTTGGGGAACACCTGGCGCGGGACAAATGTGGCGGCCATTATCGTATGTCCATTAAGGTGTAGATGCTGAGTTGTGCACTGCGTAGATTCACATAGAAACTGTTCTTGCTCATGATCAGAAAGACATGAGTGAGGTCAAGGTATGGACTGAATTGCGATGCTTGTTTTCCAAATGCTTTCTTGGAAGAGCGGCAATTTCGTTCGGAGATGAGGGCGGTCAGACAGGCGGTGTGAGTGGGTATAGTCACAATTTCCACAACGGGATATTTTCAGCCGACCTCACGATGCGAGAGACAAACCGCTCGTGGCTTGTTCTAGTCATGGCTGGTATCCAAGAGGAGCTCATATCCATCATGTGGTACATACTCTCTAATATACATTCAACAAAGCCATTTGTGGGACCGTCAGCATCAGATCATATGAGTTGAAGAACTCTTGGTACTTGGTTGTTCGTCTGGACGGGTCTGGACCGACCACTGCTCATCGCCGCAGAACAGATGCAAATATCAATTTTGACCGAGTCGAAGGCTAGACCCGGGTTTCGAGCAGGGATGCGCCAAAATTAGAACCGTGGTGCAAGCACATTCTGGTACCGTCTATCGTCCACGAGTACTATTTACCGGGGGCGATATGATACGTCATCTACCAAGCCCGGCCAAGGCGGGCAACAATCGTGACCATATTATCTCCCCCACAATCGCATCTTATTGTGGACCCCTCCACAGACTTCTACCCCAAGGTCATTGATCACAAAATGACTCTGATCTCTGCCTTTCGTCCACCATCTACTCGGGTATCGTCCTTGCGACTGAGGTCCCGCAAGCAGCGGAGATCGCCCAAGCGTAGTCCGCGTCGGCGCAGCCGCGAATTGCGACGGGATCGGGACGAGGATGAGGACGATTATAGCCACGATGAAGATGCACACTCCATAATCACCCCATCTAAACATACTCCCAGAGCTATCCGAGTCTTGCGTGGGTCTGTGGCTACTGGTGGTCCTTTGCGTCCTTTTCGCTTAGTCAAACAAGATATTTTGAACCTGCGTCGGCGATATGTCTCAGATTGGCAGATCTTCAACCAGCTGATATTCGCCAGTGCCGTCTATGTCTTCTTCACTAACCTTCTCCCTGGGATCACTTTTGCCAGCGACCTGTACGTCTTAACTGGCCAGCATTGGGGAACGATTGAGGTGGTGTTCAGTACTGGCCTATGCAGCATAATCTTCTCTTTGTGTGTACATACATCCAATTGTTTACATTGGGCGCAGGCTTACAGTTGTTCATAGATTTTCCATCCAACCCTTGACCATCCTCGGGGTCACTGGGCCCTTTTCAGTGCTCGCAGAGAATATCTATAAACTCTGCGATGAAGTCTTCAAGGTGCGCAGCACACGCAGCCCACTAGTGCAAGAGCGAAATCAAGGACTAATGGCATTCTAACAGATACCTTTCTTGCCTTTCATGGCCTGGTCACTAATACATGCTGGCTGGCTGCACTATGTCCTGGCAATCATAAATGCCCATGACTGGACAATGCGATATGTCACAACATTCGCCACGGAGATATTCTCCCTCCTCAACAGCATTATTTACTTCCACAAAGCAATTCAGGAGCTGGAACGAGCCCATGACAGTCTCTCGTTCGCAGCTTTCCTGTACGCCGTCATTGGTGCCGTTGGAACAATGCTGCTGGCAATTTTTTTGTCGACTGCAGAGAGCTGGCGTCCTTTGTTTCACCGATACATCCGCATGGGCCTGACCGAGTATGCCGCTGCAATCTCCATCATTGTCTTCATCGGACTTCCCCACATCGGCGAATTGGCTCATCTGGATAAGATGACCCTTCCCGTGAGCGCCTCCTTCAAGCCCACTTCTCCCGATCGCAATCAATTCTTCGTCGAATTCTGGCACCTACCCGTAACATGGGTCTTCGCCGCCATCCTCCCTGGGGTAATCATCACCATCCTCTTTTTCTTTGACCACGAAGTCAGTTCTATCATCTGCACCATCGACCGTTATGGGACCCGCAAGCCCGGCGGTTTCGCGTGGGACATCATCCTCCTTGGTACCACCACAGCTCTCTGTGGGATTTTGGGGATTCCACCAGCCAATGGCCTCCTCCCGCAAGCACCCCTCCACTCCGAATCCCTCATGCATACCGAGAAAGAGCAGCGCATCATCCTCGTCGACGGCGAGGAGAAGACCGAGACCTACGAGGTCAAACGCGTCTACGAGCAGCGATGGTCATCCTTTCTCCACGCCGCCGCCATCCTCCTCTTCGTCAGCCCACCTTTCATGAAAGTCCTTGGCTTGACCCCCACCAGCGTTCTAGCCGGTCTGTTCATGTTCATGGGCGAGCAAAGTCTCTCAGTGAAGTAAGCCTACACCAACTCTCCCTTTCACCCCAATCTCAACCCCTAGAAATATTATCAGCTAACCCACTAAACCTACTAACCAGTCCAATCCTCTACCGAACGTTCTACCTCCTCACCCCACCCTCCGAACTTCCCCCCCTCCCCGCCTCCCTCGCCACAACCCCTTCCACCACAAACACCCAAACCAGCAATCACCCTGAACCAACCACTCAAGAAGAAGATGCCCTCAATACTCCCTCCTACATCCCCATCCACCTTTACACCCTCCTCCAAATCATCATCACCGTCGCCATCTTCATCCTCACGCTCACGCGCGGCGCCCCCGCCTTCCCCGTGCTGATCGTCCTCCTCGTCCCCTTCCGCCTCTTGATCATGAAGCGATGGTGGCCCCGCGAGGTCCTTCGCTTCGTGGACGCGTGGGCATGCAAGGAGGGGACGCCGGAGGACGACGAAGATGCTGAAGCTGAAGCGCAAGCTCAAGCGGGTAGCAAGGGCGGGGCCCCGGGACAAGAGTCTTCGGGACCCGATGATGAGATCATCATACCTGCTGGGACGGAGGCGGGCCAGGGGTCTTCCGGGGTGAGTTCCGATAGTGGCGGTCTGTTTGTGGAGGGGAGGAGGTATGCCAAGGATGCCGGGGATTTGGGGAGTCGGTCGCATTTAAAGGAGGAGTTCGAGGATTTGGATCCTCGGGAGCTCGATGAGGAAGGGCGGGAGTGGCTTGAGCTCGAGGGTTGGGGGCGGCGGCCGGATGAGGAGGAGGGGAAGCGGAGACGGGTTTGATTTGTTGAGTTAGGGGTTTCTAGATATTAGAAGCGTGCTCTAGGTGAAGAACTTTCTTGCGCGGGAGCACCTAAATGGTTGTGATATTTTACGACGTCATGCTGGACTATATACAGCAAGAAAGCAATGTCCAGGTGAAATAGATTTGTGTCTATTTATATGATCATGATTCTGTGGAAGAAATGATGGAATCTTGATGGATTTACTGGCTTAAAGAGGAAAGTTTGATGCCTTGAGATTCTTGGAATTGGTAAGGAAGGAAGAAATCTACACGAGTTCGTGGTGTTTACATATTGGTAGTTCTGTTTGAAATCATGTGACCTCGCTGAAGCGAGGCGTTACACGCACACGCCGATACACCTCCGCAGCGAGTCACCCACGAAGCCTTCTTCCTTTCCAAATGAAGTAATATCTTGTTTTTCTTGGTGTTTTCGAACAGGCGAACACACACGGCCGGTAGGCCGTCCAGCTGGTACGGTCGTTGAGACCGTCCAGCTGGTATGCCTGATGAGGCAAATTAGTTGATATTGATATCAACCACACCTCCGCAATCTGCGGACCATGACGCCATCAACGAGTTCGACACCTTTGGAGGCCTTGGTGAGGTTGGCGTTGCCCGAGTTGAACTGGGCACGCATCTCCTCTTGCACAAGGACCTGAGTGATCTGGTCCCACGTGGTGCTTCCTTTGACATATCGAGAGTTGAGATAGGAAGTCAAGAAGGTAGACCATTGTTCTCCGAGGTTGCAGAGAAGGAACTGGATTCGTGCGCCGTCACCGAGCTTCTCATTCTCGGCGAGGCTACGTTGGAACTTATCCAACGCTCCGGACATCTTCATGATGTATTCGTTGACGTCTTTGCAGTCGTCATACCGCAAGGATATAGCGGTTTGCAATCCTTCAAAAGATTGCACGTCCGAGACGACGTCAAAACGTCTTTTCAACTCGTCCCAGACTTCCTTCGCGCTGCCGAGTTTGATAACGCTGTGGCGAATCTCCTGAGTCAACGCAGTGCAGATGGCTCCCATAGCCTTTTCGTCCTCAGTCTCCCATGCGGATAGTTGTCTTTCATACCGGTCGACGGCCTTCTCGTAGGCCGCGAGTCTTGCATCAGAAGTATCGCCGGTAGGCCTTGAAGCACTCCGAGTGGTGCGTGAGGATCCAGTTGTAGCTGGAGCTGGTTCGGCTTCACCCTCTTGTGGTGCTGGCGTTGGAAAAACAGGTTGTTTGTGAACACCTGAGACGGTTCTCCAAAGGCCTTGTAAGCGGAGGTAAGTTTGCAACGCTTCGTGCCAGACTTGATAATTGCCCGCGCCTGTCAGGGCCGGGAGTTTGGTAACATCGACAGTCTGCTGGGCCATTGCCGATTGGTGGATAGGTCTTTTCGATCACACGTTTTATTGGTTGATCAAGACGTTCAACGTGGATTAGCACTTCTTGGCAGACGACTTGGTTGGTGGAGAAGTCTCCTTGGCACTGAACACCAAAGGATGTGGGAGGACGATGAAAAATGACCAATTCAAGGCTTCAAACTTGAGCCGGGCTCATAACCTGTGGAATAAATGATGGAATCTTGATGGATTTACTGGCTTAAAGAGGAAAGTTTGATGCCTTGAGATTCTTGGAATTGGTAAGGAAGGAAGAAATCTACACGAGTTCGTGGTGTTTACATATTGGTAGTTCTGTTTGAAATCATGTGACCTCGCTGAAGCGAGGCGTTACACGCACACGCCGATAGATTCCATGAGGACCATGAGTTTCTTCTCTCTTTATCAGAACTGTGAAAAAGCGAAACTGAATATAGGGTATCAGTCGCCCATTGTTCATGTCTATGTAGAGGCATTTGGAGGATCGGGAAAGCAAGGGAAAGAGAAAAGAAGTAAATGCTGCGCCCGTCCGTCCCATCTGGAGAGCGCATGACTCCTACATGCCTATTCTAAGGATTGCCCAATGACTCAAAACATTTGTAAACATCGCTATAGAAAGAATCCATCAAAGAGAAAAGGGGGCCGAGTCAAGCCCTCCACCCCTGCACAAACTCATGCAACCGATCGATGACCACCCCGAAGATGGCGTTCACGCTGTCTCCGATGAGCTGCTCGAAGTGCCGGATGGCCTCTTCCTCGGTCATTTCCAGGTGGAAACGCTCCTTGACCTTGAGGACGGCCTTGTCCGGCTCGACGCGGATGTCCGGGATGTTGGCGTCGACCATCAGACTGAACAGGTTCAGGATCAGGTTGGCGGACTTGCGGAGTGTGGTGTAGGCGGTAAAGCAGTACTGCTTGAACTGGAGGTACAGGGGGGAGGTGGTGCCGCCCATGCCCTCGACCATCTCCTTGCAGAGCTTCATCATCGGGGCGAACGGTTTGGGGTCGCGCCCGAGGATGAAGCCGAAGTCAGCGTGGAAGAAGTGGCCGTCCGGGGTGAGGAGCAGGTTCTCCAGGTGGCGGTCGCCAACGCCGAGAAGGTAGGTGATGACGCAGTACCCCGCGCAGGACTTGATGTAGGTGTCCATGGTCTCCTTGCGGACGCCGAGGGGCTCGGTGTCGTCCGGGTTGTTCTCCTTCAGGTAGGCGAGCACGGATTTGTATTTGGCCGAGATGGCGGATAGGGAGGCCGAGGGGATGAACTGCACGGCACCCGCGGTGGCGTTGGTGGCTAGGATGCGGTAGGGGGTGAGTCTGAGATCGAGGTTCTCTTTCTGGAGGAGGCGGTCCATGAGGATGATGATCTGGATGACCAGCTGGTCTTGTCGGAGGTCGTCGCCGACCTTGAACAATATAGGGTATTTGCGGCCGTCCGCGGTCTTGAAGACAATCTGCAGCGGCGAGAGGGAGGATTTAAAGACGTTGGCTTCGTCCGGGTGACAGCCCGTCACCATGATCTCCGGGTCTAGGGGCAGTGGCAACGGGGGATCGATCTGGAGCAGTTCGTGTTTCGGGTCTTTGAGGAATTTCTTTAGCTTCTCGATTTTGAGGATACGATTATCGCGGGAGAAGCGGACGTCTTTGGCGATCTTGGTGAGTATGACCACGAGCTCGCCCTGCCGTAGCAGTGTCTTGCGATGCTCTGGTTGTATCTGCTCCAATTCGGTCATGAAGTAGTATTCCACCCTCGCGAAGAGTCTGCGTTGCGCGGACAATGTACCCGGCCCAGTGTCGTCGCATTCGACCATCAGGTACCAGTGTAGATAGCTGCCTAGTTTGAAGTTGTTTGCGGCACGCGTGACGAGGAAGTTGGCTAGCGACGAGTCATGAGCAGCGTCCCCTGCGGCGCCCTCGGGATTTTCTTCGTATTTGAGTGCCTGCACTAGTTGCAGCAGATAGAGTAGCAGTTCCTCGTCGTCAGATTTGCGGAGTCTCTCCACGGCATATGAGCGGACCGCGGCGTTGTCAAAAGTCGGCCCCAGTAGCTCGAGTGCGTCGTCCACATCGATTTCCGTCCATTTCGGCAGGATTTCCACTGCCTGATGTGCTTCACCAACGTCACGCCAGTTTACGGACTTGACAAATTTGGTGAGTGCCCTCTTCTCGCGCGTCAGATAGTATCTAAATCGCCATACAAGGTCCTTCTCCTCTGCCGTTAAATCCTGAGTGGGCTCGTATGATAGAATCACATTGAGCTCGTCGCGGATCTTAGGGTTTGGCTTCAGATCGCGATCCATAATCCCCGTACGGGTGCTCCGAATCAGTCTTCGGTGCTTGTCCTCGCATGGGTTTCCTGTCTGTCCGACTTCGGGGTCGTATATCCTGATCACACCACTGCCGTCGGCACCCTCAATACCGGGGCCGAATCGGACTTCTGGAAGGGGCTTGAGCGGAGTATTCGTGTTCATGGGCGCATTTTGGGGATATGTCGAGATTGGCGGGGCGGGGTACTCATGGTCAGCCCAAACGATCGGATGGTCGAATCGGGGAAATTCGACGTAGAGGGTGAAATTCTCATCGTCCACCTTATCCTCGTCAGAATCGTCGGCATCCTCTATACGACCGTCGGAGCTTTTGTGTTTGATGGCCTTCATGCGTATGGCCCGTTTTCTCGCAGCCTCCTCGGCATTGAGCTTCAGTCTCTCCAATTGTCGGAAGACCATCTGGTCCATCCAATCGATACGCGGCAGCTCGCCCATCTCATGCTTCTTAATCAGCACCTCGACTCTTTCCAGCTCCATTTCTTCCAACGACGGACCTAGTGGGTCAGGAGCGTTTGCTTTCCGACGCTTGGGTGGTGGAGTCGATGGAGTGGTGGTCGAAGAGAACCCATCCGCAGCTCGATGCCGGTATATCTTGCATTTCTGCCTGCCCATCTTCAACTTCCCGTCCGCGTCGAAGAGTGGGATTGTTGTTCCACCGAATGGTACGTAATGGCCATGGGCTCCCTCGCCGCCGAACGGAGATAAGTCCCAGACTGTGATAGCTAATTGACTCTTCAGAGGAGCGTCTTTGATTGAGACGGGCATTTGCAGCCACTCGTTCCATGACCTCGCGGATTTGAACGCCTTATATGGGGTCTGTAGAGGTACTCCCAGCGGTTTGGATTCGGACCATAATTGCACGGTGACGAATAGATCCGAGTGAGGGTTTTGCGCGGAGCCAAGGTGACGGAGATCTGGCCGTTGGAGGAGGACGGAGAAGGGAATTTCCTTCTGCTTTCCCTCTAAAGAGCCACTTGGAAGTTGGAGCTTATTAGCGGATTAAAGCGGCCAGGTATCGGACAGGCAGTGCCCACTTACACCTTGACGTGGATGGGAAAGTCCACCTGCGTGGAGACGGCGAAGGTAAAGGCCTCCATCCTGCGATTCGGATTCTCAGAAGCCAGACAGTATCAAGTCAAGTCACCCGCCAGTAATCGTCATGGTGAGCTTGTTACTATCTCACGATGGTGATAGGTGTGGTGCTGTATGCGGGAACTTATCGGGGGAAGTTGAGTTGTTAGAGACGTTCATCATTCCCGCAGCTCCGAACAGATGAGGCGATGATAGGCTGGGACGACCCACAGTTGCTTGTGGGCTGCCGGGACTGACGCGGGGGTCACATGATTAACGCGCTCGGCGCGTGCACCACAACGGATTAGTTTAGATAAGGCAAATGGGAAGATTATTGAGAACAGAATAATTGCATCTAAAAGTTTATCGAAGCCTGGATAATTGACTCTGCACGAAAGGTGGTGCTACGATCTCTCCTGGCGCCAACTGAAACCCAGACACCCTCAGTCCTTTGTTTTCTTTCCTCATTTCCTGCGCGCAGCCTTGATTCCCCCTCCCACCGACTACTGAGTAGGTTGTCTAGCGGCCGTTCGCGTTTCTTTGTCTTCCCCTCAGCGCGCCTCGTTTGTCGCATAGTCTCTGCCCTCCAAGAGATGGCACGACGTCCTTCTCCCACCCGAACCTCAACTCAGGCAGTTTCACCTGGACCATCCTCCGATAAGGAAAACCATCCAACATCAGCCGGTAACAGCAAGCGTGTTCAAATCCAAGCCATGCCCAGCAGCGCCTCGAGGAAGCGGCAACGACTGTCCACGCGGGGCACCAACTCACAAGGAAGCCAGTCTCAAGGATCGCGATCACAGCCCGCCCGCGATAAGGACTATTATGACCCGGATCAAGATGAAGCCGAACGACGGAGAATCCGAAAGGGACTGAGAGACCTGACGCGGGACCTCAACGGTGGGCTATCCCTCCCTCATCGATATGGAATTGCTTTCTCTCTAACCTTCTCCCCGCTGCAGACTCCCGCAGTGAGTTTATGCAGGCTGGAAACAGTGGTATTAAGTCTACGATAGAAAAGGCCAACGAGTTGTTTCAGGGCGTCAAGCAAACCTCGGATGCAACCATCGACTCTCGGCTATTGGTCAGCGCGGCGGACCTAGGGTACAAGAAGACCGCACAATTAGTTCTGGGCGACGCCAGTGCAGGCATTGACGTCGACGAATTTGTCTCCAAGTGTATCACTTTCATGCGCCAGGCCCCCGCAGACTCTCAAAGCACAGTTCCCAGCAGCACACAACGTCGCCGCGCTGCCCGCCCAGCAGATGATGACGGTGAAGATAATGGAGATGCCTTGAACTGGGACTGGCTGGGACGGGCTGCGTCCTTCTGCAGCAATGCCCGGCCCTCGGTCCCTGGATTCCTTCTGGGCCCGCTCTCGGTGCAGAAACGAACCCGTCAGCAGGCCGTTCGGAGGGTCAGGGAACGGATCGACCCCAGTCGGGCGGTCGCACCGCAGGATCTCCAAGACAAAGACCTTGACAGGCAAGAAACGTCTAATCTGACCACCATGTGTGGCAGCATCAACGGTTTACTGGCGAAGACACAAAACCATGGCCAAGACACCGTCGAAAGACAGCTGTCGGCGCTCCAAGCAGAGCCTTCCGACGAGCAGCTGCAGAAAGTGATGGCGGAGAACAATGTAGCTGATGATGGTGGCGTCCCGCTGTTCCGCTTCTGCATCAACCCGAGGTCCTTTGGACAGAGCGTGGAGAACCTGTTTTACGTGAGTTTCCTGGTTCGTGATGGGTTGATTGGTATCTCGGTGGACAGTAGAGGATTGCCGACGTTACGTAAGTTTGCTCCCCTACTCATCTGCAGATTCTGGTATTGACCTTGCATGTTCTAGACGCTGCGAAGCCTCACGCGCCCAGCGAGGCTCTGAAGAAGGGAGTCCAGAAGCACCAGGCTATCTTCACCCTGGACTTTGAGACCTGGCAGGATCTGATCGAGGCCTATGGGATCAATGAATGTATCATTCCTCATCGCGCGGAAGAAGCCCAGCCAACGGCGCAGACCTGGCGATGATCATGGGTTCAACGCGTAGGGCTGGCTGGCCTGTGATGACTTTTTCTTAGCTATGTAGCAGGCGTATGGTTGCGTTTCTTGTAGGTGAGGATACCCATTTGTTGACAAGGAAATTTGGCCGCGATTTCGATGTCATGTTTTGTACATTCTCGGGGGTGTCATTCGATGTAGATATTTACTATCGGCATCTAAAAAGGGACTTACGAATCTGAGTGATTGCAGACAGGATACTACTCACAGGAGCATTGTAAATGGCTGGACTTGATTCATACAAGAAGTCGAGCCCCTAAATAATATGTAGAAACCACCAAAGAAGCGAGACAGGATGCCGCTAAGTCAAATTTAATGGCAGCAGTATCTCCAACCTACAAGTGCACAGCCAGACCCTTGCCGAATAAACGAGTCTCATGCCATGTGGTTGGCAGCTGTTTGATGTAATGCTTAGTAATTGACGACGCCTAACTTAGCCGTTGATGTTTTGTAATTAAATAAGTCTGGCCGTTGGAGCTTAGTAATAATTGAGTCTAACTACTGGCAATGTTTAGCGATAAACAAAGGCTGGCGCTGGCTGTAGATAATTTGGAATTCAATAAGTCAAGCTGTCAATGTTTAGCAATTAAGTCAGTCTAGCCCCGGCCCGTGGTGCCAGTGGCAGTTGGCCGATTGCGGCCGGGCTGGCAATGACGTCACAGCACCTGCAATCACGAGCATGCGCCCTCCGTTTCATCAAAGGAGAAGCTGTTCTAGTTTTAGCAGCTGCGTTGTCAGGCATCCTCCCTGCAAGCCTTTTCACGATCTGCCCACCCCTTTTCTGTGCCCTCGTGCGAAAGACCCGTCGAAAAAATTTACTCTATTTATTCTCCTTGAGGTGGCAGTGGTCGCGACCGAACCACTTCTGATTGAGATCTACGCCTCTCCAAACCTTTTTACAAGCACTTTAACATCTCACCAGAGACGCACCCGAAAGCTTGCAGCATGGCTCCTCTTTTCCCGAAGAATCCGGCCGATGTGATGGTCATTCGCAATGTGACTTCCAATGTAATCACTATGAGCTTGCCGTTTGCGCGGTTCGGTCACTTGAAGTTCGGAGGGCGTGGTACCTTAGGTGCGCATTCCACTTATGTTGCAAGGGTCTTCGAGACCTGGAGCCCGCCACAGTGCTCGTGCTGACTCTGGATGAATGGTATATAGTCAAGATGGCTTCCGGCTCTGTTGCCGTGTTCTCTCCGGTCAGTCTGACCCAAGAGGTTCGCGAAACGGTCAACAGTCTGGGAGGCAACGTCAAGTACATCGCCGCTCTGGACCTCGAGCACCATATCCACCTGACTGCGTGGAAAGAGGCATATCCAGATGCCGAGATTATCGCTCCCGAGGGACTCTGGGAGAAACGCCAGTCCAACCCTAAGACCAAAGACACTACCCCCTTCCGTCATGTCTACCGCAAGGAACTGGCCGGAACGCAGAAGATCTCGCAGGAGTTCGATGCAGAGTTCGAAACCGAATATGTCCACGCCCACCAGTCGCGAGAGCTGGTGTTCTTCCACAAGCCCTCCCGCACCCTCATCGAGGCCGACTTACTCTTCAATCTCCCCGCGCGTGAACAGTACTCGAAGACTGGGGAGAGCGCCACGTCGGGTCTCTTGACGAAGATCATCAGTCCACTCTTGAACGCAAATGCGCCTGCCACCTGGCAGAAGAGATTTGTCTGGTATGCGCTGTCCAGCTCGGATCGCAAGGGCTTTACGGAGTCAATCCAGAGGATTGATAAGTGGGACTTCAATCGCTTGATCCCGTGCCATGGAGATGTGATCGAGAGCGGTGCCAAGGGAGTTTTCCGCACGGTCATGGAGTGGTTTTTGGAGGATCGGAAACGGACTTGATGAGGAGAACAAAAACGCCGAGCTTCCTGTGACTTTTACTAATCGATACTTCATTCCTTCAGCTGCGGATGATCTTCATTTTTGGTGCTGGGTGCGAACGATATCCACTTGTTGTATAATCATAGTGCAGGGCCGCTTTGCGATGTGTTGTTTGAAATTACTGCTGGCTGGTGTGCGTACTGTAATTGTGTTCTGGGACATAGGCAGGTTCAATAGTTTTAATAGGCCAACTTCCGAAAAATCAGCCGGAGCCGATAATTGGTGAATCCGTTGTTATTGTTCTTGATCGGCGGGAAGTCGAGCGGTGGAAGCTTTATTGACTGACGATCTGCGATTAGTCTATTCTGGAGCCATGGTCGGCTCAAGGCACTTAAGTTGAAGAGGATAATGGTGATTCTTCAGATAGGGACCACTTAATAGGAGGCTTTAAGAAGTTACACTAATTTGCAGATGCGAATCGGGGCTGCCACGACTTATCCCATGACGTCATCGGGGCTGCCACAGCCCGTCCCCCCTTTTTTCCTCGTTACTACGAGTCTTTTTACATTTGTATCGGTGGTGCGCTGCTCGTCTGCATGAACAGGAGAGGAAATCACCTACTCAGACTCAAACATTTTTTCAAGGATCGTTCTAGAGGTGGGAACGCTACCGCAGACCTTCCTCGGGTCAAGTGGATACGAGAAAGGGATAACATCCATCCAAGGTGGGGAAATCTTTCAGCCTTAAGTGGGCTCTGTTCGGCTGCCAGAATTCCCTTGCTGCAGATGGTGTGGCTTGGAATGTGAATGTGATGATGATGTATCAAGCTGCTGTATTGTAAACTCGGCTGCCTGGTAATCTTTCTTTCATTCAGGAAGGCGTGTACGAATGCACTGGATTATAATACCCTGTAGCCAGGGAATTAACTTAGAGTAGTGTACATGCAGTACATCGGTGGTCATATCGTCAATGGTAGCTTTCCAGGTACCCTCCTTGTAGCTTTCTCAAAGATTGGTTAGGAGTCAAGCCACTCAAACTCACCTGATGGGCGATCAATCAATTTCCTTCCCGCCTTTTTGCTTCCCGTCCTATTTCTTGGGGCTTGGGCAGACGATGTCATGTCATTCGCAATTGCTTGAATTGAATACTGGCTACGTACGATGACGTTCGAGTCGTTGTGCCGTGTAAGGGAAATGGACTCTTCATTGAGGGTCTGAAACTTACATATATAACCACCGAGTCCGCTTCAGCTCTCCTTCCCTTCATCGTTCCTTCTGTCTGCAAGATAACTCGCTCATCACTCACTTCCTCTATCCTCCTCTACTCTAATCTTGCAGTCACTGTACTGTTCCAATCAACAAGCCTGCGTAACCGCGTTACCAGTAACTCATCATGCCTGTCATCTCACGTCTCATTTCCATCGTCTTCCGTGTGGTGGAAGTCATTTGCGCTGCAGTATGTACAACCCCTAGTCAACTGCATGTTCATCCCCCCAAAACAGAAGCTAACGAGTCATGATTCGTAGGTGGTTGCCGGTATCATTGGACACTACCTGCACCAATATGATGGCGATGCTTGGCCGGTCGCCAGATGGATCTATACCGAAGTCATAGCCGGCTTGTCGATACTGCTGGGCCTGATATGGCTGATCCCGTTCTCATCGGGCTTCTTCTCGTGGCCGTGTACGTGTTGTGCCGCCTCCTTGCGTCCCTCAATCTTAGCGTTGCGTATCACTTATACTGACGTTACACAGTCGATGTCATCATCTCCTTTGCTTGGTTCGCTGCGTTCGGAATATTGGTCGATGCGATCCACAAGCTGAACTGTGGATCTATCTGGTACTGGGGCGGCATCATCCACAACAACTCGTGTGGCCGATGGAAGGCGGCCGAAGCGTTTAGTTTCATATCCGCCATCGTCTGGCTGGCCTCGGCGCTTCTGGTATGATCCAATGACACCAATTCAAGGCTATAGTCTGATACTGACATGCCTTGCAGGGCATCTGGTTTACCTTCCGTGTCCGCGACTCGTCTGCTCCCCGACAGTAAGTGACCCGACCTTTTGTGCATTTTGTGTAACACGTTAGTGACATGAAGCAGCAGCCGTCGCCGCTTTGGCCGCTCTGCTGTCTAGATGGACAGTTAGTTGACCGCGCTGTTCATCTGTGCGACCAGACGGACTAATCCTCCGATGCTTGTCGTGCACCAATCATGCGAGATGTCGTCGTTCGATGTTCACCCATTACGATGTGACATGCATTGTCACGACGCGACTTAATGAGATCTCTTCTAATTAATATTCTGATACCCGGTTGGCGTGCTAATGCTTGATGAAGGGATGCTGATGGCTTTCGTTGTTTGCTTTGTGATTTGCTATGATATTGATCTAATATGATGCTATTTCTCAATTGAAGGAATGTCTATGCTGTGGGGATGGATTCCACCCAAAGAGGTGTTTCACATTTTGATCCTGATTACCTTGTTCACACTAATAGAATCCAAGTACCAGGAGGTTTGGGGTCCGAGGTTCAGTGTCAGCAGAATTCTCCCCACCGACCGAGTCGCGGAGTGCTGAGCATTTTCGCTGGGCTGACCTCCTTTGACTCCTCTCTGCGAGTAATACGTGCCTCGAGTAATGAAAGGTACATAGATGGTTCGATATAACATTGTTGCAAACGTTCCAATTGATTGGCTCGTGATGACTAACTTTAGCGTGGCGGACATTCCTCGGAGTCTGGGTCCCTTCCGCAGATCCCGTAATCTCATTCATGGATGGAGAATCAACCATGGCAGGAGTGCCGCAATCAGGGGTAGGATCGAGTTCGCGATCGTCCTCTCTTGAGAAGGGCTCGCAGGACTATCGTTTGACGGTGCTGGAGCCTGAGCATCATGACGACTCCGACAGCAGCCAGCTGGTTGTGATTGGGCGGGAAAGCTCCGACCTGCGGCCCGATGCCGCCACGAGGGAGCCTCTGCTACCAATTTCATCCCCGAGTCCAAGTCAAAATCGTCATCATGAGCTCGGGAAATTCTCATGCTCCTTATCTGGCATTCGTACCTGGATCAAAGGTCCAGTCCCGCCAGTCGAGTACAAAATCACCCCATGGCTAGCCCGCTGGCAGACGGCCCCGAGCCGTTACATTGAGCGTCTCCTTCCGAGCACCCGCGCCAGAGTCTCGCTTCTGGTGGTTGGTATCGCCCTGTGGGGAGTGGTGTTTTTGACCATCCTGCACTATTCGATTACGGGGCAAGAGATTCCTGGATATGGAACTCCAGTCAAGCTATCGTGTCATGCACGACTATGGTATGTCCCCCTACTCGTTTCCTCCACATAACCCAGTCTCACAATCCCTTGCTCAGGTATAATTCCACAGAGTGTGGTCTCGACGGCGAGGCCTGCCGTCCGTTTGATAACGGTGGCTTTGCCTTTCGCTGCCCCGCCAGCTGTGCGGATGCGATTCTGCTCGAGCCGTATGTTGTCGGGCCTGCAGAGTACAACTATCGTCCGCTAGTCATCGGAGGATCCCTCCAGGACAATTCCACTGCAGACACTCCAGCTAGCTTTGGAGACATAGGCATCTACCGCGGCGACTCCGCCATCTGCCCTGCGGCACTCCACGCCGGCCTGATCAACAGCCAAACCGGCGGCTGCGGCGTGCTCCGCCGCACAGGCGAGCATAACGACTACCCGTCTGTCTCCAAGAACGGGATCACGAGCATCGGCTTCGCATCCTCCTTCCCGCTCTCCTTCACCTTCAACACCAACTCATCCGAGAGAACCAGCTGTCGTGACCAGCGCTGGCCGCTCTTCACCTTCTCGCTCATCACCACCACCCTCCTCTCCCTCTGCACCACCTCCTCCGCGGGCTTCTTCGCCTCCATCTACTTCATCGTCTACTTCCAAGTCGCCCTCTCCTCGGACCCCCCGTACTCCCCCGACTACCTTGAGATCGTCTCCACAGCCCTGGGCCGCTTCCTCCCGTGCGCCATCGTCGGCTGGGCGATCTACCACTTCGCTGTGCGGCGCACACTGGCCCACAACCTCCCCGCGCGCTGGGACCAGACCGTCCTCTGGCTGGGCCCCTGCTGGGTCGGCGCCCTCAACACCGACACCTTCGACAAGATCCCGATCTCGCGCCTCACGCCGCACGACCTGCAGCAGCAGCCCGGCGCCATTCCCGCGCTGCTAATAATCGTCGCCTGCCTGGTCCTCATCGTCCTCACCCAGGCCCTAGCTTTTCGGAATGAAGGCCGCCTCCCGCAGATGCTGACCGTGTATGGTGTCTTCGTCGCCGGCATCGCCTTGCTCCTTTCCGTGCCCCACATGAACCTCCGCATCCATCACTACATCCTCAGCCTCCTGTTCCTGCCGGGCACCACCCTGCAGACCCGCCCCTGTCTCGTGTATCAGGGCCTGCTGGTGGGGCTGTTCGTCAACGGCATCGCGCGCTGGGGCTTCGATTCCATCCTGCAGACCGGCGCGGCGCTGCTCGAGGGCGCCCAGTTGGGCAGTGTGCTGCCCGTCGTCGGGACGCCGGTTGTGCTGGGCGCCAGCCACATTGCTTTCGCTGTCGGCAGGGACGCGCTGATGAACGGCACCCGCGGGCCGTCGGCGGGAGATGGGGTGAGTGTTTTGGTTAACGATGTCGAGCGGTATAGAGGCTTTTGGTCGGATTTGGTTCCCGGTGCCGGTGATGTTGATGCTGATGCTGGTGGTGGTAATGCTACGGTCGCTGCTGCTGCTGTTGCTGCTGCTGGGGAGGGATTGTTCAATTGGACGAGGCAGACAGACAGCGAGGATGAGTATTTCCGATTCGCGTTTGTGCGCTTGAATGCCTTGGGTGGGTTCTGGTATGAGGATTTCACGAAGCCTGGGGTTTGGACGAGGGAGGGGGAGTGGGTGGGGTGGGAGGAGGTTGAGAAAGATACGGATGGTGATGGTGATGGTGATAATGGTGGGGAGAGGTGAGGAGATTTTTGACAGCTATTTCCGTCATCTAGATTGTTATTGGATTTATCCTGGTCCTCGAACAGGTATCTAGTTGTCAATTGTGTACGTATTCCAATTGCTTGCTGTGGTTGTTGTTGAGTAGGCCTAGCTTATATACACTGTAGTAAATTGACTTAGAGGTGCTCCTACCAGAAGACTGTGGTCTGATACTCTGACTCAATGGTTAGGTAAATGTATACAATACATCCATTCAACTCAACGATGCTAATTCCCCTAATTCAAAACCGCAACTCAGCAGAACGCCGTGCACATGCATATGCATAAGTTACCCAATCAACCCAGATAAAAGAAAGCCATTGATACATCCTCTCCAGACCAGCAGAAGAATCATGTATGTATATATAGAAACAGAAAAGAGATCATCGCCCCTGAAACAAACACTAAGCCCCAAAACCAGTCTACTTCTCCAGATAGTTGTTACACCGGACCTGGATGACCTTCTGGTCGCCGCCGTCGGCGATGACCAAGGCGGTCAGCTTCCCGCCCTTGACGCAGCCCGAGTCCAGACCCTTGGTGTAGGTGCTGATGCTGAGGGAGGACTTGGAGTCGTGGCCGTAGATGACGGTCGTGGCCTGGGAGTCGGTGGCCTGGGCGTCGGCGTGCTTGCTGGATTTGTAGGTGAGGGATTGGTGTTTGTTGAAGAACTGCGTTCAAACGGTTAGCCAACACCTGCTTGGGGTTTGTGGGAAAGAGGATTATGGACATACCTTGGTCCACTTCTTCCCGTCGCGACTGGAACTCGGGAGATGGGTGTCCAGATCGATCGTCAGCATGTTCATCACGCTGAACGGATCTTGCTTGTCGTAATCCACCCCGGGGACCAACCCGCCATGCACCACGGCGACCTGGCCCATCGTGGGGATGTGGCCGACGTTCAGGATCACGGGACAGGCGTCGAGCCACTCCGCCTGCTCGTCGGTGAGGTTGCGGGCCAATTGGAGATCTTTTTGGGCTCCGGACGTCGACAGCCCGTCCATGTACTCGTCGCCCGACGTGTCCGTCATGGCGTCCATCTCCGCGAGTTCTTGGCGCACCAGCAGCACGCGATCTTCGTGGTTGCCGCGCACGCAGGAGGCGGCGTGTTTCCGGGCGAGATCGACCACGCCGGGACTGTCGGGGCCTTTGCTGATCAGGTCGCCGGTGAAGATGAGGTGGTCGGTCTTGTCATTGAAGGTGACTTCGTCGAGGAGGCGTTCCACTGTTTGAATCGGTGAAAAGATTAGCCACCCACTGTTCGAAACAACAGGAATAGTAGTTTTGTGGAAGGAGAATACGCACACTCCATCCGGCACCCATGCACGTCCCCCACCACAATCAACCGTCTCGTGCTCTCCGCGCCCGCCTTCGGCGCCTCCTTCGCCGGCAGCAGCGACGAATCCAACGTCTTCAGCTGCAGGACGCCCTCGAAGCTCGGGAGCGCATTGGTCCCGTACCACCCGCCCACTGTCTCTTTCGAGTTCGGGTCCAGCGACTTGGTCAACTCCGAGTGCTCCTGCAACCGCGGCGACAGCACGAACTCCCAGCCCAGCAGACAGGACAGAAACAGTGTGGTGTAGATGATCGCATAGCGACGGAAGCGCGGGGCCGTGACGATGGACAGGACCATCTGCACCCATCGGGGCGTGTCGGAGCGATCGGGCGACGACCCGGACGAGTACTTGGTGTTGGATTGCCATTCATTGCGCACGTAGTCGATCAATGGGCGCGTATATCGTTTGACCCGGCGGGTGGGATTCAGCGCGTTCTGGAGGAAGGGGACATCATCGGAGCCGTCGGAGGAGTAGTCGAGGCTTTCGGTGTCGTGGTGGTGGTAGTGGGGATGATGGGTGGATGTCATGGTTGGTGATGGCCGGTCGGTCGGTGATGCGATGTGATGTGATGGCGGCAGTCGGGGGTGGTTGGCTGGCTTCTAGACGCTGGATCTCAAGGAATTTCTATGACAAAAACACATGAAGGCAGGTCTAATGGGTAGTAGGGAAAAGGCGACAGAAATTTACGAGGTCATAAAGAGGTAGATTGTAGGGAAGAGGAGGGGGGGTGGGTTGTGGGTATGGGTTTGATGGTCGGAGAGGATCGTCAGCCTCGTTGGGGAAGTGAGTTAAGGTACGTACGGGTGGAAACACTGGAAAGAATGGAGACTCGCAAGTGTCGGGCGACGCCTTGCTTCAATGGGATTCGACCGCGGGTCCCGTGGCCCGCTATTCCTGGTGGGGCTTAGTGCCTTGGTCCTGCCGCCAAAGGGACCAGACCCCGGTCTATGCCCCTTCCGGCTAGTCCGCTGCTATCTATATCTTACTCCGCCATAACCAACTGTCGGATGTTGGATTTCAACTGTAACAACCTTGATCTTTGCCTGCTTCTATTCCATGACCACTTGCTCAGGATCACTCACACCAACCCAGTCACTTTAAGGACCGTTGTGGGATGGATTATATGCTTGATAAACCAGACTAGTCTGATGATTAGTTGCAAACGACTATATCCACGCCTCAGCCCGGGGGTGCGATCGTTACAAACGCACTGACCTGCATCACGGGTCAATGTCTTACAAGTTCTTGGACAATCAAAGCAGCTTACGATGCTAATGGATGACAGTCTTGACGCCCTTGGAATGCTGGGGAAAGCAAGCGGGGTCGACCATGCTTCCTCATACCTTGTCAGCATCATAATCGCCGCCACACGCGCTCGCACTCTAACCAAGGTCCATTTAGTTCCCACTCAACGCCATGTCTTCTACAATCCGGATCGTCGTCTCTGACGGTGGCCTAGCGGGAGCACCGCTTCTTCATGCCCTTCTTCCCCATAAACACCTGGATGTGCGCATCTTCGAATCAGCCTCGGCCTTCAGAGAGGCCGGCATGGCCGTCGGAATCACTCGAAATGCCCTCGCAGCCTCGAGCTCATTAGCCTATCAGCAGTGCAATGCCTCGAAGCAGTGGGAGCTGTTCTCATGCAAGGAGTCTGATTTATGCTGGCTGAAGGTGAGGACGCCGGCGCCATGATCGATGAGCCCAAGGGCGGACAACGTGTGACCAGCATTGTCCACCAGGCAGCGTTCCTACGGGAATTGCTATCCGGCTCCCCCCGGAACGCATGCATGCTTCTAAGAAGCTCGAACGCTTCGACCTTAACGGCGATGGCTCTCTCACGCTGCACTTCGCCGATGGCACAAGTCACGAGTGCGATATCCTGATCGGCGCGGACGGTCTTCGCAGCACGGTTCGTAGGCTGATCCTCCGCGAGGACGAACCTGCAGCTTTTCCCCGGAATACCAGTGCGTGGTGCGTCATGACATTGCAGCCGTCTGCTCGCGCTCAGGCCAGAATCTGCACGGGGCCGGGTAGCATTGAGAACGACGCTCGCGAGTACATGTGGATTGGTGATCGGGCTTACTTACTGCACAATGTCTTGCACGGGGGTGAGCTGATGCAGGTCGTTATTTCCTCGTACAGAAATGATGCAGAATCGTCGGACCGCTGGCATCGGACCGTGAGTGCCGATGAGATCAAGGAGCTCTACCACAAATGGCCGCCGCATTTGTCCAGGGCAGTGGAAGAGGCAAGCGGGTCTTTCTTGTTCTGTTCCACTCAACTCAGTATGCTGACGAAGACCATTTAGCTATTTTGTGAGCAGCCTAAACAGCCAGCCATGTACATCTGGGAACATCCACCCACAACGACCTACGTGGCTGGTCCTGTCTGGATTGTGGGCGACGCTGCCCATGCCACAACGCCCTGGCAAGGCTCAGGTGCTGGCATCTCGATCGAGGACAGCCTGATCCTTTCCACGTTGCTCGGCCGCGCAAGCACCACCGCAGAGGCGCGGACTGCGTGGCAGGCGTACGATCAGGTCCGCCGCCTGCGCACGCAGCGTATCGTCGAGTCGAGTCGGGCTACCGGCCTAATTCTTTGCGGGTCGAGAGAGGAAACCAGGCTGGGCTTGCGGAGTCTGAGATCGAGCTTGTTGCCGAGATGGGATTTCATCGTAGATTGCAATAACAAGAAGGACCGTAATGAGGCAGTCGAGCTGATGGAGCGGGCATTGAAGCCCTAAGGTATGTTTCACTTATGCCAGTGGAAATCACCCGACCCTCTTTGTAAAACACACGGAGCTTAAGTGGCGCAAGACTAGAACCTGGTTACAAGGCAGACTCGGATGATACTTCCTACGCGGCCACATTGAGCCTAATTGCTTGCCAATCCTAACTTGAGATCATAACAGTATCGTGTCATATAAGAATCAATCGATATTTACCCACTCGCTATAAAGAATCTAATCTATCACACATATACAAAAATCGGATTCGTGGTGATACACATGAACGGACACGCATCATAATCGTGTCCAAATGATGAAAGCTCGAGCTCACCGATATTGTTCGTAGAACTCGATCTCCTTCTGGCGCTTCCGCACCATCTCGATCGTCTTTTCATCATACAGCTCCTCGAGCGCCTTGCCCCCGAGCAGAACCTCCTTCTCATGGCGGGTAGCCTCATCCTTGGTCATGCAGACCAGGTTCTTCATCTCGACAGGCACATAGGTCTGGCCCTGCTGCATCCACTCCGGGTCCGGGGCGAAGCCGCGCGGCGGCCGCTCCCAGGGCACCAGGCAGACGCGACTGGGGAGACCGCTGACGGCGCTCTTGCCGCGCCAAATCTCGTCGACCAGGTAGCCGACATCATCCTTGCTGACGGGCAACCGCAGGCCAACGAGGGTGGGCCCGTACTCGGCGCGGGCCAGACGCTCGTGGGTGCCCTGCAGGGCGGCCAGGACGCCGTCGTACAGCTTGTCGCGGCCCTTGCCGCCGATACTGTAGTCCTGCGGGTAGCCGGCGATGGCGCAGATGACGTGGTTGGCGAGGGTGTAGCCGAACACGGCGGGCATGGTGCCCAGCACGGGCAAGATGCGCGCGCGGAAGTCCGGCAGCACGCTCAGCTCGCCCACCTGGCCCTTGGAGAACTCCTCCTCGGCCAGCGGCAGCAGGGTCGCCTTCCCGGGGCCCGGCTTTTCGGTGGAGAAGACCACGGGGATGCCGGTCGTCACGCCGAGGAGCTTAAGGCGGCGGCGCGTGCTGCGCGACAGCGGGTCGTCCGTGCTGTGCGATATGTCCCCGACCGTCACGCGGGTCGGGTCCGACTTGCAGCCGGCGCCCATGGCGGAGATGACGGGGATCCCCTGGGTGTGGCAGTGGTGCAGCAGCTCCACCTTGGAGGTGATGTTGTCGATGCAGTCGAGCACGAAGTCCGGCTTGCGGCCCTTGTCGCCGTCGTTCTGCGCCCACGGCGCCAGCAGCTTCTCGGCCACCGACCCGCCGAACAGCTCGTTGCGGCAGTCGAATTTCACCCACGGCACGATCTGCTCCAGGCGTTTGCGGATGCAGTGCACCTTGGGCGTGCCGACGTCCGCCAGCGTCGCCAGCGCGTGCCGGTTCAGCGACGAGAGCGTCACCTGGTCGAAGTCGATCAGCCGGATCTTGGACACGCCTGAGCGTGCCAGCGCGGCCACCGCGTGCGAGCCCACCCCGCCGCAGCCGACGACCACGATGTAGGAGGATCGGAGCTTCGCGAGGCCCTCGTCCGTCAGGAAGACGCGGTTCCGGGCGAGTTGTTCGAGGATGAGGTCTAATCACGAATGAAGCTCGTTAGCAACGAGGAAGCTTTTTGACTGCATCAAGGTTTAACCCGCGGCATACCGTCATCGTAATCGCCTTCTTGTGCTCGACGGGCGAGAGCGGCGCTGCGCTCGTCTTCTTTGCTCAGTTGCGTGGCGGCGGAGACTCCATAATCTGTGAGCTTGAGCAACCAGAATCAATTAGCTTCAGAAGTTGCAGTATTCTTTGGAGTGAATGTACCTTCTCTGCGTGATGCTGTTCGTCAATACTCGGAATGGAGGCCTTGAGCTGCTGGACGGCTTCTTTTCGCCGAAGCGCTTGGTAGCCGAGAATGACGCCAGCGACTGCGGCGCCCGAGAGTACGGCCGTAGCAGCCAGCTGCGACTGATGGGAGCTACCCTGGCGCTGAAGCCAGGACGACATCTTGCAATTGTACTTCTATTAGCTGGTCTCGGATCTGCTCGTGTAGGTGGTTAGGTATAGGTATGTGCCGACTCGTGTCGCAAACTATAGCAGAGAGTCAGAAAAGAGAAAGATCCGTCGCATCAGATCAAGATCGCATTGGAGAAGTTGCGGGTTTATCCGTGAGTAGTGACGGAATGAGACACTCACCTAGACACCCCAGATTTCAACGACACAGGTCCCCTTTACGAAACGTTACGTAGTTCCAAGGCAAACTTGAAGCTCAAGTGGAGAAACCACTCGCCGCAAATCTGACGTAAATCACGTGCTCCCGCGATGACTTTCTCTGCCCGCGGGCGCGCGTCTCCGCTACACGCAACCAACTCCCCGACGCGGTTGATTATCCCATAACAACTCCGACACTCCAGGCCTGGAACGGTGTTTTTATGAGAACACCCAGGCCCGCATTTCGAGTTCTCTAATTCAATAAAAAGTCATCTTCCTCTCAACCATCCTCGCTGCAAGTTTCCAACCCACGCGCATGATTTCCACCATCCATCCCGATGACGAGAACACCACACAAAGAGCTTTATCTCATGACACCTTTTCCAAGGGACCATCATACCTAGGTCCGGGCAGTGGACTTCATCCTTCTAGCACACAAGCTCTGGAATGGAAGAAGACATCTGTCTAAAAGTGTGAGTGATTGAGAAATTGAACAGAGATCTAAGGGATTGGTGGAAGTCTCGCCTTGTGGTGCTTTTTTCCCCCCATATCTAGGTTTGTTTTATCTACTTCGAAACATTGGGTTGATGCTCTTGCTATAATTCAAGAGGATGTGTGCTGTGTGCGAGGATTCGAGGATGGTGACTACGTCTTGACAGACCTGTGACTTTCTCGAGAATCATTTTACTCCAGAAGGTTTTGCTTCGAGCAGGAGTGTCGTTACTCAAACTAGCGACCCCTGTCTCAGACACATCGAAACGATACGGCTGCTATTCCCGCAGACTATTTCGGTTGACGACGTGATAACGTCTTGTACACCACCCTACCCTCTACGGGAATACTGCTGCCCAGCGGGGCGATCCTGAGGACGCTAGATGACGAGTGCGTTTGAAATGAAACGCCGGCATATAGGCACCACCGCACCACCAAAGTCCGGGAAGACCGGCCCAAGTTATCCGAGGCCAGCGCATGGGAGAAGAGGAAAAAGCAGAAGGCTTTCTCCCTAGACCTTACCGTGGCTAGACCCCCAAAGCGATGAAATGCCGGTTGGGGAAGAGCCCGCGACTCGTGATTTCTAAGCGAGATGATCGCGATGGCTAGCAGGAGGACTGCTACTGTCGACTCCACTGGGTCACAGATAAGCTTGTAGAGCCAGACTCTAGGCGAAAGCCGGAGACAGGTCAGAGCCAGTGAGGCCAGAGCCAGTGAGGCCAGAGCCACAGAGACAAAACCAGAGCTAGAGAGCCAGAGTCAGAGCCTGACAACCTGAGCCTGGGCTCCAGAGCCAGAGCAACCACAAACAAATCAAACAGCCTAAGCTAAAGCGCCAGAGTCAGAGCCTAACAGCCTGTGCCTGAGCCAGACAGCCAGTGCTACCAGACAGGCCAGAGCCGGTGAGCCAGAGCTACAGAGACAAAACCAAATAGCCAGAGCCAGAGAGCCAGAGCCAGAGAGCCAGAGCCACCAGACCCGCCAGCAAGAGCTATCAGACTACAGACGAATGGCATCCAAGGAGGCCAGAGCTAAAGCAGAGACAAGCGAAAGCAACAAATAGGCCCGAGCCAACTGAAAGGAGATGCGTGGGGCCAGGAGCCGACACCACTGCTTGGATATTTGTCCAGTCACTGACCTCGGCCAGAATAATGACCTCCAGCGAGGTAAGCATGGCTCGAAGATTGAAGACACCACCTCGGATCATTACCGGAGAAAACTATTGTAATATCATGCTTTTGAATACATACATCCCTGGTCACCAACACGAGACGGTTGACACGAACAACCTTAGCAACCAGACCCATACGCTATCGCGAAGGCGTAGGCAAGCATCGATGTTTCAAACCCCACAGACCGAATTCCAACCGCGCAAGAAGCATCTTTCAATTGCAGCACCACACTAACGCCGACGGCGAATTTCAGTGCAGTTGGAAAACCTCGTGCACTCGATTCGACCATTCGTTATGCTTCATGCAAAAATAAAGCAGCCAACCACCTTTGCCCATCTCCTGTCCACCCAGCCATATTCTACTGCTCCCTCACCCCTTTCTTCAAACACATCGCAACATCCCTCCCCCACCCCCTTTCTTGGCCGCTGAAATGATGACAAACCAATAAGTACTCCGAGGCTACATCACTTGCTCCGCCTGTTCGCCTCCCAAAGGTAACGACGTCGAGCATCTGCCAATGACGAGGGAAAATTCAATAGTAGTTTTCAATCTGATCAAGGCGCGGCTTTCACCACGCCACATTCATAACATACTAACAATGATTTGCAGGGGCTCCACGTGACCCCACGTGCTTCAGACAACTGGCATCTAGAAAGAACACCACCCTGCCCCTGACACAGCATAGAGTCCTAGGCCTCCCGCACATGATGCAGTGCGATGGCATACGACTCGGCCTGGTTCAGATGGCAAACAGAGTAGATGAACACCATTCTTTACATCCTTCCGAACTGCACTTATTCATCTATCATTTATCATTCCCTTAACCAAATTCAATCCAAGAACCACACCAGCAGACAGATCATGGCCCAGTGACGAGGAATTTACCCAAAAGCCAAAGTTGTATGGTATCCGGCTGACTCGTGACACGTCGTGTTGCGTCTACAAAATCAAGCCTGGAAATCAGTGAGAACCTGAGAGCTAATCTGAGGGCCATGCAAGTCTGCTGGTTGATTCCTTTTCTTCCTACGATACGATGTGGAAGGGCATACGTTAGAGACGGTCTGTGGTTTAGTATCCGTATATAGTGGCGTACAGACGGTATTGAATGAATACAGTAAAGATTGTTGATAGAGTCGTCAAGACGTTGCTTCGTATCTTCGAGTGTACAGTGACCATGGCTACAGCTTATATACACACTTGCCCCTACATAAGAGCCCTCAGTTCCATGCTGATGATCCGTGAATCGTGACACATCACAGGTGATCTGCACGAATGCGCCGGCCGTCCTTCCGAACTAAAGTGAAGCAGGGGTAATGGTCGAATTGGCATGGATCGCAATAGCCGCCGTATGCAAACACCGCAACTTGCCACAGTTCGCATGAAACACGATCCGCGTGCCGTCCCGCGAAACGGTTGCGCCACCGGGCGACTTGAGCCCGAAGTCGCCGGTCTTGAACAGCGCCCGGTCCGCGCGGGTGTAGGGCCCCTTCAGCGACGTGGCGTAGGCGTACTTGACATCGTACTTCGGGGAGGTGAAGCAGTGGGAGGAGAAGAACAGGTAGTAGATGCCCTGGGCGGTGCGCAGGAGGTTGGGCGCCTCGACCAGCGGGCCGTCGCTCTTGTCGTTCTGGAGGATCTGGACCGGGTCGCCGACGGGGGTCACGCCGTCGGCCTCGAGCTCCTGCAGGAGGATGGGGACGGATAGCACGGGCTTCTTGCCGTTGTTGCAGTCGCCGCCGTGCCCGATGCTGTTGGCGTCCGCTTTGTAGAGGACGTAGAGCTTGCCGTCGGCGTCGCGGAAGGGCGACGGGTCGATCGCGCCGCCTTGGTCGCGCGGGCAGGCCAGCGGTTTGCGCTGCGGCACGTAGGGGCCCAGCGGGTTCGTGCCGTTGGTGACGGCGACGCCGACGCAGTGGTGATAGAGCCAGTCTTTGAGTTCGCCGGAGTAGTAGAGGACGTATCGTCCGTCGTCCTGAATTCACGTTCAGTTAGTAAGTTGCTGGGAGCTTGGGTGTTGGGGATGGGGGCAGGAGATGTGGTACTTACGCGCTGAATCACGTCCGGGGCGTAGTGATTGATGTCTGTCTCCCAGCCACTCAACGAGGGCATGGCATCGTGGCCGTCGAGCAGCTTCCACGAGCTGAAGTCCCTGGACGTCGCGACGGGTACATGAGGCACTTCGGAGTTGTTCTTGACGGCATTGGTGCCGTAGGTATACCAGGTGCTGTTCACATGGAGTAACCCAGGATCTGGAAAGTCCGAGAGGACTTGAATCGGTTGGTTTGCTGCGTTGTGATAGCTGGGATCATCGTGGGATTTGTTCCTCTTCACCAAGACTACGGGGACCGTGATGGCGATGACGATAATCGCCAGCGCGAAGAAGGCTAAGATCGACACTGTCAGGATCTTACCCCGCGTCCAGGGTCTCGGGCCCCTGGCGGAGGAATCTGACGACGATGCACTGTCGGGTGACTTCAGTTCAGATATACCCTTCTCTGCACCGGATTCAGGCTGCGTAGAGCTGGTGCTTGGCTCTGAGGGCGCCCTGAACAGGCTCCAAATCCCTCTTGTTCTCTGCTGTGTCTCCATCCCTGCCTATGTTTCTCACCATCACCCGGCTAGCCGGAGGGTATGATCGATCGTACCAGGGTACCATTCATGTGCGTATGCAACGGTAACTGAACAGATACTCCTATTCAGGGTTATAGCACACTCAGATGGAGTTTTAATTAGAAAAGACTACGGTGTTTCGCAACGCGGGGTCCCGTTTCAGACAGAGAATCGCAGCGCTGATGGTAATCTCAGGCAAGCACGCAAATTGGCGTCAGCATAGCGAAAGGAACTGGCTGACCATTTCCAAGACGTGAGTTGGCCGGAACGAACAGCCACTTCTGGACCCCGGGATCTACTCAGTAGTACTTCATGTCAGCCAGTCGTCTCCTGCAGCCGCGGGCTAAGCATCCGCTTTGACTCAAGGGATGAGCACATTGATTAGATCAGCCGCCACCGGGATCATGATGAGGTCTTTTCATCTGTATAAGAAATCTGTGCCTGGAAGCATGTGCATGTTGACTACTGAAGTATATATCAGTCATTGCTGAACCATTTCTAACGCTTGTTTGACTATTGCCATTCAATTAGCGCTGAGCTAACTGTTTTCGCGTATACAGTCAGCTCAAATGTACCGGTAGAGACAATCACACTCGGAGCATGTGCTGAGGGCAAAGGACATTCGGACATAGCACAGAGTGTCTTGAGCTCAAGGTCAATGACGTTGTGGAATGACGCTGATCAGGTACCGTAGCATTCGAACAACCATGATCGAGAGGTTCTCATCCAAGGTTGACTTTCCAGTGTTGTTCATTATCTTTCGTGAGATCTGGTAAGAGACTTTTCCGTGGTTACAGTCTGTATACCGCTTTCAGTAATTATCGGGTCGGATAGCTTTCTTCAGCCACTCTCAGGTCGAGAATGCTCCCACGTGTATTATAAGGAGCTGTATTGTCCTGTAAATTACAACTGTAGATCGAAAAGCTCGAGATTAGGCTCATTGGTAATCTAAGACTCGCGACGATTGGAAGGACAAGCGTCTTGGCGAGATTCCTTATTGAGTATTGCAGTGATTGAGCCATGGTCAATTGTCAATTGCCTGTGAGTTTGTGATTGTGAATAGGAGATAGCTATGATTGGAGGAAATACCGAGCACATGAAGCGGGGAGAAGGGGAAGAGGAAGCGGGAGTGACAGCCAGCAATCACACACTCAGACACACATCAGCTGCAGCGGAAGGCTTGTTTCCTTTACAGCCGAAGGGCAGGGCCAGACAAGCGCCGAAGCCAAGTCGGATCCATGACGCGGCTTGCTGGAGGGTGACGCAACCCCTTTCCGTATGCCTTCCACCACGTTCAATGCGACCGGGGATATTCTTGTCACTCCCGGATCTTAGACGTTCCATAGTTGATCATCATCAGGATGAAGATATCGTCCGTTGATTCAAACCCCGAGCGTAACCTTAAAATGTGGTCTGGAGTCTGGAGCCTCTGAACATCCGACAGACAGCCTTGCGATCGCAGGTGGATCTGACGGTAGGGCCGAAAACGGCGGTGCAAATCGATTGTGCTGTGGGGAAACAAGGAGAAACAGGAGAAACAGGAGAGTGTTGCAACCTCAAACTGCTCGATAGTCAGGTACATCCGGCGACTTGACCTATTCCATGAATGAAGCACGGTAGAATAGTGTACTTGAGTAGTTCGTGGGAGAGAAAGAGAGGGACGATCATCTTCCCGTTACAGGCAGAAGTCGATAGCACCAAGGTTGAGGTTTTGAGGTTGCAGGCACCTGGTCACCTCCTAGTCACCTCCACCATGGGCTTTGATGAAAGACAAAAAGACACGAAGACAAAAGGAAGAAAGACCTATAAGAAGCAACCAAGAGCCAGCTGGCCGCGTCTCTGGTGCATGGGATGTGCCGATGCCTGGATATATGTGTAGGAATGTTGATCGGGAAGAATTGACAATTTGACGCCACCAAAAAGGCCGTCGTCACTCCCGAATCCGCGGGCTCCACCGACCAACACCAAACAACCTAACCTCCTCCCCTCTTCAAACATTGAATCAATTCTCTTCTATTTTTCCCGCGCTGGTGTCGTACAACCGACGCCTGTCTGGATTGACCGGTCTCTTTTCAAATATCTTGTCTTCTTTCTCGCCCCCATGGCACGGTTGCAAGAGCCCTAGTTCACTCATCGTCTTCCTGTCGGCCTTTTCAGCGAACGCGCAATCCATCGCACCGGGTCGCTCTGACGCCTTTCTGACGACGACAGCCCTTTTTGCTGGGACACTTACGGCTTACGGATATGCACAATCGGGGACATTTCCGTGGAAAAGACACCAATTGACCTTGGACCAAGATTGACATTGTCTCGGGGAAGCCTGCGAAAGTGGGACATAAAAAAAACATCTGGGGAAATTCCTGGAGCTTTCAACGGTAGCCCGGATTTAGCCGACTGCAACAACAATACCTTCCCCCTATTTGCGCCACGATGCTCACCTTCCGGAAGTCGCTTTTTGCGGCCGTGTTGCTGATCACCTTCATCGTCTTTTTCCGATCTTCGCATTCCTCCCCGTCCGTGTCGCCGCCGGTGCCCGCCTCCGCCGCGAAGGCCTACGACGATGGCCAAACAACGAATGACCAGCCCCAGGGGCAGAAGCTGGACAGCAATAAGCAACAACCCCTCTCCCCTCCTCCGAGCGCCCCATTGCGCGACCGCTTGCGTTATCAATTTCCCTACGATCTCAACGGCAAATTCCCCGCATACATTTGGCAGACATGGAAGTACACTCCTGAATCGATGTTTTTCTCGGAGGAACTGCGCGACCCCGAGGCCAGCTGGACCGAGCTCCACCCGGGGTTTGTTCATGAGGTCATTCCCGACGATACCTTGCGACATTTGATCAAGTATCTTTATGGATCGGTGCCGGACGTATACGAGGCCTTTGAATCCATGCCTTTGCCTGTCCTCAAGGCCGACTTCTTCCGGTATCTCATTCTTCTGGCGCGGGGCGGGATCTACAGCGACATCGACACGACGGCTTTGAAGCCCGCGTCGGACTGGCTGCCTTCGGAGCTGGATCTGACGACCGTCGGGGCTGTCGTCGGGATTGAGGCGGATCCAGACCGTCCCGACTGGCACGACTGGTATGCGCGCCGAATCCAGTTCTGCCAGTGGACTATCCAGGCCAAACCGGGCCACCCGATCTTCCGGGACATTGTCACCTACATCACCGAGGAGGCGCTGCGAATGAAGAAGGCGGGAATCCTGAAAGTCGGAAAGATGGACAAGACGATCATGGAGTTCACGGGACCGGGGGCCTGGACCGACGCTGTCTTCCGGTACTTCAATGATCCCGAGTACTTCAACATTGAGCCGGGTTCTACGTTGAATGTCACTTACGAGGACTTTACCAATTTGGAAGGGTACAAGAAGGTGGGGGACGTGGTGATACTACCTATTACGAGTTTCAGTCCGGGTGTGCACCAGATGAACGCAGGAGATATCGACGACCCGATGGCATTCGTCAAACATAATTTCGGAGGTCAGTTGCGGTTGCTTTTTCGTCCCTGTCACTCAAGATGACTAACACTCTGATAGGTACATGGAAGACCGACCCGTCTCTCTAAGTTGGCCCTTCTGATCCATATATTCGACACGTGCTCGGCGCGGCGCTTGCTGCTCGAGACGACGAACCAGGCGACTGGGCGCCTGAACTTGACCTGGCGACACGTTAGATGCCAGTATCGACTCGGCTATCAGACCGACAACCACAAGCTCACAAGGAACAGCCATCCAGGCTGAGCTCCTTCTCGAGCAACAACCGAAGCCATGAACATGGCTCATGTACTGTACTCATTCGAACCGGTCTGCTCTGTAAAAACCGACCAGACAGGCCTGACGCTATCCGCCACGATAGGCTCTACCATCATGGCAAAGCCATGACAAGGACATAGTCTCTACCCTCTTGTACAACTGTTGGCAACACATACCACGTCATAGACATGCCAACAGACCGACCATATGGTGAACAAATTGCACCAAACCATACTCGTCACTTCTGACGAGTCTAAGTCCTGTTCAGGACAACCATGCTTGATTCTGCGTGTTCATATCACGATTTCCCTTACCTCACGCGATGTTGATTTCCCGTCGTGGGTTTCCTGGCTATTCATCTATCTATGTTTTTCCAACAAACCTATATCTATTTAGTCTTATACTGCGCCACCGGCCTGGGAATGTAATGATATTTTCTTCTACACACTTTCTAACGTATCATAGCAACAAGGAGTGATAGTTTTGTGCAGCCACTCGGGGTGGCTCCTGGATTGCTCTGGCTCGCTCAGTCAGCAATCTCTGGGCTCGGAGCATCTCCCGTCCGCGGAATAGCCCTCTTAAACCGAACTATATCACGTATCCACATATATAAACCGGACACTCCGCTTCTTTCACACAATTTCTGCCAGTCCTCAAGAGCATATAAGACTTGCACTTGAAAACTGCACAGCTTGTCAATTCACTGTCACTTCCATCACCACAGCACACAATCTCTACATCCAACCACCTCTGAACAATGTCGACCAACCCAACCAGCGAGCAAACGCTGAGTATCATCGGCTGCGGTAAGCCTTGACTGTCTTCCTTGCGCCCCAAAAGAATATAAACTGACACGACACAGGAAACATGGGCACAGCCATCCTCAACGGCCTCCTGAAAGCCCAGTCTCAAGCCCAACCCACACCCCCAAGCACCAGCACCAGCACCAGCACCACCCCAGCGCTCCCCAAATCCTACATCGCAACCACCCGCAGCGCCACCTCGTACACCAAACTCACCAACCTCTGCACCCCCTACCTGACCCCCAGCGACCCAGACAGCCCTAGTGTAACCATCCTCCAAGGCCCCCACGCCAACCTCACCGCCATCCAAAAAGCCACCACGATCCTACTCTGCATCGACCCCGCCGACATCCCCACCTTCTTCGCCGACGCGACCCTCCGCGGCGCCCTCTCCGGCAAATTCCTCATCAGCATCGCCGCAGGCTGGACCCGGTCCGCGCTCTTCAACCTCGTGCGGGACGTCCACGACCTCCAAATCATCCGCACCCTGCCCAACATGGCCGCGCTCGTCGGGCAGAGCATCACCGCGATCGAAGTGCCCCCACCGCTTACCCCCGGTGGTAACGAGGCCGACGCAAGCGAAGGCAGACCCAACCCCACCGACGCACACATCACGTTGACGCAAACGATCTTCTCCGCCGTAGGCCAGACACAGCTCATCCCGCCAGCCCAGATGACCGCCTTCACGGCGGTGGGGGGCTCGACGCCGGCGTTTGTGGCCGTGTTCGCGGACGCGCTGATCGAGGGCGCTGTGGCGATGGGGTTTCCGCGCGGGGATGCGCAGACGACGGTCCTCCAGGCGCTGAGGGGGGCAACGGCGTTGATGCAGGAGGGCGGGTTGCATCCTGCTCTGCTCAGGGACCAGGGGACCTCGCCCGGGGGGTGTACGATGGGCGGGTTGATGGTGTTGGAGGAGCGGGGGTTGAGGGGCACAGTGGCGAGGGGGATGAGGGAGGCGGTTTCGGTGGCGGGGTTGATGGGGAGGCAGGCGGAAGGGGCGGAGGGGTTTGTTAATGGGACGCGGTAGGTTGCTTCGGGCTGAGGGAGGGGGGTCTGGTGGTTTATGGTGATAGTACGGTTATTATGGCTTGGGAGGGGGTTGGTGTGGTGTACTATGCGCGATCCGATCAACAGAAAGCATACCGAGCCGAAAAATGTACTCCTGGCTTCGTGACACTGGAATCTTTTCTACTGAAGAGGTCTCTCTTCATCTCTTAATCCCGGTTGCGCGTGATAGCAATGTATGTATGATTAGTTACCTTTCGATAGTTGACGAGTTCTGAGACCGACAGGTCCCAGATATCTATTGCAAATCACTAAAGGAGTTGACTCCCTCAGAAGCGGTAGACCTATCATTACTCCTGCAGCCTGATCCTCGACCTGGAACAACGTACACAACAATAAAATACTTCCTCAAATCCCACCATCAACAGTAAGCCTACATCCCTATGCAGCAGCAATCGACCCAATCCTGGGCGAGGAGGTGCTGGCAGATCTCCGCGTGGCCGTGGCGGGCGGCGAGGTGGAGAGCGTGGCTGTAGGCGGTGGTTGTGGTAGGGTGCTGATGAAGAAGGGTGTTGACGATGTCGGCGTGGCCTTGGGATGCGGCTTGGAGGAGGGCCTGGGTTTGATTAGTTTGGGAGAGGTGGGGTGGTGTTATTGTTGGGGGTGGTGTTGCTGGTGTGGGTGATGGTGGTGGTGGTGGTGGTGGTGTCGAGGCTATCATGCTTGCTATCGGGGTTGTTGGTGGGGTTCATTGTGTTTCTTTCGCACGTAATTCGGGATGGGTTGCTGGTTCATACTGCGTAGATCTGGACGAGGTACGGGAGTGTGTGCGGATGCAGACCCGAAGGACGGAGCGGAGCGGCTGGACTAACCGCTGTTGCTGGTTTCCACTAGTACTAGTGTATACCGCTGCAGTACAGCTGCATTACGGAGGGTGTATCCGAGGGTATTGGAAATTGAAGTATACAGTCACCAAGTATAACTCCTCCTTCCCCGCATCGATATCTCGTAAAGGCAATCTTATTCTAGGTATGTGGAGATATCGCAAGAGATAGACAAGCATGATATCGTTATTTTCATTCTATTTGATAATGATCGTCCAGATAGCTAAGATCGCCCGAGCCCAGCCCGGATCCTCCGCTTCACCTCCGCCTTGAGCGCCGCGTGCTCGGTCATCGTCCTGGCCACCGCATCGCGATTCTCCGCCGCCCTCCGCAGCAGGAAACTCAGACACTCGCCCATACTGCCCCAATGCAAGCACTTGTAGACAGCCGGGGGTGGAGCAGCCCGTTGGTCCTCGCCCGTGAGCTGCAGCAGGCCGTAGGTCACCCCGTCCGCCATGCCCATCAGCTGTCCGAACTCGACCTTGCATGTCGGGAGGTTGGCCCGGACGCGCGCCTCGTGCAGGTTATGCGCCGCCACCGCGCTGTCGATATTGTGCGTGGCCAAGAACAGGTCGGTGGCGGGGAACGGGCAGTCTTGTGTTGCCCCGAACCCCTTGTAATTCTGCTGCAGGATCCCCCGCACGATCGTGTCGTAGGCCCGGTCGGTGTCCTCCTTCGTGTCGTGGATTAAGTGCCGCGGATCGCTGCTCATGTAGGCGCCGCGGACGAGCTTCAGCCCCAGGGTGAAGCCTTCTTCGCTGGCGAGCTTCAGGTGCGCGGCGATCAGTTCCGGGGCGGCTTTGAGGTAGGCTTGGAAGGTGTTGTAGATGACCGCCTTGCCGTGGCGATTGTACTTGCGCATCATGTCCAGGGTCAGGCTATGGATGCCTCCAAGGAAGGCGTGTTGTTCCGCATCCATCAGCAGCCGGGCTTTCTTCTCTACCACGCGCTGGCACACTTCGTCCAGTGCCTCGACCATCTGTGCGGGGACGGGCTGGCCCGCGGCAAAGGCCTGCGTGACTTTGGGGCCAGCGCCAGTGAGCCTGATTCATTGTTAGTGTTTCGTCCAAAATAGCAATGGTCACTTCCAGAAACACTCACTTCGGGGCAAGGAAGTCTCCCGGGCCGAGCATATCCACCGTGCGGAGGACATCTTCCCTCCACGCATGGATATGCTCGCAGGTCTCTGTCGATGCAGCCTTCTCCAAGGCCCTCGTATTGGCGAATCGTTGCTTCTCCGTGCGCGAGTCCTGCACCGTCTCCCGCGTGTAGGTCAAGATCACCCCCTTCACTCCCGTGCTCTTGATCTGCTGGATGGTTCGGTGCACCTCGGCTTCCTTCTCTCCCGCACAGAAGTGGTCGTAGAAAGTCTTTCGTAGGAACCAGTAGATGAGTGGGTTTCGTTCCACATCCAGCAGAAGGCTGCGGGACTTGGAGAGAAAGGATAGGATGGACAAACTGGGCACTAATAGAAGCGGGTGGGAGGAGACGGTCGTCACCAGGAGAGACCGCAGCAGCACGCCGGTGGGAATGACTGAGTGGGCAGAGGCAGAGGCTGCGGCCTTCTTGACCTCGGCCGGCGAGCTGGCCACCATGGGCCCAACGCTCTCTCCATTTAGGGATGACCGCGTGGAGACATATCGCTGATGTCGGAGGGCCAAAGGAGCTCGGAATGCGGCAATGCCTGTTGTGCCTAGGCTGGAGGTTGCCCTTATGGAGGCAGACATTGCTCAAGATGGTCAATGATGGTGGAGAGGACGATGATGCGAAGGCAGACTCGTCCTCATGCCACGGCCGTCTTTATAGCCCTCTGGTAGAGCTTGCGGGGTACATGATATGCTAGCAGTGACTAGGACTGATAAGGATGGGGGGATGATAATCTCAATTCCATCTATTGCTAAGCTATCAGACCCCGTGTGCGAAGCCTTGCTGCACGTTGAGCGGCGGAGTGTCTCATCCATGTCCAGACAAGCACTGACCACTCGTGACATGCCCCGGATCGACCGTACTGGAGTGCAGTTTGATACGGTACGGCATTGAAACACGTCCCAGCTGCAGGATTATGATCGGAGGAAGAGCCGATGGGCAGGCAACTACTGATTAGGACTCGGCGCTGTAACCCGTCTGTGGGAGCCTGAGGGGTAGAACCGAGGGGGCTCTATTGGGGAGTACAGTAGGCCCAGCTAGTAAATGGTACTATAGTATCGGATATCAGAGATCAGAAAGGCTTCATTGAAGTATCGCAGTCATGACCATATGGCATCGACTCGGTTACTCAGACGAGCTCTCTTCGAAGTATGGACAGACTCGGGACAATAGCAGGAGTCCCTCGCTGCGAGAGTGGCGCTGTTGGTATCGGTGAACACTCCAGGACATGATTGAAAGAGGCGAGTCTTCCGGCACATGTCTTGCATAACTCGTGCATCCAATCGAGCTGATAAGAGTCAATCTCCTCAGTCAGAGATAAGATAAGGGTTATGGTTCGATGTTTGTGCAGCCATGTCGCAAGCGCCAAGTGAAGTGAGTGGTGATGATGATGAAGAAGAAGAAGAAGAAGAAGAAGAAGAAGAAGAAGAAGAAGAAGAGGAGGAAGTGAGAATGTCTCTTGTTGCCATCTCAGCATCTTCCGTGCAACCTCCTTGCTCTGCCATTCCAGCGTCTTTCATCTTGCCAGGGTCGAATACCTTGCGACCCCGCATGTAGCAGAGGGAAAGCCGTGAGAAACCAAGAGATTCCGCCCCGCATTTTGCCACGAGCAGCCGAAGATCGCATCAAACAACTCTTCTTCCTGCTTTTTTCTTCTTGTTTCTTGTTTCCTGCTTCCTGCTTATTCCAACTTGTGTATCTCAATTCATCTTGAAAACGACAGAATTATGAGTGTCAGAAGTCGAACCGGATGTTTGAATTGCAAGAGTACGGGTCCTGCTATCCCATTGAACCTGCCCCCATTGTTTCCTCGACTAACCTGTTCATCTACAGAGCGGAAACGCCGTTGCGGAGGTCGGTTCTCGATCCCGTTCCTCATTCACCCTTAAACTTGCTCACACGACCACAGAGGAGAGACCTGCGTGTAGAAATTGTGAAGTTCGAGGATTCGACTGTTCTTATCTGTTCGAAACAACGCAACCAGCGCCATTGCGCTTCAAAATCTCTCTCAGTATGCGCACCGCCCATCCCCGTGAACTACCGAGCAGCAGTAACCATTCTCCCACAGGCAAAGGACACCGATTTTCTCCGAAACGACGAAACCGTTGGCAGTTCCTCAGCGTATCCTACCATGATGCGGACGTATTATTATGCGAACAGTATCACCATCTTCCGACACCGTCCTCGAAACAAAGTATAGATCGCGACAATCAACCAGACGATTGCCCCACCAGACTCAACACGGAACCTTCGCCCTTCACAGCTCTTCTGATAGACTGCAGCGAGCTAGAATCCCAATTATTCCAATACTGTAAGCAAACTGCACCCAAGCGCAGCTAACAACCACGATCAAGGACAGAAAGCTCACAACCACAGATCTACAGGTCATATGCAAAGTCCGAGTCTTCCAAGACGAGCCGCACAACAAATTCCGCTCACTCGTCATCCCCTTCTGCTCGCGCCGCAAACCCCTCTGGTACGCCGTGCTCTCGATGAGCGCGAACGACCGCCGAGCAGAAGAGCCGGTGACAACGACCACGATCAACTACGCTCAACTCTCCCTCTCCTACAAATCCCTCGCCCTGCAGCTCCTCCGCGAGTCCCTCACGCAGATGGAGGACGTCAACGAAGCCCTCATGACGTGCCTGATTCTATGCTCGCTCGAGATCGCCTGCGGCTGTCGCCCGGACTGGGTGCGCCACGCGCAAGGCGCCTTCGCCATCATAAACAGCTACGGCTCGGCCATCGACCCGGAGATCTTCTTCTTCACCCAGAGCTATTTCCAATCTCGCGCCCTCTTCTTCCGCACCACAGGCTGCAATCCACCGCGGCATCAGACAGCAACAACAACAACAACAACAACAACAACAACAACAACAACCACCCCGCCAGACCACAACCCCTCCACCCTCCCCAAAACACCGACACCCAGACCGAAAACGACCACCTCGCACCTGCCCCCCCAAATCTTCCCCTGGGACATCTACCTCCACGACACAGCCCACAAAACCACCTACCAACCGCACATCGGCTGCTCACTCGGTCTCCTCGACATCATCGCGCGGGCCACCGACCTAGTCTCGCACAAACAAACCCTGCGCTCCAGCGGCACCAGCTCGCTCGCCTCCGAAGGCGCAATGATGCATCAAGCGATGCAACTACGCAGCGAGCTCGACGCCCTGGCCGAGGTATATCCAGCCCCTCCCACCACCACAAAAGACAACGAGTACCTCGCCACCTGCGGCCAGTGCTTCCGGTTGGCGGCCGACCTCTACCTCCAACTGGCCTGCGACATCCCGCTGACGCAGCCGACCCTGCAGAAACTGCTGGGCAAGCTGCTCGACCGCATCGGCCGGGTCATCCGCGAGGACCAGGAGCGGCAGCTGTTCCCCATGTGGCCGCTGTTCCTGGCGGGATGCCTGTCGACGGCGGACGAGGCGCGCGTGCGCGTGCTGACCTACTTCTCGTATCTGACGCAGTCGTGGCCCGTGAGCAATGTGGGCGTGGCGCGCGAGGCGATGGAGACGGTCTGGAAGTACCGGGATCTGAATCCGCATGATTCTTCGGCAAGTGGGCTGGATTGGCAGGGGATTCTGGGGCGGATGAATTGGACACTTGCTTTGTCGTAGTTTTCTTTCTTTCTTCTTTTTTTTCGGGCGTGATGAAAGTGTATTTATGTATGTATGATGATGATGATGCAAACGTGATCAATGTCATGTCATTTCCTGGAAAAGCTGCCGCTTCTCGTTTCAAAATCAAAGCAACATGCAAGTAACACACAAAGAAATCTATTTACAGCCTCGCCCCAGGAACCGGCTTGATCTCCGCAAACTCCCTCGTCGCCCCCAACCGCCAACTCACGTCCCCGCCCGCCCACTTCTTCCCCTTCTCCTTCTCATCCTGGCCCACAGCGCCCTTCCACCGCCACCGCTTCTCGCCTTGCTCCCCCTCCTTCACCAACTGCGCCACCCACTCCCCCACAATCGGCAACATCTTAAACAGATGACCCGAATCCCCGGAACAAAGCGCCACACTCCCCGCGGACCCGGGCACGAAATCCACAATGAAGTCCGAGTCCGCCGTATCCGCAAACCAGCACAGCTTCTTCTGCACGAACGGCCGCTCCGCCAACGCCGGCAGCGCGTGCTGCAGCAGCTTGCGCATGCGCGCCTCATCCTCCGGCGGAAGCACATTATCACTCTCGCGGAGGGTCTTCGGCGGCAGCGACACGCCCGTGGCCGGGTCGGTGTTGATGTACCCGCCGCCCATGGGGCAGATCTTCAGCAGGTTGGTGGCCGGGTCGGGCTCGAACAGGAACCCCAGGTCGCGGGCGTAGGTGACGGGGATGCCGCGGAGGGCGCTGGTCTCGTCGTCCGTGAGGCGCACGTGCCCGATGGACCAGGATTTCGCGACGACCTGCTGCCCGATTTCCGGCAGCAAGGTGCCGGCCGCGGCGCCGATGGCCACGATCGCCAGCTTGCAGCTGTGTACTTGGCCGGACTGCGTGCGCACGCCCGTGACCTTACCGGGGGATGTGGCCACCCCGCCGCGCAGGAGGGTGGTGATCGTGCCGCGTTCGGGCCCGAGGAAGAATTTCACGCCGATGGATGCGGCGGCCTCGTAGACGGCGCGCAGCGCGTTGGCCGAGTGCGCGTAGCCGGCTAGCGGGTTGAAGTAGCCCTTCCACCCTGGCAGCGGCCCGTTCAGTTGCCACGCGACGTCGCGTGGGATCTGGGTGGGGTTGGTGATCGGGAGGAGTTTGTGGGCGAAGAGGGGGTGGTTCTTGATGGTGGCGAGGAAGCGTTCGAGGGTCTGGGTTGCTTGTTGCGGGCCTGTGCCGGAGACGCAGTGCAGGAAGCCTGTTTGGTGGTAGTGCGGTGCGTACAGCGGGGTTTTCCAGCCGGTGATGGCTTTCTGTTGGTTTTGTTGCGGTTAGAATCGATGCGATGCGCGGTTGAGGGCGGGTTGGGCTTTGGGGAATCAAGCGTACAAGGGTCAGTTCCGTGTACCACGGATCTTCATATTCGGCTCGCACGATCTTGTTGATGTCGTATCCGGCGGAGAACCGCCCAGGAACCTGGTCGTCGCGCTCGAAGACGGAGATGTCGGTGTATCCCTCCGTGGCCAGTTGGAGGGCCGTAGAGAGACCGAACACGCCGGCGCCGATGATGACGATGGGGTCGGCCTTGGAGACTAGCATGATGTTTGACAGTAAAATGAGAATGAGGTTGGGTTTCAAGATGCGGATGCTTGCGTGGGACGTGCGGGATATATACTTGTCTCTTAGATGATGGCTCTCATATGGAGAGTGATCACACCACTCTGGCAGTGCTATGAGCTGTATCTGCACTCGCTCACATACTGGATGTGCGCACAGCTCGCTGTTGCAGTTAGTTTATCCCCCAGTCCACTGGCAGGTGGAGCTTATCGGTGCTCACTCAATGTGATCGCGGATCCAAGCATGCGGGTTAGTTTATGCGATACGAGCGGGATACGCAGCCGACGGTGGAGGCCGTTTTGATACGGTATCACACAAAGGCGGGGTTTAGCGTGGTTGAGGATCGGCGGTTAGCGCATGCGATCCATCCTTGCAAGAGATATGCACCGCAAGGGCCCTTCGGGGTTATCAACTGAAGTGGATGGACAGATTGTCCGGAAAACTATGTATTGCAATCTCTCAGCGGGTTGATCCTGGAAAGATAAGGGAATAAAGAACACGCGTCAATGTGGCAGACTGCTGGTCTGCTGGGTTGTCAGTCTTATTTGAGGTGATGCAGAGTAAACAAAATAAAATCAGCCGCGGAGGGAGGGGAAGACTGATCCGCTTAGTCACTCCTGCTGCCTTGCCATTGCTTTGTAGCTGTAGAGGCATTATAGCTGGTACACAGGAATCATTTGTCATCGTATTAGATATGATAGCTAACTCTGTCAAGTGAGTGAATAATAATTTGGTGATTCTACATCACGAAACTTGACTAGAAGTGAACCACTACATGACCAGAAGCCAAGAGGCAGACAGACTACGCAGACAGTTGAAGGTGTAGCACGGGCCCGGCCTTACTTTGTTAGAAAAGGATGCAGGGAGCATATATTGAGAACAAATTCTATTCAAACTTCATGAACATGATATCGACTTTGTACAAGTACATAACCGCAGAACCACCAGGCTTATTCCTCTTACTCGTTGCTAGGATACTTGAATCCGGTCAAAGGGAAGAACTCCTCCTTGATAGTCCGTGGGCTGGTGAACCGCAGAAGAACGTTGGAGCTACCTGCCTTATCGTTGGTGCCACTGGCACGGCTACCACCGAACGATTGCTGGCCAATCAACGCAGCCGTAGTCTTGCAGTCTAAGAGAAGGTCAGTAAGAAACTCAAGGTATAAACAAGGCAAGAGACTCACTGATGTAGAAGTTGCCAGCGGAGTACCGCAGGGTATCCTCAGCTTCACGAATGGCCTTGCGATCAGCAGCAAACACGGCGCCGGTCAGAGCAAAGCCACCGCCGCTTTGGTCAACCTTCTTCAGGATAGACGACCATTCCGCATCGGGGTAGACATAGACTGTCAACACTGGTCCGAAGATCTCGGTGTCAAACAGAGGGTGGTTAATGTCCTTGGCCCGGTAAACAGTGGGGTGAACATAGTATCCAGTGGAGTCATCATAGGTACCGCCGGCAAGCAGCTCTAGCGAGGAGTCCTTGTTGCTAGCATCGATGACCGACTTGATCTTCTCGAAAGATGCCCGGTGGATGACAGGTCCCATGAAGGCTCCCAAGTCCTCAGGTGAGCCGATGGTGATTTCATCGATCTCGGACTTCAATTTGGTAAGGAACTCTTCAGCCCGTGATTCAGGGAGGTACAGTCTCGACGTGGCGGAGCACTTCTGGCCTTGATACTCGAATGAACCACGAAGAGTGTGGTATACGGCGCTAGTGATGTCGGCAGTGGGGTGGACCAGGTGGAAGTTCTTGCCACTGGTCTCACCCACGAGCCGAGGGTAGTCCCTGTAGACCTTCTTGCCAATGTTGGCACCGACTCGGCTGTACAAGGACCGGAAAACATCCGACGAGCCAGTGAAGTTGAGACCCGAGAACTCGCGATGGTTCAGAATCGTTTGGGTGATCTGTTCCGCATCTCCAGTGACAAACTGAATAACGTTAGGAGGCAGTCCAGCCTCCAGAAGAATCTTATACACGATCTCGCTAGCGTAGACATTTGATGGGGAAGGCTTCCAAATCACCACATTGCCCATCAAAGCTGGGCCACTGATCAGGTTGCCGCCAATTGCAGTGAAGTTGAACGGGGACACCGCGTAGACGAATCCTTCCAAGGGCCTGTAGTCAACGCGCCTGGAATATAGTCAGCAGCAGATCATTGATCAGGGAATCTCGTCGAACATACGTCCACATCCCATCCGTGCCGCGGTCAGGCTGCTTCTCCAACAACTCCGCAGCATAGTTGCAGTTCAGGCGGAAGAAATCAGCGAGCTCGGCAGCAGCATCGATCTCGCCCTGCCACACATTCTTTCCCTGGCCAAGCATCGTAGCGGCGATGAGTTCATATCGGTACTTTCCAGCCACAAGCTCTGCGGCCTTGAGGAAGATTGCTGCACGATCCACGAAGGGGGTGTTCTGCCATGACTCCTTGGCCTTGAGAGCCAAGTCGATAGCTTCATTGACTTGTGCGGGACTGGCCAACGGGTAGTTGGTGAATGTGGTAGCGTGTTCTGCGGGAAGCGGCTGGTCGGTTGCCTTTGAGACGGCTTGCGCCTTGCCGTCGATGTATATTTGGCTCTTGAGCGGTAATTGGGATTTGAGTTCCTTCAATTTCTCCTCAATTTTTGCTCGCTCGGATGAGCCTTTCACAAAATCAAGCTATAGCAGGTTCAGCTTCTCGTTCTCGATGTTCGCTATGACAAGTCAACTTACATTTGGCTCATTTCGAGCGGCTGGAAGTCGGAAAGGAACGGTGGCAGCACCGCGGACCTGTGTGCGGGAGGTGCGTGCAGCACGACGCACTAGAGAGCGCATGCTCGGCGAGGGCTGAGAGACAGAGAGTTTGAATGCCATTGTGATGATTTGAGGTGAAGGGAGAGGAGAGAAGGTGGCGGTGGTAGTGAGGAGGTAATCGTGAACACCAATGAAGATGCAACGACCATCGGCGATGCAATGGGATTCTTATGCCTCATGATTCTCATCTACGGAGCCGGAGCTGATGTCAATGGATGTAGATCCGAGGAGAGGAAGTGGATCAGTTCGGGGACGCAATCCGTTGGTGCAGGAGGAGTTGAGGAGGTGAGGAGAAAATACGGGGAGTCCAGCCGAGGTGGAAGGAAGTTACAGCGGGTAGACTAACAGACGGCCTCAGATCCCGCTAATACCTTATCAAGTAGTGCATCTACGGAGTACAGCTATCAGGCATGATACGATGACACTCTCGATCGATTGGTCTTATCTGATGATTGACACAAAGATTAAAAATTGATAATTCGTGTCCGACTTACATCTGTACTATACCATTGACTAAGACTCCCTCATCCGAGCTTGTCATGACCAAGTCACACATGAATTCAACTTGTAGTCCAGGTAGTGCAGCCAGAGGGCACCATGAGTAGCTTAACCTTCTAATTCTGTAGGCAACTTTCCACGGAGTCAACCTTGACACTCTGCTAGGTCTACCACTCTTGCTTGTACAGTACAACCGCTCACAGTAGCCCCTCCGTTTAGATCAGAAACCCAAGAATCTTAACGTGTGCCTTCCTTGTTTCTCATACTTCTCAGAAATCAGAGCATCACAATGTCGCCAGATCGTTCAACGTTACAGCAAAGCTTTCATACCGCCAGATGGAACAGCGAGTTACAAAAACATCTTGCTGGGGATATCGCTGCCGGTGTAATATCCGCTACATTCATCTCCCCAATTGTTACGATCATTGACCGGTCAGTCATTCATGATTGCGAAAATCTTCTGGCTGCTAATACCACTCGTTAGGACGATTGTTGAAAGACTCGCATTGAACCGACCACTATTGCGAACACTGGGCGTCAACGCAGTCTGCTCCATCTTTCAACCTCAAAAATTCTACGTCTCGAAGCCGTTCTTCATTGTCTGGTCACTATACGCAGCTACCTATTGCACCGCAAATGTCACGGATACCTGCATCCACCATCTTCCCTCCCTCACCGACAAGAAATCGACGGCGAATCTCGCCGCGACGCTAAGCTTCTTGCCCACATATGTCGTGAATGTATGTCTGGGGATAATGAAGGATGTCAACTTTGCTCAATATTATGGTCGTTCGAGTACCGCCGTTGCAGTCGGTGCTCGCGTCCCACGAGCAGCATATATGTCCCTGTTGTTCCGGGACAGTGTCACCATCTTCAGCTCATTCAACCTGGCGCCATGGATGGCCTCATCCGTCCCGGATTGGGTTGCGACCGGGACGCACACCAAGGCCATGATCACTCAGCTGGTTCTGCCTGCTGCTGTTCAGTTTGCCAACACTCCACTACACCTCCTCGGATTGGACCTGATCGCTCGACCCCAGAGCCAAGGATTAGTGGAGAGGTGGAGTCGGGTCCGACGGGATTGGGCTTCTTCATCAACCGTCAGGGCTGCAAGGGTCCTGCCGGCCTTTGGAGTAGGCTGCATCATGAATACCGAGCTACGAGACCTGGTGCACCACAGTTAGCCATAATAGATACCGCGTTCAGCCAAGTACAGTGACACTACGCTTGATAGACATGTCCTAAAATTGCTAGATCACGGCCATGTAGTGGCAAAAATCCCAAGGACGTACGAATCATGACCACTCGATAAACGTCGGTCGTGAGCAGCTTCACTGAACGGCGGCTACGCTAGCCGTCGCTGGGCCCCTACAGCAAGGGAACTGGAACCTCCTCATCCTCCGAATTGAGGAGAGTGCGGGGAAATCGTAACCAGGAGAAGGCTAGGCTTATCTTTTTCGTGAAGGCGCATGCACTAACCTCATGTCCAAGGTTTGACTATCCGTGGTTGCAGCCGTCCATCCGCAGCCATTGACATACAACCAACCATGATTGACAGACCTCGATAGCTTCAAGGTCAGTATCGGCTCAGTGGCTGAGTATGCTTGACCTCGAGTCGAACAAGAACAATGGATTCCACGATACCTTATCGCTCCAATGTGGAGAAGCCCGGATCCCAGCGGATCCGCTGGAGCTGGTGGTGGACATTGCAGGAGCCAGCTTTCAGCATATGTCAACGGTGCTAACTAAACCGTTTCTCGCCTTATTGGCCGTGATACTTGCATTGGGACACTTCCCCAGATACGCTATGCTTATCCCCACGTTTCCAATCTGTTTACCGTATCAGAATCCTCTGATATGCGGACTAGAGTTATAGCTTGGTCATACCTGTCTACAGCCTCCACCAAATCCAGAACTGTATGAATATACAGTATCGGTGGTGGACACAGGGCACCAATTGAAGAGGGCTACCAGTATCCATACGTCATGGTAACAAGGGATACCGGTCGAAGATAACGCTCATGACCCCAGCGATCTCATATTTCCAGGCTGCACCATGAATTCTGCAGACATAGGTCATGCATACCTCCCTCGTTATCTGCCGGAGAATGCACTTATACCTTTTTGAGACCACTATATCCTAATAAGCCGGTTCTTCCTCACCCTGAAATGAGAAGGTGGTATTATCCTCTCTTTGTGACCTACATAAATCTACACAACTAGCACTCGAAGTCGTTGCGCTCTTTCTTCCTACTAAGCTGCATTATACTTCTTCCAAACTTGATTGAAAATGGCTGTGAGTAGTGAGTTTGGGACTCTCGCGGAGACTACCGTACCCAATGCATATGACATGCCCCCCGACGAGGAAAAGAAGCAACCTCTCGATGATGCTCCAGAGGAGGACCCTTTCGGAAATGAAGAGTGTGCAGAAGTAAAATATCGCACACTGGGGTGGTGGTAAGTCTTTGCCCGCTCTCGATTCTTCATTGTAACAGACTGGGCTGACCAGGGTAACCTTCATACAGGCGCTGTGGAATACGTGAGACTTGCCTGCAGTCATTGTTTCATCCATATTCTAACACCGAGATACGCAGTCATGGTGGCAGAGAACGTATCGATAGGGATTCTGTCTCTTCCCTCTGCTGTTGCAACCTTAGGGCTAGTCCCGTGAGTCGGCCGTCACCACGCCAAAGACTGATCACTGATCCTTAGCAGCTCGATTATTCTGATGATCGGTGTCTCATTTATTGCATGGTACACGGCGTACCTCATCTATCAGTTCAAAATGCGATACCTCCACATTCATAGCATGGCAGATGCCGGCGAGGTCATCCTAGGCCGATTCGGACGCGAGCTGCTGGGAGGCGGCCAGCTACTCTTCTTGGTGTTTGTGATGGCCAGCCATATCCTGACTTTCACTGTTGCCATGAATACGATCACCGACCATGGTACCTGTACCATTGTTTTCGGTATCGTTGCGCTGGTCATCAGCTGCATTGGAAGTCTACCGCGGACTATGGGAAACGTGTATTGGATTTCCTTCGCATGTAAGTTATATCCCAGTCCCACTCCTACCTCGAGCAGGCAGAGAACTGAGAGCATGATGAAGCTTTTCTCAGCATCGCCATCGCGGTCATTGTGACCATGATTGCCGTTGGGGTGCAAAACACAGGCCACATCCATCTCGACGCTGTTACACACCACAGCTTCAAGACCGAGTTTCTAGCTGTCAGCAACATTCTTTTTGCCTACGGTGATTTTCCCCTTCTTGAAGCTGCACAGTACGCCCCTGACAACATACAGTGGGCCATGCGTCCTTCTTCGGGTTCGTTTCCGAGATGGAGCAACCCCGGGAATTCCCCAAATCCATCGCCGTCCTCCAGATCATCGACACCTCGCTCTACATCGTCAGTGCCGTCGTGATCTACCGCTACGTAGGCGTCGACGTCGCCTCCCCAGCCCTGGGTTCTGCAGGACCCGTCATGAAGAAAGTGGCCTACGGCCTGGCCCTCCCAACCGTCAGTCCTCCTCACTATCGCACGAATCTCCACTCCCACAAACAAAGCTTCAAACCGCTAACATCTAGCCCCCTCTTCTTGCAGATCCTAATCGCCGGAATCGTCAACGGCCATGTCGCCGCGAAATACGTGTATGTCCGTCTCTTCCGGGGCACGAACCACATGCACGAGACGACGCTGCTGTCCAAGGGATCCTGGGTGGCCATCGCCCTCATCCTCTGGGTGGTCTCATGGGTCATTGCCGAGTCGATCCCGATCTTCAACGACCTGTTGAGTTTCATCGTATGCATCCACCCCCCCCCCTCCCCCCCCTCTCTGATACTTTCCACCTCTCAACTAACCATCATCTGTCCTATCCTACTCTAGACCGCCCTCCTCGGCTGCTGGTTCGCCTGTAAGTCCATATCCCATATCTCATATCCCCCCAGCCCTTGACCACCCATCCAAACCACGCAACAAATCCCTAACATGACTCGCAACAAAACCACAGTCGGATTCCCAGCGATCTTCTACTTCGTCCTCAACAAAGGGCAATGGTTCTCCTCGCCCTGGAAAACCCTCCTCAGCGTGATCAACCTCTGCATTTTGGGGATCGCTTTCGCGACGGTACGTTGCCTGCCCCCGCCACCCTTTTCTTGCTGTTCAAGCCGCACGTCAACAGTCCCTAACACGACGGAAATCATCACAGTGCGGCCTAGGCCTCTACGTCTCCGGCGACGCGATCAGCAGAGACAGCAATAACTCCGTATGGACTTGTGCCAGTAACGGGGTTTGAAGCTTGGGACTCGTTTGGGGGAATTATCACGTTCGTCTCACTTGTGGGGTTGTTCTTGTTTTAGTTTTGTTTGCTGGATCAAACTGGGATATGGTTTTACCTATTGCATGGTGTATGTAGTTAGGGGTTTGCGTATATTGGCTTGTTTGAATCTGATTTTTTTTAACTCCGGCCTAACATGTCTCTTGGGTGCGCTATTCGTGCGCAAGTTATTTGAGTCGCTGTTTGTGTAAGGTTGAGGTGCTATATCAGTGGTTTGTTGTTTGCTCTAAGTGCGACTCGGATCAAATGGATTCTTATTGTGCTAGTCGAACTATGCTTCAAGTTCGTTGTATGCCACGGACAGAACTTATAGAGATGAACGTAGACAGTGAGCCAGATCAAAGTGGCCTGGATTGAGTCACATTCACAACAAAAAAAGAGCTTGCATATACATCGTTGATTCATCAAACATTGACGCCAGGTTGCATTTCCCTCAGTTTTTGGTTCATTTCATTATACGCGATATTGTGTTTATATAATTATATATATCCAAAAGCAAACATTTTCAAATGGTCTCAAGTCATGACACATGCGTGGGTAAGGAAGGAAGGGAGGTTGGATGGGTGGGGGGCGAAGATCAAAAGCGTAGCCTCGTGGGTCGCATCATATCATTATCAAGCGGAGAATGGAGACATGTTTGTCGAGGTGGAAGCTTCGCAGGCGTCGCGGCTGACCCTAAGAAGCATCTTGCTCAATTCGGATGGGTACGACTGGAAATTGTGGTCGACGTGAGAGAATTTCCGGCGCTGGGTCCGCAATTTTGGAGCTTGAGGTCGACAGAATAGAGAAACGGTCGTATAGATGGAATATAATAAAGAGAACAAAAGTTCGAGCACCATGCATCGTCGAGTATCAGTTTCAGACATAGGCTTCAAACAATTTGATCCTTGCGCCTGGCCTAAATTATTTGCTGAAACGAAAACGCAACAAAGTCTCTCCATGCGCTGCGCCGTTATTCATGATTCTGGTCAAATTAGAACCTGGAAAGATGATCTTCAATTGCGAAAGTCCCAAGGCATGTCATGAGGATTTAAGGCAGAGGCATGGGCTGCGATTGTGATTGCGATGCGTTGGGCTGCCAAGATCATACTCATCTAGTAGGATGAGAACAGGGTGCATGGAGCAAGACTGGACCCCGTTTGGAGCACCAAGTGGTCCGGACTTGGCACCTGGGGCATTATTGTGATTGCCATGTCTATGACATAGGGGCACAGAAGCCGAAGGAGTGAGGCTGCAGACCTGGGTGGCCTAGGTGTGTGCTGAAACACAAAATGCACCGATTCAGGGATGACGGTGCAGGTCAAAGCTGATCTGGTTCACACAAACAGAGCTGGTTCAGACTGTGGTATCTTTCAAAAATCAGCGAACAGCGGTTCATATTTGTTCCTCATGTCGTCAGAATAAGGCGTCTGGTTCCGCTCGTCCGGATCAGGATATTCCTCGAAATTGCCCGTGTCAGCAGGATGGTCAACTCGTGGGATTATAGGTCCCTTAATACGACGGTACCATAAGTCATCCCAATTAATGTTCTCAAAGAAAGGATGCGCTTTCACTCGAGCAGAGCCCCCGGAGATGTATCCTAACCGCTCCGTCGGATTAGTCTTGCAAAGAAGGGAGATAATATTCTGCGCAGCGGGCGACATATTTGAAGGGTATCGAATGCGGCCCTCGACAATCTGCTCGTAGATGCGCATTGGATTCTGATCCCAGAAGGGAGGCTGTCCTACTAGGAACTCATATATGAGAATCCCCAGAGCCCACCAATCTACCGCAAGACCATGCCCGCTATTGTGAATAACTTCGGGTGCAAGATATTCTGGCGTGCCACACAGCGTGTAGGTCTCGCGGTCTGCGATTTGCTTTGCAAAGCCGAAGTCAACCAGTTTGATGTGTCCATCCGCGTCCAAAAGGATGTTCTCAGGCTTCAGATCGCGATAGACGACACCCTCGACGTCATGAAGAAACTCGATCGTCAATGCAATCTCAGCAGCGTAGAACTTGGACGTGTTTTCGTTGAAACGACGTGCGCGCCTGAGGTAACTGAAAATTTCACCTCCGGGGCAATAGTCCAACTATGATGTTGTCAGAGATCACCATAGCATAAGAAACAACATTCCGCAAAATCTCAAAAGGTCCAAACTGAGACTCGAGGGTGTAGGTATCATGGGTAAGTAGCCATACCAGCATGTAGAGGTGTTGGTCATCGGAGAAAGATGCTATTAATGTGGTTACGAATGGATGTCCGGAAACGTCCGCCAGAGTCTTCCGTTCGTTGCGCACATGCTCAACTTGTTTCAGCTTTATGACTGTAGAGGGCAAGAGACATGAATATCAGCTTCCAAAACTGATCCGATTTGAGACATCAGAAGGGAATTATTACCGTCCGCTTTCCTGAGCATTTTGAGCGCGTAGACTTTATCCTTTCGCTGCTGCTCTTCCTTCAACTGCACGAGCCATACACGAGCAAAGGTACCTAAAGACAAGGACACCGCCACCGTCAGACACCGGTTAGGCCGCGCAAGCGATGAAGCTTAGCTTACCGGTACCGAGTGTCTTCAGCAGCGTGAAGTCATTGACATTCAGCCGACGAGTCGAGATGCCTAATTGTTTCTCCTCCGGGCGGCCTGAGATAACAAAGGGACTCAGGCGTCTCTGGTGAGGCGGTCGCACCGAGGACACCAAGTCCTTTTCCTTGTGATGAATGTCGTCGGATGCCATTTCGGATCGGAGGGAGGGGGGGGATGCGCTTTGGAATTCGTTAGGATGTGAGGGGTCGACTAATCCTGCAGCCATGAGCAGGGCAAGAGTTTCATATCGCGGATGGCCGCGGGGAGTAAGTGAGATAGTGAGATAAGAGGGGCAGCAATTGAAATTGGAAGAGCTATTTCAGCTGCAGTCCCCCTTCTATAAGCGACCGACAAAGGCAAATTGGAGTGGGAGGGGAATAGATGATGGAATTTGCCCCGTGGGATTATCGATTGGAGCAGCGGGCGCAGCGCGGGAAGACGTAAGTAGAAGAAGAAAGAGTAAGTTTTGGCGGGGAGCTTTCTGCTTTCTTTCTTCTTTGGGTGAGGGAAGCCATGCGGCAGCACTAAGTAATCTAACTACTGCTTTACTACGGCAACAGAGAGAGGCCTCTGACGTTACCGCCAGGCGGGGCAATTCGACATCACCACCACCACTATCACCACCACTATCACTACCACAAACATCCTCATACTACTTCATGATGCTAATTTATCGTTAATAAAACCTTTAATACAGTCGACTAGAAATAATCTTGAGGATGGCATGCTTGCTGTTTAGACATCTAAACCAAGTACTAGTACATCAAAGCCACACACTCCCAAGGCCACCATCTGAGGCCACCACTGACTATGAATATCATGGGTGCATGTGAAATCTAACGCATTCGGGTTCAAGCTTCGGTCTGGTAAAACCGCCAGAGTGCGTCCTACTCGAGTTCATGAGGCGTATTTAAGGTTGGAGGGGGTTGACCCGAGCGGAAACGGTCAACAAGTGCGGAAACAGAGAAATGGGATCACGACCAGCCGAACTCCTCTAACCGGAGCTCTTCGAGTTGAGGATAAGACCAACGATCAAACTATTACCGTCAGCGTACTGTCTATTTCTCCCACCGGTCCTTGCACCAAAACCTACCCATAAAGACCAAGAACCTCGCCGAAAATGAGGATCAGAATCATGCCGACATAAACCCTCGATTGTTGCATGTACGCACGCACGCCCTTCCAGAGTTATCAGTAGCTGCACGAGGTAAGCACACAAGTCTTCGACTGCCGCTTACCGCATCTCCCACAATTCCAATAGTGTATCCGGCAGCCACGCCTGCGAGGCCAACCGATAATCCAGAAGCCAAGTGCATGAATCCACTATATAGCCGTTAGTTTGTCGTTCTGATAGTGATTGCTTGCAGGCCGAGCATACGTGTAGAGACTCATGTTCCGGGTCGGGGGAGGGTCCATATCACCGGCGATAAGGACGGCGATGACGAGGCCATAGACGGCGATGATACCGGACATGACGACGGGGATCAAAGACTGCATTGGTCAGCTCGACTGCTCATCCTGGAACCGTAGATGGGGTTCTCCATGCCTTCATAATCAAATCAGGACGGAAGGTTCCCACACCGGCGATACCGATTCCAGATTTGGCTGTTCCATATGCTGCTCCCAATGCTGTAATCAAGTGAGTCAATGCGCCGGCCCCAGTCGATCCTTCCCTTGAAAACCCAAGCTCACATACATCCGAAAATCATCTTTGTCACAGTGCTCATTAGTGGGCGGTCACAGGTCACGGGTATTGTTCACGCGATACTCACAGCCGATGCAATTCCTGCCTGCAAGTGTATGTCAGTAGCTATAAATAACCATCGAAGTATCCGGAGCAGCCAGGGCAGGCCACAGAAAGAATGCCGTGTCGTAGGAGTCGATTCAAGATTCGCAGCGACTTACAAAGGAGAAGAATGGAGCGAACTTGGGAGAGAACTCGCTGTCCGCCATGGTGAACTGATGCGAGACACCGCAAGGTTGGGAATCGACGGAAGGTGACAAGTAACGGGGTGGCTAGGAGGCGATCGGAGTAAGGATTTGCGGAAGAAGACCGTATTCCAGTTGAGTATGAGCTAAAAGGGATCGGAAAGTGGCTCGAATGAATACACTGAGAGGTCTTGCCGTGAACCGGAGGTCGAAGGTGTGATTTGTAGGTCAACCGAGAACCAAGTAAGTAGAGGCAACAGAAGGTCAGTTGTTCCAACTCCAGGTGCCGGTGACGGAAGTTGTCCGCTTGGGCCACCGTACTCTAACAACTGGTCAGTCCCATCTAGGTTAAGACTTGACATGTGCCTGGTTGACCCAACAAACCACTGGGCAACTCTCTGGTCAACCTTTGGTTAACCTCTGGTTAACAGTGCTCCGTACCACTAAAACTGCTAACTTCTTCATTCACAATCCACTCCCACACCCACATCCACACCCACCATCACCACTACTCCTCCTCCCCTCCCCTCCCCCCCCCTCCCGTGCTGCCAGTACTATTGCTGTGCTCTCTTCTACACCCGGATGGGTCAATTCTTCACTAAAATCAACACACCTACACGCGAACTACCATTAATACCCCCATAACTTACAGGGCATACACTTAATTACTGCCCTCTCCTCATAACTCACTCCTCCCCCGAATTCCGCCCCCGTCACTACTCAACTTACAGTACATACTCCCTGCCCCCTCCCCTCTCTTCCTTCCGATTCCTCCTCTTCCTAACTCTCTCTCCCCTTCCCCTCCTCCTCCTCCTCCCTCCCCCCCCCCTCCTTTCTTCCCTCCCTCCCCACTCTTAATCCTCTCTCTGCCTAGTCTCTTCGGATTTGCATTGTCTAGGCACTGTGTGTCGATCCACCCGTCAGCTAGAGGGAGAATGCTGAGGCTATGAACCAGGGGTCCTGGTTTGCCGTTGCGCTCAAGGCTCCTCCAAGCGCACCTCGATTACCATCAACACACCACGCGGTCTCGACGCCTTTCCCCAGGCTGTCAACCTATTCCAACCACCAAGCTCGTTGAGGCATGATACACCGGGGCGCTTCTTTCTCTGTTTAGATATCTTCTCTATTTCCTTTTTGCCATTTTATTCTTGTCTTATTTTTATCTTTCTTACGTGCTTATAAATTATCGCCCGTGGAGGACCTCTTTTTTCTTTTTCCCCTCCCAAACCCGCCCTCTTCTCCTTTTCTCCATCTCCACGACTTGGAACGATCTTTTTCATTGCGACAAACGGCACGCTCTCTACGACCGGATTCGATACCCTACCTGTACTAAGACGAATTCCTCCGCCTTCCACCCCCCCCCCCTGAACTCCTCGAGTCGCACCTACCAGATTGACCCGTGTCGCTATACGAAAGCCTAAGTCATTGCGATTACGAGCGCGAGGAGCAACAAGGCGCCATGGCTGACTTAGGGGGCCAGCAAGGCCGGAATTACCGGCCTTACGGACACCCCTCTGCCTTTCAACGTGATGCTGCATACTCCGAGATCTTTGGCGGTGCTCCGCCACCGGGACGCTCGCAGACGATGACATCCCAGACTCCCCAGTTCTCTCAGGATCGAGCTCACACGATGTCATCACACGTCCCACATCCACAGATGCATAGAGGTCCGCCACCGCCCGCACGCCAGATGCAGAATGGCTATCCATCGGGGGCTCCCAACGGATACTACCAAACCTACTCCGGCAGCGCAGCACCTCCAGCTTTCCAGCAGCCTTCACAGCACCCCGCACGGCCCTACCCCGGACGCTCCGCTTATCCGCAGCCTCAACGGTTGGATTCACGACCGAACACTGGACCACAATACCCAGACCCAAAGGGCTACACTAGGACAATGCCGGCCCATCCCGCCCTGAACTCAGACTCGAACCGGTCCCGGTCAATGGCGAAGATGGGTGGTCCCCCAATGTATCAACCCTCTTTGAGCAGCTTCAATCACACTTCTGCCAATGCAATCCGTCAGCAGCAGTACACCGCGGCGGCTCCGATAACAGCTCAAGGGCGACCCGTCCCTGAAAGGAATCCGAACGAGCGCGCCATGTCGTTGACCACGTACCCGACAGATCGAGATCACGCCTACACAACAAGCACAGGGCGAGTAATTCCACCCAGGAGGCAACCATCCGGACCTCCTAGCCAGGCCCCAGTCAATGGCTACCCACCTGAGCCACCCAGCGCCCAGAATGTTAATGGTACGCCTCGCCCACCCAGCGATGGATCCACAAACTCGCGCTCCATGTCGATGGCATCAACCATCGTGCCGGATCGAACGATGAGCATGCAGAGTACTGTGGCTGGGAAGCCAAGCAATCAGCCCGGTCTTGCGCAAAGCAACTCGCGTCGGAGTAAGGTTCCGTTGGTTTATCCAGCTCTGCTCTCGCGTGTTGCCGATGTTTTCCGTGAGCGAATTACACTCGCAGAACTACAAAAGAACGGACTGTCATATCAAAACGCATTTACCGGTGCCCACGCAGTGGATCTAATTGCACACATCATCAAGACCAATGATCGGAATCTGGCTCTGCTATTGGGCCGCGCGCTGGATGCGCAGAAGTTTTTCCACGATGTGACGTACGACCATCGCCTCCGAGATGCGCAGGGCGAAATTTACCAATTCAAGGAGACAATGGGAGAAGAGGCGCCAAGCTCGGAGGTCAATGGTGTGTTCACACTGCTCAGTGAATGCTATTCGCCGACGTGTACGCGGGATAGCCTGTGCTATTCCATTGCCTGCCCCAGAAGGCTCGAACAGCAGGCTAGGCTGAATCTGAAGCCGCAGCCTGGGCTACGATCGTCTGCTTCGAAGGGCAGTCTGCACGGCGATGACGATGACAACGACAATCAGAAACTCTGGATCAATATGGTTCCTAAGGAGGTATCAGACAGTATTGACGATCGCGAAAAGAAACGTCAGGAGATCATCTTCGAGATCATGTACACAGAGCGTGACTTTGTCAAGGATTTGGAGTATCTGCGAGACTTCTGGATGAGGCCCTTGCGGGCCGCGGGCAATGCAACTACCTCGCCTATTCCCGAGCATCGGCGTGAGAAATTCATTCGAACGGTCTTTGGCAATTGTTTGGAGGTCCTGAAGGTCAACGGTGGATTGTGCGAGGCCTTAAATTCTCGACAGAAGGAAAGCCATGTTGTCAAGACAGTCGGTGATATTTTCCTTCAGCACGTGCCACGATTCGATCCGTTCATCAAATATGGTGCCAATCAGCTGTACGGCAAATATGAATTCGAAAAGGAGAAAGCGTCGAACCCGGCATTTGCGAGATTCGTGGAGGAAACGGAACGTCTCAAGGAGTCGCGCAAGCTCGAATTGAATGGTTATCTGACCAAGCCGACCACGCGTCTCGCCAGATATCCACTCCTACTGGAGCAGGTCTTCAAGAACACAGCCGAGGATAGCCCAGACCGCCAAGATATCCCCAAAGCCATTGCTCTGATCAAGGATTTCCTGTCTCGTGTCAACGCAGAGAGTGGTAGGGCTGAGAACCACTTCAACCTGGTGCAGCTCAATGCTGCGCTGAAGTTTGGTCCTGGCGATTACGTGGATTTGAAGTTGACGGAAGAGAACCGGCAGATGTTATCGAAGATGGCGTTCAAGAAAACGCCAACAGACAGCTCCGAGGTTACCGCATATCTTTTCGATCACGCAGTTCTCTTGGTCAGAATCAAGGTTGTCAACAAGCGTGAGGAGTATCGCGTGTATCGGAAACCTATTCCGCTAGAGCTGTTGGTCATTGCCCAGATGGATGAGGTAATACCCAAGGTGGGAATTCCCAAACGGCCGTCGTCCAGTCTTCTCTCCAACAAGGCTGCAGCAAATCCTCCCACTACTAAGGATGGCCTTCCTATCACTTTCAGGCATCTTGGCAAGGGCGGTTATGAGCAGACTCTGTACGCTACATCAACCACTCAGCGCCGGAAATTCATCGAATTGGTAGAAGAACAGCAGCGGAAGCTCAGGGAGCGCAACAGCAACTTCTACAACAAGACAGTTCTCTGTGAGAAGTTCTTCACATCTGTCAACCGTGTTAATTGCCTTGTTCCAATTGGTATGTTCTATCTTGTCGCAGCCAAAATCCCCATTTTCATATGCTAACCGCGCTTCGCTTTGACGCAGACGGAGGTCGAAAATTGGTCTACGGTACCGACAGCGGTATCTATCTCTCCGAACGTTGGCCGAAGGACAAGTCAGCAAAACCTCGGCGGGTTCTTGATGTCAGTCAGGTCACTCAGATAGATACATTGGAGGAGTATCAACTGCTTTTGGTTCTGTCGAACAAGACACTATCCTCTTACCCCATGGATGCGCTCGAGATTCATGAAGGCCAGAACACTATTGCGAAGCGACCTAAGAAGATTCAAGGTCACGCGAACTTCTTCAAGGCCGGTATTGGACTCGGACGTCATCTGGTGTGCTCCGTCAAAACCTCCGCTTTGTCGACCACCATCAAGGTTTACGAGCCTATGGATAATCTGGCGAAGGGTAAGAAGAAGTCGGCTGTCAGCAAGATGTTCCAGAGTGGACAGGACACATTGAAGCTCTTCAAGGTTCGTGCCCTTACTTCAGATTTTCTTGTCATCCGGACTTGGCAGCTAAACTTGCGTTTCACAGGAATTCTACATCCCTGCGGAGTCTTCCTCGATCCATTTCCTTCGCTCAACACTATGTGTGGGCTGTGCCCGAGGCTTTGAGGTTGTCAGTCTCGAAACCACCGAAACACAGTCTCTGCTCGATCAGGCGGATACATCTCTTGACTTCGTTGCACGCAAGGAGAATGTGAAGCCGATCCACATCGAACGCTTGAACGGCGAATTCCTCTTGAACTACAGCGACTTCTCATTCTTCGTCAACCGCAACGGATGGCGTGCCCGTGCTGACTGGAGAATCTCCTGGGAGGGCAATCCGAACGCATTTGCACTTTCTTTACCTTATATTCTCGCTTTCGAACCCAATTTCATCGAAATCCGTCATATTGAAACGAGCGAGCTGGTGCATATCATGACTGGAAAGAACATTCGCATGTTGCATTCGTCGACCCGAGAAGTAAGTCGAGCCTCCAGCAGTCACTTGATTCGAGCAGTTGCTTACCTTGTCACAGATCCTTTATGCCTATGAAGATGAATCAGGAGAGGATGTGGTCGCCAGCTTGGATTTCTGGAACAAGCCACAACACTGAGTCATCAATTAGTTCAAAGCCACCTAGACGGGTGGAAGGGAAGAAGAAGATGCGAGGAGAGACAGTGTCATGTTTTATTTTCGTCCCAAGTGTCACTTCTTTTGCTGCGCTTAGAAAGGCCTTTGTTTTTACCATCCCGGTCGGCTCAAAAACGGCGAGGGCATACATTCATCCATCTGCGTTACTAACCTTGAGCACATTCCCCCTTTCCCTTCAGAATCTCTTGCTGCCCTTGACTCTCAGGAGGTCTAGTGCCAGAGATTCTTTCTCAATTTTGTTTCTCCCCTTTCCTTTCTCTAATACCTCTCCATGTCAATTCATCTCCATCTACCTGTCTTTGTACGCAACCCCTTGGTCGATTTGGCGTACCCGCATCCGACCCCGCAAATTCTCACCCCGACTTGTGTACAATGAAGCGCAAATACCACCTGTGCCTTTTACCCCCAATTTTTCTCATTCTTCTCGCACCTTTTTTCCTTTTCTCTTTCTATCATCTCATCTATCTTATCCATCTTAGTCAAGAACTCCATGCTTCTTGTTCATCCTGATGTGGTCCTACTCGCTGTGATCCGGGGGAGTAGTTACGTAGCTCTCTTCCTCGCGGCTTCCGATTTCCTCAACACGCGTAAGCTCGCCTATATAGTCAGGGTCCTTTCATGAACCTTGAACCAGTTGTAGGCTTCTTCTCTGGGAAAGAGCAAAAGATAGCCTTCTAAGTACCAGCCTTGAACCTAGTACAATTGCACTCACTCCCTTTCTGTGGCGCAGTAAAGGAGGTATAAGTTATAGTTGAAAGCTCAAACCTCCCGGGCCCGCTGACTTAGCACTTCCGCCTCCGCTCCGCCTGCAAAGTAAGCATTGATCTAGTACTGTACACCACGCACCCACCCACTCAATAACATAATATCTTCTATTCACCAAATTTGGTCTCCCCGTATTACGTCGATGCACTAGGATCAATCACTAAATCCACACTCATAAACAGTATAAGCATGGCGACACACTACCCATAAAATTGGGACGAATAGGCAGTGGTCGCGATGGAAAAAGTACACCGCAACATATTTATGTACAGTACAGTACCTTCGGTCCCGTGACTTTCCCCTTCACCCGATTTCGTCGCTAGGAACCCCTCCGGATTGTGTTGACATGTGATATCAAACTCCTATCCAATCCATCGAATGGAATTTGCTTTGAATCAGAAGAAGTCGCATGGTAGGTGGTGGCGAGAGGTACATCTACGATCTATTTCCTACAAGTCGGAGTGAAACCCAATTACACCTTGCCAAGCCCTAGACATGATGCAGTGGGATGGAGAGAGAACAACCTGATGGTAGAGTAAGGGCATGTACGGATTAGGAAAAGAACCCACGAGATTGGTTTGTTTGGTTGTCTGTTTAGTTGGTGTTTGGTAGGGTTTGTTTGTTGCACACACACACTCACTCACATACAAATAACTCAAATATAACGACAAAACATGATAAGCTAAGAAAGAGGGGAAATAAAAGAGGAGAAACTACCGGACAAAAGAGGGAATCTTGCTGCGCGCTGCTGACACTGGGACAGGGTTTCATGTGAGGGAAGGGGAAGTAGAAACGAAGAAAAGAAAAGAAAAAGGAGTAATGATCAAGAGGAACGAGAAAACCAGGGACAACAACAAGCAATGTTAGAGATTTGAAACTGTATGCAAATGCTTTCCTCAGTGATAACTGTGAGTAATTAAAAATGATGCTATTCTTCTGACTCCAGACATCTTGCAGCACACGGGGGTTAGATGATTGATGGCTTTCAAAAGACGATGTGAAGTTGGAAGGTTGGAGATTGCAGCCGAAAATATGTCCGTTCCTTTTCCCTTCTTCTTTGTTCTTGTCTGTCTGGGATGATTCCCAGAGGGGTGGTTGGTGGCGGTGGGAAGGGTAAAAGAGAGAGCGAAAAAAAGCCAGAGAGGATTTGTTTGTTCCCAGTCACCGTCGTACTAAAACGGAACGTTGCATTTGCCCTCCCTTTTCCCTTGCAGATCAAAAGAAAAATTAGGAAAGCAAAAGAGGGGAAAAAAAAAGAGAAAAAAGCTATTAACGTGAATAAACGGCCGACTAATCTTAACCCCGTAGACAGTTGCGACTGCCGCGCCACGGTTCTCATTACAAAGGCACATACGGTGTCAGATGTCAATCATGTGGAAACCGTTTTCCATGAGTCCCAGGGATTTCGACGATGTTCGTTTAGGCATCTCCATTGGTGACATCGACCTGACTCTGGCTGGCCTCCCGTGCCATGCGGGCCTCGATTTCCCTCAGCTGGCTTTCGCGAGCCAACAATTCCTGACGCTTCTCAGCAATCTCACGCTGCACCTTCAGCTCGATCTCACGGAGCTTCTCCTCCTCACGGCGGAGCTGCTCCTCCTTCAACCTAACGGACTGGGAGGCCAGATCTTCGGGGTTCATGGAAGAGTCTTGTGTACTGTTGCGAAGCTATTAGTCGGCGAACGGATAGCACGAATGATGCCAAGGCTAGGAATACGTACGGAGTAGCACCGTCCACGCTCTTGCTGAGCTTCTCGGTACGGTAGTTTTCGTAAAGGAAATCGTGGGTGATCTCCTTCAGATCGGCCAAGTGGCTGTGGAGAAGGGCGCTGCGAATGGCCAGGAAGTCGGAGTGACGAGGGTTTTCGACCTCTACAACACCCCACGGATATTGCCTGGCACGCACCTTCTTGCCATCGATCTCAATCAACTCATCGGAGCCCACAATAGCGAATGGCATGAGACCCCGCAGCTCGGCATTCTCCTCCACGGTATCTTCGTCGTCTTCCTCGATGTCGTAAGGGAAGTTGTAAACAGGGATGCGGTAGTGCTCGATATCCTCCATGATCAGCTTCTTCGATTCGGCCAATTCGGCGGGGGTGAGGGAGTCGGCCTTGCCGATGACGGGGATGACGTTGACACGGGGCGACAGGCGCTTCATCAGCTCGATGTCGAGCTCACGCAGACCGTGACCGGTGGGTGTGATGAAGTAAAGGAGGACATGGACACGGTTGTCCCTGAAACGGGGGTTACGCTTGATCCGAGACTCCTCGGCAAGAATATCATCGTATTGGCGCTCGAGGTATCCAACGATTTCCCCGAAGCTGCGAAACGGTCAGTCGTGCACAGGGAGTGGTATTGTGTGCAACCAGGGCCACCTGCCTTGCTTCGTTGTCAATCTGATCACCGAAACCGGGGGTATCGACAACGGTGAGGGAGATGCGGGTGCCCTCATCGTCCAATTCGAGTTCTGTCGAGCTGTGCGTTAGCTCCAGCGTTGAAACACATAGTGTGGTGGCCTACTCACCGACTGTGACAGGTTTGATGCGGACACCCTCCTCAATGTGAGCGTTGGCAGCATCGTCGGCGTCCTTTCCTTCCAGGACCTTCTTTCCGCAGAGAGTGTTGACGAAGGTAGTGCGTCCTAGAGAGATCGAAACGGGAGGTCAATTTTGGGGACTGGAGAGCGTGGCTGCACGGGTTGTAAACGTACCGGTTCCGCTGGCACCACAGACCATCAGACAGAACTGGATACCCTTCTTGACGTTTTTCTTGCGACGGAGCTTGGGCTTGAAGTTAGAGGCGAATTAACCACAGTTAAGACTCAGAGCAGAGTTGAAGCAGTTGACACGATCGAAAATACCTGTGCCCCTAAGCCATTGGAAGAGCGTAGTTGTGGTGGTGGTAATGGCGGGGGTGAGGCAATTCGAGCGGCCGGCATAGAAAGGGGAAGGATAACAACTTACCGCGCTGAATGAGGAAGACATGGTGGGCTAAAGAAGGGAGGTGGGGGGGAAGGGAGAAACAAAGAAAGAAAGGAAGATGAGGGTGGAGAGAGTAGAATTAGAGGAAGAGTTTAAGCAAGCGAGTGGAAGGGTGGACGGAGGAGAAAGATGAAGTAAAGGAAGGTCGTGGGAAGTGGAGGAGGAGGATGAAGGGAAGGAAGATAGAAGGAGAATGAATGGAGATGGGATGGGATGGTTGTTGCTCTTCTCTCTCCCCTGAGGAGATGGTCTTCCCGTTGTACTTACTCTTAGTTAGTCTCCCTTCCCACTGCCGCCGCCCCCGTCAAACTGGCCGTTAACTAGTGGGTTTAAGGGGGTTGTAAGGCCACAACAGATTGATTCCTCAGGCATTAATACACTCACAGTCTTGTCCCATGACCATACGCATACCAAAGTTACACTCCCGCAGGACTCCCCTTTTCTCCATCCAGTGGCTGGCCAACCAATCGTCACTATCCCAGGTCTTCTTCTCCAGACTGTCTGAGAGTGGTCCACGGTAATTCTGGTACGACCCGGGCTCAAGTGCAGTGCAGTGGCTCTTTCCACTACCCCCATCCATCTTCACCCATGGATCACCCCAGGTACACTCCGAGGTCAGATTTGCTAGTTTGCTATCCGTAGTTTGCTAGTTTTACTACTGGCACTTGCTCATTTACAGATCTGTCTGTGGTACTCGAAATGATACTTATATAATTGACCTGTCCGATCCGGGGCTTCAAGGATCTTCAATAATCAATTATTGTCAGGCTATGCAACTCCTATCTCGCACCCACTGGAAATCAATGGTTCAGCAACTGCGACACGGTACCTGACTGCAAGCAGACAGAACCGTGAGACAGGTCTGTTTTGTCAGTCCTCAATTGGCATCCAGATGCCCAATGTGGGCAGTCTTTGTTTTGCAGACGGACTATCAAATTATTGCTGGGTTTAGTTCAGGGGTTTATGGCCACCAAAAGTTCCGATCGCCGCCGTGGGTCGCTGTGGGCCGCCGTATGCCTTGGGGGTTGGGCCTTTGGGGGGCCTTGGGCTCTTTCGCTGCCTGAGGCATAAAGCCTTTTGCTGGTTGATGTTGACTCTCTACACACTTTATTGAACCAACGGGGCACGCTACACAGCCAATGTGTTCGAAAAGGGACCGGCTCTTAAAGCTGCCTACCTAGTTTCCGATCCATGTTGAGCTGCGAAGCATAAAATTGCAGAGGGGAAGACATTGTATTTCAGCCTGCATACCAACTACCGACGAACTCAACATTTTCAGCCTCTCATGCCTCCTCTTCAGGATATAACTCGCCTCGGTCCAGCAGGGCCAAGGAATTCCTGGTGCGAGCTCCCGTGTCGAGCATCAGCTTCACATTCTCCTCATTTCCCTTCGACGGTATCTTCTGCCTCAGCTTAAAGGCCACGGATCTCATCTGCCAGACACGAGTGAGCTGAGACTGGGCCTTGACTGTCAGGTGATAGAGTAAATCCGTCTCGCGCTCTGTCAAACTCTCAATCAAAGTCCTGGATTCCTTGTGCTCCTTCAGATATTTGTTGATGTGATCTATAGTCGGCTCAGGGAACCACAATCTTGGAGCCAAGAACGCCAGCCAGTCGGCCCGCGTGTAGTCTCTTTCGTTCAGCAGGTTACTATCTGTATCTTCCGACAACGGCATATCGGGGAATGAGCAAGACTTCCGGTTCATCAGGCGGCTGAGATCCGCCCCATATGGAGTCCCATTTGGTCTTCAGGTAACCTTTCTCGTTAGGTGGGAAGATTCCTCTCCAGAAGATCCCTTCTTGGATTTTACCGGTGGTTGGGTCTTCGGGTCTTTCACGCGGGTAAAATTCTTTAGTGCTTCCGGCTGATAGCGTAGCACCGGTCCTTGGTTGACCTCCCGGTACGGTTTGCCCAGGGCATATGCAACCACGGGATGAATATATTCTTCGGTAGAATAGAGATTCGGATTCGGAGCAACCAACTCGTTCTTGTCATTCTTCTTGAGCGGCTTGTACTGGCCAGGTGCGATTGATGATGCATGCGAAGCTCATACCGAAGGTCATACTGTCGGGTCGGGATCCCATACCCCAGCCACCATAGCCAGTACGATTGTCGGGGTCAGCTTCGTCGTCGTAGTTCTTGCCGTCACCCTTAGCATAGCTGTAGATGTGTGCCTTGTCCCATCTTTTGAAAGAGCGCTGCGATAGGTCAAGGACGGTGTTGATGTATGTTTGATAGAGACGCGTTAACTCGTATGACTCGAATTGAAGGTTCGTGTGCTCTCGAACCCGGTCGTTCATCCACGTCAGTGACAAGCTCGCCATCGATTCCAGATCTCCCACATGCTGCACTGTCTCCTCGCTACCTCCTCCGATATGAATGTGGCGTCCCGGGCACCAGCACTGAATCAGCTTGGTCGTGGTGTTGCGGGTCGGAAGGTGCCAAAGTGTGGGGCTGAACGGTGCTCGATGATCATCTAGCGCCAGAGCTTGAAAGGCGTGCTTAAGCTGTGGTTGCACGTCTGTGTCATGAAAGCCGTGCTCAGTACTGTTATAGTTTGTAAAATCATACAAAGTATTGTTGGGCAAGCCTAGAGCGCCGACTGTATCGAAAACACCAATGACCCCAATCGGGACATTCTTGTAAAACCGATCCTCATACTTCAATCCCGCGGTAGCACCTTTCGAGCCCCAACTCCACGTGTCTATCCACGTGCCTAGAGAGCTTGTTGACGCAGACAAGGGCAAAGTTGTCCTGCCTATTCAACCTTTTCTTTTAATCATCGTACATAGCCCACCAGTCATCGTCATGTCCGGCATGCAAATTACCATATTGCAAACCAGGCCGGCCAAGGCTCGGGCTGTGTACGCACCCCAGAAAAAACCGAAGATGTCGATCTCATCCCCGGGGTACAATTGTTGACCTCGTATGAAGTTAGGATAGCTCAGGGCCTTGCGATACTGGTTTTCCTACTTACCAAGAAGTTGTATCCTTCGCAGACATTTTCCTCCAGTCCGCGACTGAACGCGCCCTCCCAGGTCTTCTGAATCCCAGCCATCGTGTTGGCCAACCAGTTTGGTCGTCCTTCTTATCGTGCCGGTGCCTACGCCTGCGTTATAGTAGACACTCTGGTGGACGGCATCTCCCTTATCATCAGCAAGTCCGCAGCGAGCGATGGTACGACTGAGCCTTGCGACATTAGACGGGATGTTCATCTGCCCATGGTTGGACGACTGCCATGATCCATCACAGCAGGTAATTAGCCGCTTCGGCGGACCGTCGATGCGAACAGAGCGGTCCCTTCGCAGTAGTGGTTCCAATTTGCAAAAAGGGTTCCGTCCCAATTTGATGGATCCTATCGATGCTGATGGACTCAGGCGCGGGATCCCCCATGGTTCTCGAGGCAAGCTGTTCTGGAGAATCGGAATTTGACGAGATGTCCCTCGGAGGCAGATCTCGAGGAGTGCCTCTTAAATAGCATTTGGGAGGGTTGTGGCGCAGATCTTATATGAAAATGTAGTCGCCCCATCGTATTATTAGTTAGCGAGTTGAAAGATGGATCTACGCGGCGTAGCTGCAGTTGGTGTCTCTGGTTCGTCCTTTATTTTTTTTCTCTGCCGAGTGCGGCGATCGACACAGATCGGAAGAGATGTGCGTGAGTTCGCGTTCCTCTTCGCTCGGATGCTCCGAAGCTATGGGATGGGTCTAGATCTTGAGGCATACTGAATGCTGAGTAGCGGTACAATTCAGTCGTAGCTAACGCAGTGTGCACCATCGGCTAGCTGAGGAGAACAGCCACATTTGATGTATCAATCGAGCGAGGCTATCGCGTCACGGCAAATGCAGCCGGCTCGGCAAGTCCACTCCACGCTCCCGGTCAATTCATCATAGGAGCTAGGTCACTTGGGTAGACGCTCAGACCCTAGGTCATGATGCCGAAGTAGCAGCTAGAAATCATAGAGTTTTAGTAGATTTATCACGAGTTTGTGGGAGTGCATGTGTGTGTGCATCAAAGTGGGAGTCGGTGCGAAGTGTCCGGCTCGGCCCGTGGGACTTGGAGGGCCGAATCGCTCTTTAAACCCAAGGCTCAATCAGTCCCTGCTAGCGCGGTAAGTCATGCAGAAAACTGCAGAGGGGGGAGGGGTACGAGAAAATACATTCATATACAGCGTTGGCTTTATTTGATAATTCGACTTTCAGTCGAAAGAATGCCTGCAACACAGAAATAGCAAGTAAACTGCCATTGATGACGCCAAAGCACGGACATCTCACCGGTGATATCCTCGACTATTCAAAAAAAATATAGAATTGATCAGTCGCTTTACCATATGCACGTACAAGGTACTCGTATCTCACTACTTGAGGAAACCATATATCTTGCCGAAGGCCAGCCTTGAGAGGTTGACTGCCAATTGACTTTATGGGTCATGAAAACCACCCCCTGTCTCACCCCCCGTCTTCGGACATCTTTAGGCCGGGGGAGACGGAAACTAATCCAGGAAACGTGGGGGTGGCCCCGGATTAAACTGCGGATAACACCTCTTCGGGTCGGACATGCACCGAGCTGTATAAGTGTTTAAATTGTCTCCATTGACCTCATCCCGGGCGAGTCCCCTCAGAAAAATTTCCAGCATAATCTCATATCACAGCTTAGATCATTCAAGCTTCACAACATAAAGCAACAAAATGGCCTCCAAAGTTGCCGACCCCCGGAATCTCCGCGACCAGTCCGTAGTGGCACACGGCTTCTGGCTCACGTATGTTGCTACCCCTCATTGCCCCTCACCTCATCTCCTCGAGCCTACCCTCTGTGATGGTACTTCCCAACGGCCAAACCGCACGTACTCCTGAAATGCGCTCAATGACTAACGCTGCTCTTTTATCGTTCTTAGATTCCCCAGCGCTCCCCTCGCCAAAACCATTCTTCATCGTTCCTTCACAGAAAAGTCCAGATTCAGCTGGGTTCTCATTGACGCAGAGCATGGATTGATCACGGATAGAGATTACTATGACGTATGGCCTCTTCATTATCAACTCAGGCTCAGCGCACTAACGACGGCTGATTTAGCTCACCAATGCTGTTGCTTCGGAAGGAGCTGTCCCCATCATCAGAATCCCCTGGGGTGAGGAATGGATGATCAAACGAGCCCTTGATGCCGGTGCTCACGGCATCCTCACACCCATGTGCCACACCGCAGTACGTGCAATGCATGATCCCTCGTGACGTTCCGAGTCTGTGGCGCACAGCCGTACTAAAACTTCTTTGTTTCTAGGCCGACGCCGCCAACATTGTCAAGTTCTCAAAGTACCCACCACTGGGAACCCGTGGCTTCGGACCGCTGTTCGCCACTCACTCATTTCCGAGCGTACTGCCTGGCGATGACTACGAAGCGGTCTCGCAGGATGGAATCATAGTTATGGTGCAGATCGAGTCTAAGTCCGGTGTGGAGAATGTGGAGGAGATCGCTCGCGTTGACGGGCTGGACGGCATTCTGATCGGTATGTTAAGAACAGAGCCCGTGTAGATTGCCGGGTGCTGACTTGTGCATCGCAGGACCTTTTGATCTTGCCAAGCAATTGAACGTCACTAGAGGCGGCGAGGAGCATGAGGCTGCTATCAAACGCATCTTGGCTGCTACCAAGGCTGCCGGAAAGAGGGCGGCGATCTTCTGTACGTTCCCCCCTTCGCTTCTGGGTCTTATAAGTTTCGAGACATGTTGACAGGAATAGGTACCGGCGGTGCCGACGCTCGGGCTCGTATAGAGCAAGGATTTGATATGGTGTCTGTTATTACCGACGTTGGACTAATAGGTGACGCAATGCAGAACGAGTTGGACATTGCTAGCGGCCAGAAAGAGATTGACGGCTCCAAAACCTCGGGGTCAGGGTACTAGAGGACTTGGCCATGAACTTCTTATGATAGAACTTTCTTATTTGTACATGAACAACTTCGCGCAACAAACAACTTGGTTGAATGAGACATTTTCCCTCGGGACTGGACTGAAAGAAACATGCTAGCCTCCACAAACACATGATGAAGTGTCGTTGACTATAGTCAAGTATTAGGAGACTTAGATATAATCTCATGTACCGAAATGAATTGTCATGCTCAGACAGATATTCCTACCACGTAAGTCAACTAGTTATCATTCGCCTATTACATCATCCATGCCTGAGAGCGTTATTGATGCCTCAGGCATAAATATTGCAACGCCCGTTTGTGCCATTCTTTGATGCAAGATGATCTCTGCGCGATATCAAATTGCAAAGTATACCTTCTAAGCATCATTTACTCCGTTTACCAGCCACGATGCTAATTAACATGCATTACAGGCAACAATGGCCCAGCACTGTGACACTTTCCCCTGGCCTTATCTACAAGGCGGCAACGACATTAGCTAGGCGGCTGCGATGAGGTCAGCGCCCATCCGGCGGCCGATCATCTGCTTCTGGCCTTCCCCGGAATTCCAGCAATTATACCTAGTTGACTCTATCCCCATCCTGCCCAGCGCTAATGGCCTCCTTCCTCGGTTGCCAGGATGAACACTCGCCAAGTCATCGATGAGTCGGTGGGGCCGTACTCACTGTCGGCCTCATTCAATAACGACAACACATGTTTCGCCGTAGGCCTGGACACCGGCTTTTGTGGTCAGTGGTCACTCACATGTGCTTGCTCTTCCGTCGTGGGCTTTCTTATCGGGAACAGCAGCCAAGCTAACCACCGAACAAAACAGTCTTCAAAACCGATCCATGTGAGCTTACAGTTTCAAGAGGTACTTGTCAAAACTTCTTTTCTCTTTTTTATTCTCTATCTGAATCTCTAGTCCGGGTTGCTAACGACTGCTTTTTGAACATCCCTACAGATTTCAATGCCGGAATTGGTCTGGTTACCATGCTCGGCCAGTCGAAATACCTCGCGATCACCGGCGGAGGAAGACAACCGAAGTTCCCTCAGAATAAGGTGCGCCACGGAATCTCCCTCCTTCCTCTCTCCTTCCTCGACGTGTTTGGTTTGTGATGCAGTGAAGCTATGTACTGACGACGATGGTTTCGTGTCTAGCTGGTGATCTGGGACGACGCCAAGCAGAAAGCCGCCATCACCCTCGAATTCCGCACCTCGGTCTTGGGCGTCCGCCTGTCCAAGTCGCACATAGTCGTCGCGCTGCTGAACAGTGTCCATGTCTTTGCCTTCTCGATCCCTCCGCGGAAGCTCTCGGTCTTTGAAACAGTGGACAACCCTCTGGGTCTGGTTTGCCTGGGGGAGAAGCTACTTGCTTTTCCCGGCCGATCTCTCGGGCAAGTCCAGCTGGTCGAGCTTGAGACCGGGAACGTGAGCATCATCCCAGCACACGCGCACCCGCTGCGGGCCATGACTCTGAGCTCGGATGGCGCGCTTTTGGCCACGGCGAGCAAGAGGGTAAGAGCACCCGAGCCTTTGCCCATGTACATCAGGCTATGATTTGATGGTAACTTACGTCTTTCTTAGGGCACTATGGTCCGGATTTATTCTACCAGTAACTGCACGAGGATAACCGAGGTACGCCGGGGTCTTGATGAAGCAGATGTATTTTCGATTGCTATATCACCTTCAAATACGCTGTTCGCCGTGACGTCCGATAAATCGACTCTGCATGTCTTTCCAGTGCCCAAAACTGAATCAAAGTGGGGATTCTTGTCAAAGGTTCCCATGCTCCCGGGGTTCTTCTCTGACATTTATTCATCTGCCACTGCACATTTTGAGATAGGCAACGAACAGTCATCCGAGTCAGCCTATAACCCTCCACCCCTAGGGAATTCACTTGGGAAACCGTCCAAAGGGAAGATCGGCTGGCTCGATGATAGGACCATCCTCGTGATTGGCTCGGGTAGGGATGGGCGATGGGAGAAATTTGTCCTTCACGAAGGCGATGACGGCAGACTCTATTGTAACAGAACGGGCTGGAAGAGGTACCTAGGAGGGGGCTAAGGGGGATGTGTCCGCCCGGTTTGCTGAGAGCTCCATCATCAACGACATTCGTGGTCTGGTCTTTTTGTGGTGTGGCCATACAGTCACCATCTCCGTTGCAGGCCCCCACACTGCAGAGAATTCTCAAGGATCGACCCAACAATGCGTTCGCGGATTGGATATCGTAAGGCGGATCAACTGATTTTGCTGGTGAAGCCCATGTCGAGTGACAGAAGTTGGCTATCGAGGTGCGAGCGCAGTGCTCCTGGCACTTGCTTGGTGGCGTTTTGATTGCTTTGGATAGAGGCTTGACCTTTTTGAGTAGCATAATTTATAATTAGACAGCCTTGCTTTAGACATCTAACGATAACGGTCTTCTCGGTCCCTGTTGCGCCTCGGCTCGGGTGATCTGGACGCGACCGGCGTTCTGTTTCTGTAGGATCTGTCTCTTCTCCTGGACGTCGAGCGGCGGTCTCTGTGCGATCGAGATTCCCTCGCGGGCGATCGGCGATCCCGAGGCCTCCTTTCTCGCGAGCGGGAACGGTCGTCATCATACCGGCGACGGTGAGAACGGTGGTGACGGCTCGATCTCTCGCGGCTGTCTCGCCTGCGCGAGGATTTCTTCTCAATCGCTCGTGTCCTCTCCAGCGCACGCGCCACCTCTTCCTTCTTCTCCTCGATGAGGAACTCCTTCATCGGATCCTCCTCGTCATGGGTCCTGATCAGCTCCTCCAACTCGAGTTCCTCCTTGAGCTTCGGGCGTCTGCGGGCCTCCTCTTCTCGTGGTTCGCTGGTGCGTCGCTTCCGTCTTGTCGTCCGCTCGTCATCGGTATCTCGATCATCGACGGCCTTTCCACCGGCCGTATCCTCCCCCATGAGTCTCGCGACGTTGTCCGTCTCCTCCTCGTCATCCCGTCGCTTGTAGCGCGTGTGGTCCACGCGCAGGACCCGCCCTAACACGGTGGCACCGCCCAGGTTATCGACCGCGAGATCCGTGCTGCGTTGATCCTCGTACTTGAGGAATGCGAAACCCCGGCTCTTCCCGGTGTCCTTGTCGCGGATGAGGTTGATGTGGACCGGCTCGCCGTACTGCGAGAAGATCGTGAGGATGTCGCCCTCGGACAGGTCGAAAGGCAGTCCTCCGATGTAGATATAGGCGGTGTCGCGATAGTCAGCGTGCCAGGAGGCTTCTGGGGGTCTGAGAGCACCTAATCAGCGACAATGACGAGGAAGGAAACCCGGGGTGTAGGTAGAAGGGGCAACTTACACGGCATTTTCAAGCTCGCGCTTGTTCAGCGCTTGAACTTGGCGGATGTTATTCATGCTTCAAGTGCAGGTAAGAAAAGCTGTGAGATCTAGATCAAAATATACATGTATAAAGGAATTATTGCGAAAGTAGAGGGTGAGGTGACGAGGATAGAGAAGGGCTGCTGGTCTTGCTTTCTTGCTTTCTTGGAGTTGCAGCAAGCGGAAGTTCGAAATCACGGGCTTGACCGCGGGAAGTGAAGGTCCCCACCCGCAGAAGACGGTCCCAAACCTATGGCTTTAATTGTTTACAAGCTAGAAAAGAATAGGCAAACCGCAGTCAGTTCCTCCACCGCTCGATTCAGTCTCATACACCAACACACACGATAAACCACCAAGACACTCTGCGACCCGTGGCAAAAATACCGCACTCTTCAAACTTTCGGTCCGATCCTGTCTTTTTTGAGCGAGCGAGCGAGCACAACGTCTGGGCTGTTTTGTGGTCCTCCCCCGCCATCCGAGATCTGCGCGGCCAACGCCAGATTCCCCTGACACTCCAGTGTGGTTACCGATAAACACTCCCACCTATCCTCACGAAGTTTTCGCAATCAACGCGTCTTATCCGACTCCTCCCTCCAAAGATACTTGCCTCGATCTGACCTGGAATGAGCTGCGCCAGCTGAGCATGGTCGAAATTGGATAGACAATGTTAGCGTCGAGCCAGAATACAGGGTCCCGATTCGGGACCGACAGCAACAACAGTCGGCCGTCGAGCAAAGATGGCACCAAGAAAAATATCTGGTCTTCTATGCTGGATAGCGTCGCAAATGGAAAGCGACTTCCCGAGAAGAACCTTTTAATCCTAGGTTTGCACCCCTCTCTCAAACTCCCCTCCAGTACTGCGCCCGCACCCGTTGGCCGTGTTTCCGCCCCAATCCATCTGTCGGTCAATGCTGATTATGCGGAAACTACAATCTAGGTGGCACGCCTGAGACCCAAAGAGAGTTCCTCGACACTCTATCCGCCGACGCTTCAGATCCCAGCTTGTCGTCAAATGACCGGCGAAAAGGGCGAGTACCGCCGGTGGCCAACCAGTTCGCCTTAGGATATACTTACCAAGATGTGCTGGACGCTGATCACGAAGGTATTTATTTGAGTTACTCCCGGTGGATTGCCAGCTCCCCGCGGGTCCTTTCCTTCTTTTGCCGCAGTCGTATGCTAATGAGGGCCTGCTCTATACGAAAGATATTCTGGCGCGTGTGTCCGCATACCTACTTTCTGAGCCCTCCCTCTCCTTTGCGCCCCTCCTCAAGCCGCTTCTGACTGCACAATCGGTGCCGGAAACCTTGGTTGTGATCCTGCTGGACTGGTCGGACCCTTGGACCTGGGTGCGTCGACTGCGCGAGTGGGTGCGCCTTCTGAGACATGTCCTCATATCGCTCGACGATGAGACGAAGATCGTCATGGAGGAGAACATGACCGAGTGGAGGGATCGGAAACGGGGCATGGACGTTAGCTCGGCCGGCGCGCAGGGTCTGACGAGCTCCGGTGGCCCCGTGACGATACCTGTCGGCCCTGGCGAATGGGATGAAGGGCTCGGTATACCCATGTGTGTTGTGTGTCAAGGGGTAAGCTGGTCCGATGCTTTAGGGGGAGGTCAACAACTAACGATGCTCTTGTTTGAATCAACCAGGCCGACAAGATCGAGAAGCTGGAGAAAGACCACGGCTGGCACGAAGAGGAGTTCGACTTCATTCTCCAATTCATGAGAACATTGCTCTTGAAGCGTATGCAATTTGCCATCCCTCGATTCGGCCTGCGAGTTCTAATTGATCACAGATGGCGCGTCGCTTATCTACACCACACCATTCCTCGCCAACTCCCTCCAAAGCTTATTACACTCATCCCTCGGCATCCACTCATTACTGAAACGGCAATCATTCAAACACAACGTCATCGACCGGGATAAGATCCTCGTCCCGTCGAATTGGGATTCGTGGGGCAAGATCCGGATCATCCGCGAAGGATTCGATATGGATGGCGTCTCAACCGCCTGGTCCATCGAGATCCAGGACCCCCCGGAGCCGATCACCAACGGCGCCAGTGCCGGCGACCTGGATGATGAGGCGGCCGACGACGGCACGAGCGCGGTCGCTATCTTCGAACAGACGATCAAGGACCCCAAGCGGGACACGTCGATGGCTCACCCCGGAGGCCAAGCGAACGGGACTAAAATTGAGGTTGACACGTCCGATATGCAAACCTTCCTCACAAAACAACTCGAGGTTCTGGAGCAGCTCAAGTTGGAAGATGAGAAGGACCGCACAGCGAAGCAGGTACCGCAGCTGGAGATGTCCCCGCTGGACGACAACGGCCGGGTCAACGAGCATATTGGTCCTGTACAGTTCAACATGGGTGGTATCCAAGTCGACGCGGATGACATGCTCCGCAAGCTCAAGGTTAGTGAAAATATCATGATTCCCAATGAAACCCACCCCAAAAACCAGCCAGTCGCCTAACCCCTATGCAATCTACAGGAACGAGAAGCGAGCCGATCCCAGAAAAAAGAAACCCCCTCTGCCACCGGCGACGAGAAAGCGCACAATCAAGCGCTGGCCAACTTCTTCGCTGGTCTCGTCAAGAAACCCGGCACCACCGGCAGTCCCCGCGGAAGTCCATCGGCCTGAAGCCCTTCTAGAGGGGCGTGGCAGCAGCAGCAGCGCGAACCTTTTTTTTGTCCCAATGACGAAGTTTTCGAACCTGTAATAATATTTATTTCTCCCCCGTCCCTCTACCTACACCTACCCACCCAGTACATATTGAGATTAGTCTTCCGGGTATGATAACGGCCTTTTGCTTCCTGCTGAGGGCTATGCGAGGCTCACTGGAGTTGCAACTTCTTGCATCGCATCCCGGGAGATCTCTGCTTTGTTTCGTGATACCAGATTGGCTTTGGGGATGGGATACTGGACTTGAATGGAGAGTCATAGAGGTAGTACTAGGTAATTCTCTGGGGGTTTCGGGGTGGAACAGAAACCTGAAGAACGGGGAAAACCAGGGAGGAGAGATTCTGGGGGCGAAGGGATTCGACTCTACGTAGTCGACCTTGTTTTTGTTTATGGCTCCCCGCCCCCCCCCTTCCCTTTCCGAGTCCCCATTGTCACATTTGAATGATATAAATTCATTAGCGCAGTTCTGGAGTTTCAGTTTCAGTTTACTCTGTTGTGGATATGGATACCAATTGAAGATTGTTGTGCCGAATGTTTTAGTGTTTGTGTTTGTAGATGGAGTCAATTCTCATCTCTATAGTTTGCAATGCGAAAGAAGTCATGAATGTTGAGAACCATAAGCAACGGGGTGCACAATCACAGGCAATTTATTAGAACAAGATGCCAGATATTATTACACGACTACGCCCAGAGTTTTGTATCTGTGAGCACACAAAGCACCTATGAATATAAATACATTGTGCAAGAAAAGGTGGGAAGGGGGAGTGTGTGTCCCTATTCCAAAAATGCCGAAGCTTTGGGGAAACCTCCCTGGACCTTGCAGGGAGACTAAATCACCAATACTCCCACACCAGATCCGGCAGCACGGTGCGCATGATCTGCCAGTGCTCGAGGGCGGAGCGATCCTGGTACTTGTGCAGGAGGTGGGACTCGCGGGCCGTCAGCAGGCGGCGGCCGTTGGGCGGGATGACCTCGAAGCGGGCGGGGTCGACCTCGTGGCGGGGGAGCAGGTGGGTCTCGCGGAATTTGCTGCCCAGGTAGTCGTTGGCGGTGGGCTGGCGGAAGCGCAGCGGGGTGGCGGCGCTCTTCTTGCAGATGATGATCATGTTGGTGAAGTCGTTGTTAAGGTCGTCGTTCTCGGCCGCCTCGCGGAAGATGCGGCAGGTCGGGAAGACGGCGCGGACGGTGCGGATGGTCAGGGCCGCGGGGTAGAGGGTGATGTCGCCGGCGTAGTTCTGTTGGTGTTAGCTTTGCGCGGTGGTTTTTTTCTTTCTTTTTTTGGCAAGGGGGTTTGTACAAGGGCAATGACGCCGTCGTCTTTAAGAAGGGAGGCGAGTTTCTCGATGAATTCGATGGTGAAGAGCTCGAGGGGCTCAGCGCCGCCGGTGAAGACGTCGTGGACGATGTAATCATACTGCGCCGGGGGAGAGCGCTCCACGAATGTGGTGGCGTCTTCAATGACGGCGATATGGTTCGAGGGGAGGTGGAAGTATTCCAATGCGAACTGGTGCACGACGGGGTCGATTTCCACGATGGTGGTCTCAATGCCGTGCTCGATCAGCGCTGAAGGCGTGGTTCCAACACCGAGACCGCTTTGTATGTACGGATTAGCCTTATGGGTGTGGAGCTTGCAGGGTTCTTGTGCTTACATGACGAGTGCCTTGCTGTCGGCGTCCACGCGAGGCTCGCCGTGGTCGGTCTCCACGAGGCGGACGGATTCCAGCATGGTGAAGACAGCGTAGATCGGGTCCAAGGTGGCAGGGCTGTAGCCGCGCGGCATTCTGGTCCACTGGCCTCCCAGCAGGCTGTGGTCGCATCGCATGACTCGGAAACCATCGTTCAGGTTATCGAGCACCGAGATGTAGCCGGTGTTGGAATCCTGACGGGCAACCAGCGCGAAGCCCTCATCGTTCAAGTACGAGTTTAGGGCTCCGTCGCTGAGATGCACGTTGGAGGTGGCTGAGAGGAGCAGGGAGGGGACTGCGAAGAGCAGGAATTTGGAGGGGATGACGGCAGAGTACAAGGCGGGCAGCAAGAATTGCAAGCCGGCGCGGCTGAAGAAGATGGTCGACCCGATGAACTTACCCAAAAATGCCTTGGCGATCTTCTCTCCAACCTTGTAGATGACATAGGTGGAGAGGAGCGGAACGTGCTCGGCAACGGCTTCACCGTGGCGGCCTAGATCCAGACCTGCCTGCACCAGCTTGCCTGCACAGGCGACAGAGAGGATGACCAATGGATAGTAGGCAGCTATCTCGGTGAAGATGGGGCCGACAGGATTTCCCAGAACAGAGCTCGACGAGAATAGGAAGGTCTGAATGGTGGGAATCCAGAAGGCCACGACTGGAATGAAGTAGACCGCCTTCCGGCCGGAGAGTCGCTGGATGTGATCCTTCATGAACCATCCCACAGCGGCCACAATGGCAACTCCATAGGCATGGAAAACGTGTGTACCGTGAGTACCATAGACAGGGGCCAAAGTCAGAACCGTCAAAGGCGAGTAGAACGCGGTGAGCACCAGCAGTGCTGCACCGGTCACCAGCTGCCTGGTGGTGGGTTTTTGCCACAGGGCACCAAGAGAAGACATGGTGTCCGTTTCTGAGATGACGGGATTTGCCAGCACAACACGTTCTTAGTGAACTTCAAGCTGACCAGAGTGATTCTTTTGGCCAGGGAGCTTTCCTGAAGGTACTTGTTAGTTCAATGAAGTCCATTTTGAGCTGTCACTTTTTTCTTTGGGGGAGCAGGGGCAGACTGTGGACCCCCCCCCGG